GTCATGTAATCGAAGCTTACCTGACGGACAGGTCCGTCATTTACCCAGGTCACCGGGGCGAGTGGAACCGGCGACAGATGTCACAGAGGTGTTACACGGGGTTCGGTTCTGGGGCCGCTCCTGTGGAACATCGGTTATGACTGGGTGCTGCGCACCGACCTCCCGAACGGCGTTAGCATCATATGCTACGCCGACGACACGCTGGTGCTAGCGCACGGGAGGTCGCACGAGGCGGCGGCCGACTTAATGACGACAGCGGTTGCGATAGTTGTTGAGAGAATCCGGCAATTGGGACTCGAGGTGGCGCTCTACAAGTCCAAGGATATGTGTTTTCATGGCCGCGGGAACGCGTCACCTCCGGGTGAGTCCCAAATAACGGCGGGAGAGGTTACTATCGGCATCGAGACGACGATGAAGTACCTGGGACTCGTCCTCGACAGTCGGTGGAACTTCGTGGAGCACTTCCGACGTTTGGTTCCAAAGTTGGAGAGGACGGGCGCTGCGTTTAAGCGCATCCTCCCCAACCTCGGGGGGGCAAACGCCTCCTGCCGGAGGTTATACGCCGGGATCGTGCGGTCCATGACCCTCTACGGCGCCCCTGTGTGGGCACCGAACCTGATGCCCCGGCCCGCTCGGGCGCTGCTCATGTCACAGAGGGTCATGGCGATCCGAATGATCCGCGGATACCGCACAATCTCCGGGTAGGCGGCTAACCTCCTTGCCGGATTACCGCCGTGGGATCTGGAGGCGAAGGTGCTCGCGTGCGTGTATCGCATGCGCGTGGAGGCAAGTTGCCAGGGCGAAACTCCGCTGCCGCGCCAGATACGTGCGTGGTGGGAAGAGCTCCAGCGCGATCTCATGGCGGAATGGCAGCAACGAATTGTCTTAAAACATCTACTAAGTACCGACCTATAACTTGGTACACAATAAACAGATATATTTTCATGCACATTTGTCCATTTTATTGTCAGAGCCTGGTAAGGACATTTTTCAAGGGCGCAGTTTTGAAAGCTCGCACCGGGCGCCTAGAAGGCTAGTTACGGCACTGCTTGAGGAAGCCATTAATTCTATTTTAAAATGTAAAAATTTAAGTTAGTGATGTTTTTTTTACCAAAGGTTACTGAAGATGCAATTAAAATATGTTACTAGTGTTATTAACCAATAATTTATGTAATTTTTTAATTACAAAAATTAAAACAATTCATGCCTTTTTTGTTAAATACAGACCCTAATTGTTTTCACTACTCTTTTTATTTAAAAATATTTTATTTATGTGAACTTTAACGTAAAGCAATAGAGTTCAAATTTGCAGTTAAAATTGCCGGAATTCGGGACAATTAAACGTTAACTAGTACAATTCTACCGGATACTGGTACAGTTGGCCCTTTTTGTACTTTTTTTGTTTTATTGTTAATTAACATTTCTATAAATTTAATAGAAGTATAATATACTAAAAGTATACTAAATTATCTAACTAGTCGTATAAAATTTATTTTCATAAGTCTACTTGTTTCTGCCTAGCGCGCATGCAAAGTCAGGGAAGTTCAAAACTTCACGGTTATTGGGCCGCTTACCTTACTGGTTTTTTTTAATATTCTCAGTAGTAGTACGGAGTCCGGTTTCGTGCCCAGTATATGGCAATAGGCTCACCCCTATTACATGGGACTCATAACATAAATAGTGAAAAGTGGGTGTTACATTGTACACTTAACACTAGTATAATGTGCACCTCTGCCTACCCCTTCGGAGATAAAAGGCGTGATGTTATGTTATGAGTTTTCGTCTGTTTTGTATTATTTAAAGAGATGGAGTTAAGTATATGGAGTTTCTTGCTCGTTCTTCTCCAATCTACATTTTGAAACGAGCGCCTAACTTCACTGACGGACAGACTAACAGACTATTATATATTTTCTATTTGTTGACGTTTCAAAAGTACCAAATTATGGTTTAATTGAAATAAATGTACTTGAGTTTGATTAACACGAAAACAAAAATGGTAAAAATTCTAAAATCTACTTCTTTAGCATTTCGGGAGCGTTTCGTTCACATACCTGTATATATTTTATAAGAATTGCTCATTAATTTAAAAGTATCAGGGTGCTTACTCTTAAAACCAATCTCAATGTAATTGCAATCCAATGAAAACTAAATAATCAATGTCAACACTAAACAACCTCTATCGTAGCTGTTAAAATAGCATTCAGAGTACGGAATATAAAGCCAAACTCAATACCATTTAGTTAATTCATTATCCGCGCAATACGGATGCAATGGGCGCCAGTGTAGCAACTCAAGAGTACGAAATTAAACAATATCAATGTCGATCGATCGGAATTGGATTCAAGAGTAAGCCTCCTGATAGATTCATAAGCAAGTACTATTTAGATTTACAGGAAAAAGTAAATACTTACCTACTTATAACAAGTTACTTACTATAACAAACACCGCTTCTGACTACTCCACCGGGGATTTACAAGGTTGGTGTTAAACTACAAACATTACTCATTACCTATAGTTCTAAAGAAAATCAAAGTCCAAGAATATTTTTTTTCTATTGAAGTTTTTTACTCAGCACTTAAGTTATTAGTAGAAAACTAAGTACTAGCCAGCAGATAAACATACACTATTCTGTCAATATTGTTCATTGGATTTCCTGTTTTATGTCATTACAATAAAGTTGAAGGTGTTTTAGATAGAGTTTGACAGAAAAGTATAGGTTGACATTGGCCACCGTGCCATATTGTGGAACCGTGCAAACATTGGTTAATGATCATGTGGATAACGGCAAAAAAGCTTAACAAGTTTACATGGTTGACATTGAATGGTTCCGTATATTGTCTAGTTTTTTTTTAAATAATACTAGCGACCCGCTGCGGCTTCGCACGGGTGTAATATGCATATACCTCTACTATACATATGACCCTTCGCCTTCGTTAAGACTCACTGTATCTATTAAAAAAAACCGCATCAAAATCCGTTGCGTAGTTTTAAAGATCTAAGCATACATAGGGACAGACAAACGGCGGATAGCGACTTTGTTTTATACTATGTAGTAATCCTTACTTACCTTACTTATATTATAAATCGGAAAGTGAGTTTGTTTGTTTGTTTGTTTGTTCCGCCTTCACTTTTTATCCCGGAAAAAATGATATTTCCTAGGAAAAACAAAAATATTGGTATAGATGGCGCTGTATGTCATTTAAAACCAGTCAACGAATTACCTACTTATTGGAAAAATGTAAATAGCGCGATATAACCGAATCCCACGCGAGCGGAAAGCTATTTGTTTGTTTGCCTGTCTTAAACGGCAGAACGGAGGTACTAATTAACGTGACATTTTAACTGAAGGTAGTTAAATGGATGGATAGTCACATAGGCTACTTATCCTTTTGTGACGCGAGCGAAGCCGCGGGTAAAAGCTAGTAGTAATAGTAAAGCCGATAAACGAGCAGATGAATCACCTGATGGTAAGCAATCAACGTCGCCCATGGACATCCGAAAACCAGAGGTGTTACTTACAAGTGCGTTACTGGCCTTTTGGGGATTAGGAGTTTGAGGATTGTTGTGGATTCGAGGATTGGGACTGTAATTGGATCTCTGGTAACCTCACTCACACGCCGAAACACAACGCAAACGTTGTTTCACGTCGGTTTTATGTGAGCCCGTGGTATTATTAGAGTCTCCGACCGCGGCCGTGGCTGTGGTATCGGTCGAGCTGGCCCATTCGTGCCGAAGCATGGCTCTCACACACTTAGTGGATAATATCCATTAACTCGTCGAGTACCGGTTTTATAGACACAATTAAAGAACAATAGGTCGCGGTCACCAGTGACCGCTCTGACAGTTTAATAACTATCGTGACACATACTAAATTAACTAAAAATCGCGGGTCACTCACGTGAATATACTGAGAAAAGCTCTACTAGTTTCGAACCACAGAGGGGTTCTTCCTCATGAGCAGTGTGCACGACACAACGAGACTGTTAGGGCGCTTACTCTTGTAACCAATCTTAATGTCAATACAATTTCAATCCAATAAAATCTCAATAATTATACATTGCCAATGCAATTTCAATCCAATAAAATATCAATAATTATTCAATATCAATGCAATTTCAATCCAATAAAATCTCAATATTTATTCAATGTCTATGCAATTTCAATCCAATACAATCTCAATAATTATTCAATGTCTATGCAATATCAATCCAATACAATCTCAATAATTATTCAATGTCAGTGCAATTTCAATCCAATAAAGTCTCAATAATTATTCAATGTCAATGCAATTTCAATCCAATAAAGTCTCAATAATTATTCAAAGTCAATCCAATAAAATCACAATAATTATTCAATGCCAATGCAATTTTAATCCAATAAAATCTCAACAATCATTCAATGTCAATGCAATTTCAATCCAATAAAATCTCAATAATTATTCAATGTCTATGCAATTTCAATCCAATAAACTCTCAATAATTATTCAATGCCAATACAATTTCAATCTAATAAAATCTCAATAGTTATTCAATGTCAATTACTACTTATACAACCACAATCGTAGCTGTTAAAATAGCATTCAGAGTACGGAATATAAAGCTAAACTCATTACTCAACTAATACCATTTAGTTCATTCAATATCCACGCAATGGGCGCTAGTGTTGCAACTCAAGAGTACGAAATTTCACAATGTCATTGTCGATTGATCGGAATTGGATTCAAGAGTAAGCCGTGTCGCCGTTTTTTACCTTAAAACTATTTTTTTTTACGAATTCACCTATATCATTTTACATTAACAAAAATGATATTTTAACAAACTGTTTTTACTTCACGGGACCCTAAGAACACATCGAATTATTTATTCTTTAATGAACCACTTTACGTTTAGTTTCATTCAAAAACTGATCGGCTTTAGACGATAGATTCGCATAAATAAAATAACAATAATAAATGTGTTCCGTAACAAACTAGGTATTATTAAATACGTTATTAATAAAAAATGTATTACTATGTGAATTATTATAGTGTTTTGTTTTTGTTATTTTGTGTGGTTACGCATTGTGATGAGTTATCTGAAGGTTTGTTTGGGTTTTATGATGTTTTTTATATATTTGATGGGCCGACGTTTGACCACTATCTCGCCTGGTGGGAAGCGATGATGCGGTCTACGATGGAGCACGTCGTCCCTTCAGCAACCTATTCACTCGGGCCTTGAAGACACCCAGGTTATACCCTTCAGGAAACACAGACTCTGGCAAAGAATTATTATTATTATTTAAGACTACCTCGTTGGCCGAGTGGTCGCAAGTGCGACTGCCGGGCAAGGGGTCTCCAGTTCGATTCCCGGGTCGGGCAAAGTATTACTGGGTTTTTAAAAAAATCTCATTAGTAGCACGGAGTATGGAATTGTGCCCGGTATATGGCAATAGGCACACCCCCTATTACATGGGACTCATAACATAAATTGTGAAAAGTGGGTGTTACATTGTACAGTGGCATTAAGTGCCGTAATGCGCACCTCTGTCGACCCCTTCAGGAATAAAAGGCGTGATGTTATGTTTATTTTTATTATACTTTCAGGTTCAGAATGCGAATCCGAAGACGGTATAAAAGGCACCTGTATCGACATACATAAGTGTATGCAATATGTCATGCCTTTGAAGACTAGACAGAAATATCCTCAGGTAGGTTTAAACCTCTCGACACTGGCACAGCAGTATATCACAACACCGTGTGCCTGCGGGACATCTCACAGTTTGGTAACCCGTTAGGTTCTCCGTGACTCCGAATCAGCATCAGCCCTGTTGGGCCTCATCCGTGGTGGTCCTGGTTCTGGTCTGGTTCTGGTCTGGTTCTGGTCTGCTTCTGGTCTGGTTCTGGTCTGGTTCTGGTCTGCTTCTGGTCTGGTTCTGGTCTGCTTCTGGTCTGGTTCTGGTCTGCTTCTGGTCTGGTTCTGGTCTGGTTCTGGTCTGCTTCTGGTCTGGTTCTGGTCTGGTTCTGGTATGGTTCTGGTCTGGTTCTGGTCGGATGGGGAACCACCCATGCTCGCCGTTGCACTCCCTCCCGCCTCACCCAGGCGGGAGGGAGTGGGCCTTTTTTTAAGGAGGGAAAATCATCGAATGACTGCCATTCGATGATTTTCCCTCCTTAAAAAAAGGCAGTGTATAAAGTAATATACTGTGTTTCAGATATGTTCGTTCAATGGTCAAATTCCTGTAGTCTGCTGTACTGATTGTGAATACGTCAATGACACGAGGTAAATATTTATTTATTTAGTTCTATAAAAAACACAATACATGTACCAGGTAAACTCAATGCCTTGGGCATTGCCTGACAGTCGACCTTTAGGTGGTTTTTTTTTATGGAATAGGAGGTATACGAGCGATCACCTGATGGTAAGCGATCAGCGCAGCCCATGGACACCCGCAACACCAGAGGAGTCACAGTCCGCGGCTCCGTATCGGCATCAGCCCTACTGGGCCCCATCTGTGGTGGTCTGATGGCTCCTTGAGGCGCGCGCGGAACGTGACACGCCGTACGCTCGGGTCTGGTTCTGATCGGGCGGCGAGTCACCCGTGCTCACCGCCCGCAGGCCCGTGCGAGCAGAGTGACTCCTAGCTAGACAATAATAGAAAGCTCGAGGACTGACGCTGCTTAACAATTTTTCGAAAATACGAAAAGGCGCCAATATCTCTGTGCTGTGATACTCGAACTCTGATCATTCACAAGGCAGTCTTACTATTTTAATCAACTTTTTCTAATATTTTCCAGAAACGTCCTGGTGGATGGATTTGGATCGCATTACTTCAAAGTGGGAAATAAAGCCTATGACAGTAAGTATTTCCCTTCCATCATCTTCATCATCATCTTCAGACCATATTCGTCCACTGCTGGACGTAGGCTTCTCCAATGGCACGCCACTGAGCTCGGTCTTCAGCTCTTCTCATCCAACCACTGCCAGCCACCTTGCGTTTGTCGTCACTCCACCTAGCTGGAAGGTGCTGTTTTGTGGGATCTTGAAGACAAAAAAAAAACTATTATTTCGATTACTGGAACTGTAATTAAATAATATAAAATACAGAGTTAGAAATATAATTAAATAATATAAAATACAGAGTTAGAAATATAATTAAATAATATAAAATACAGAGTTAGAAATAGAAAGTGTCCACATCAAAAACGCTTAAACCGAACTAATTCATACATCGCCAGATATGCTTACGAGGATTTTCAATTGACGTTAATGCATTAAGTAAAGCGAAGTAAACAACTGAAGCTTGCTCAGCGGTTTACTTAGCCTTGGTTAGTATGGCAACGAGATGCTGATATAACAGTACAATACGTTTCCCTAGACGCGGTCTCCACTCTAAAACACGTTTAACCCAACGGTTATCGGTTCTTCAAAAAATGTGACCGACCCACTGCCACTTCAGCTTACTAATCCCTTTGATAACTTTGGTATTTTTCCCTCACAGTCGTTTCAAAATCCTTGTTCCTAAAATATTGAGAGAACTTACTTAACCATATGCAATCAATTATAGACTCATGGGGGTAGCCTCGGGGGCTAAGAGCCTATCCAGCCACACCGTGGCTGGGGCTGTTGTCCATTTACAGGTGCTGATGGTGGCCAACAAAGTGTGGGATTCCCACTTCACTCCCTAGTCCATTCCCTCAAACAGGTAGGAGGTAGGTAGTAGGTAGGTGAAAATATTGGTAAACGACCAACGCTCGCCTCCCCCCCCCCCCCAACCATAGAAGACAATCCTAGTGTGGTCTAACGTTTTTTAACCCGTCGAGCGTCCGCGTTCCTTATGATCCAACGGGTGCACACGTCACATTTGGAGAAAGTAAGAAAGAAAATGCATTTATTTGGCCATTGGCACACGAAAACAAGGATCATTACGAAATAGAAATAAAAAATACAGTCAAAATGAAAACAAAACATTAATAATAGATTTTACCTCTATAAAAGAGAAAGCAGCATGGAGCATTTTTTCTTATGATCCACCGTGTGCTCATAAGGACGCTCGAGGGGCTAAAAAAAGAAAGTTCTCATTTTCAGAATGCATGGAGTACGTGATAGACTCGCCGTACTCTTGCCGGCTGTGGGGAGGGGTGCAGCGGTACCTGGTAGAGGAGCAGGGCTGCTACGGGTATACTCCGACTGTGGCACTCGCTGCTGCAGGAGGCATCGATGCTGGTAGAGGACAGTATCCTCATATGGTGAGTCTGGAAGTATACAAAGTCTATTTAGGCAAAGGTCAATGTGAATGGTTGTAAAAAAGCATACATTTGAAAGAAATTCGTTTCACATATCGAGGGGTAACGGACTATTTGGTTTAAGCGACATTCGCTGTTATTATTAAATATATTAAAAAATAACTCAGTAGTTATATATATATAAGATATATTATTGAGGATTTTCAAAATAAACCACAAATTGTTTCTCTGAAAATACAAAGTTATTGTTTTAATTAATAAACCTTTACAATATTGCAACTTATCATTTAACTATGACAATTATTCTTAATTCTCACCTGAAAATACAAAGAAACGACATTTAAAGTTTACTATCGCCTCCTCGTTTATAATTTTTAATGTTAAATTATCTTCTAGAAAACTACCAAGCTTTTTTAAATTTGTTATAATGGTTTCCACAGATAACCTATAAAATCACGAACAAGCGCGAAGCGCGGCAAATTCAAATTAATGAAATGTCATTTCATTACATATATATTCGGAATCAGCGATTTTTTCGCCGTCGAATATATATAATATAATTATATTAAAATATATTATATAATATCGCCCAAAATGTTGCTTAAACCAAATAGTCCGTTACTCCTCGATATGATTGTCAACAATTTTAAGATTTTAAGTGATGGCAAAGTCGATGTAAATGTGATTACTAAACACGAATCTGATCACGTTTTGGAGATCATATTTATGAGCATCGTGTGGGGCACGGCGACTTCATGTAACCACTGACCAATACCAGTTGGGGATGACCCTATCACTGACTCCAAAACAGTTTTTTTTAAACTGTCAAACACCAAGCGGTCACCGGTGACCGCAACCTATTGTTCTTTAATTGTGTCTATAACTACGGTACTCGACGAGTTAAAACCACAATATACAGCTCTCTGAGTCTGAGTTTACGGGAAATACCAGTTCTATTTTGATGATCACGACTGAGTGAGTGAGTGTCATAAATGCGAAACTTTGCTTTCACATAACCTTGGAATTAAAAGACCAATAGACTTAAAATTTTGGATTTTAACATAACACATAATATCACGCCTTTTTATCCCCGAAGGGGTAGGCAGAGGTGCACATTTTGGCACTTAATGCCACTGGACAACGCAACACCCACTTTTCACTATTTATGTTATGAGTCACTATGTATGTGTAATAGGGGGTGAGCTTATTGCCATATACCGGGCACATTTCCAGGCTCCGTGCTACTACTGAGATATTTAAAAACCCAGTAATACTTTGTCCGACCCGGGAATCCAACGCGAGACCCCTTGCCCAGCAGTCGCACTTGCGACCACGCGGCCAACGAGACAGTCTATATGATTATAGCTTACTGGATGACAAAAAATTCTGCGTTCTGGTCTTATCCAGAGGTTCTTAAATAGGAGCCTGAAAATGGGGCGAAATGGTTCCAGTAAAGGTTGGTACGGCAGTTTAAGATTCGCACTCGACTTGAGTATACAGTCTATAATACACAGTATTTGTACGACCTCTAAATTAAATGTGGGGCACATTGATCATCATCAACAGCCGGAAGATGTCCACTGCTAGACAAAGGCCTCCCCCTTAATCCTCCACGTCAAACGACAACTCGCCACCTGCATCCACTGGCTCTCCGTAACTCTGGCGATGTCGTCGGTCCACCTAGTGGGAGGCCTGCCCCCGCTTCGTCTTCCGGTCCGTGGTCTCCACTCAAGGACTTTCCTGGCCCATCTACCGTCAGTCCTTGATGTTGCTTGCCATTTATGCTTGTAGCCAAAAAGATAGAACTACTATCACTTTCAGGCACTGTTAGGTTATGGGGAGGACACCGAGTCAGCTGACTGGCTGTGCGGAGGTACTCTCATCAGTCATCGATACATCCTCACTGCTGCACACTGTCTTTCCAGTCGAGCTGTGTAAGTCGTTCTCATTTTTTAAATTTTTTTTAAAGGACCAATATCGTCGTATGACTTCTCGTCTGTCTGACTCTCCCGCCTGGGTGAGGAGTGAGGGAGTGTCAGACTCTACATAACATAACGTAACATAACATCACGCCTTTTATCCCCGAAGGGGTAGGCAGAGGTGCACATTATGCCACTGTACAATGTAACACCCACTTTTCACTATTTATGTTATGAGTCCCGTGTAATAGGGGGTGAGCCTATTGCCATATATCGGGCACAATTCCAGACTCCGTGCTACTACTGAGATTTTTTTAAAAAGCCAGTAGTACTTTGCCCGACCCGAGTATTGAACCCGAGACCCCTTGCCAACACTCTGCCAACGAGGCAGTCAAGTGTCAGACTCTTATTGACTAAAAACCACCCTGTTCCCACTTTATGGGATTGGGGGGGGGGCGCAAATAAGCACACTATATCACACCTGATGGTATTTACTATTTACCTACAGGAAAACAAATTTAAGTTTTGATCATCATATCATGTTGGCCCAGAAGTTCAAGACTTCAAATGCATGAGGGTGCGGGTTCGAAACCTACCAATGGCGAGTACCAATGTAACTTTTTCCGAATTATATGTAGTTTCTAAGATTATCTCAGTAGTAGCATGGGAGTCTGGAATTATGCCCGGTATATGGCAATAGGCTCACCCCCTATTACATGGGATAGTGGATAATATACGTATAAATAGTGAAACGTAGGTGTTACATTGTATAATGGCATTAAGCGCCGTAATGTGTACCTCTGCGTACCCCTAAAAGTAAAAGACGTGATGTTATGTTTAACAATAACATAACATAACATCACGCCTTTTATCCCCCTTCGGGTAGGCAAAGGTGCACATTATGCCACTGTACCTACAATGTAACACTCACTTTTCACTATTTATGTTATGAGTCCCATGTAATAGGGAGTGAGTCTATTAATAAATGAGTTAAACCAAACTTTTATTAATTGTTAATAATAACACTGTTAACAAACCAAAGAATCTCGTTTTCCAGAGGTCCAGTAAAGTACATAGCCCTGGGTCTCCTGAAGAGATCAGACCCTCGGGACACATGGCAGATATACAACGTGCAGGCAACTATACCTCATCCAGAATTCAAACCGCCTTCAAAATATCATGATATTGCACTATTACTTACTGACAAATGGTAAGATTATTTTAATTAATAGATTTTTACTTCAACTTAGACTATTTAATTACTTACGGAGCCGCGGAAGACTTAACGGGTTACCGGGGCTCCGGCTCGAAGTGCAGGAGTAGGAATGGGGTGGTTTTTAGTCAGTAAGAGTCTGACACTCCCTCCCGCCTCACCCGGGCGGGAGAAGTCATTGGATGATTTTCCTCCCTCAAAAAAAAAGACTATTTAATTAATTAATCTTTACTTTCACTTCAAAAGTGTCGTGGTGGCCCGAAGGTTAAGACGCATGAATGAAACTTCTGACGCATGAAACTTCTCTTGCATGAAGGTACAGGTACGAAACCTACCAACGGCAAGTACCAATGTGACTTTTTCCGAGTTATATGTACTTTCTAAGATTATTTAGACACCATTGATAAATGGTGAAGGACAACATCGTGAGGAAACCTAAGCTTATAATTTCTAATTAAAAGTTTGAAATTGCCAACCCGCATTGAGCAAGCGTGGTGATTAATGCTCAAACGTTCTCCGTGTGAGAAGATGCTTCGCTCAGTAGTGGGCATTTATAAGCTGTTGATGATTAAAATAATCGATTCGAGGATGCTCGATTGATTTCGAGTCACACAGGGGTTCATAATCATGTTTCTTTTTGATCGACATGAAAGTATGAAACATGCATATTTCCACAAAAATTGTAGTAAAAATATCTCGCAAAATCTGCAGACTAAAGTGGCAATGGGCAGGCCACGTCGCTCGAAGGACTGACGGTAGATGGGCCAGGAAAGTCCTTGAGTGGAGACCACGGAACGGAAGACGAAGCGTGGGCAGGCCTCCCGCTAGGTGGACCTACGACATCGTCAGAGTTGTGAAGAGCCAGTGGATGCAAGTTGCGAGTTGTGGTTCGACGTGGAGGACCAAGAGGAAGGTCTGTGTCGAGCAATGGACGTTTTTCGGCTGTTGATGACGATGAAGCATAAGCAAAAGCAAGCATGGTGATCAATGCTTAATCTACGTGTCCGAAGAAGTCTTCATCAGTTGTCAATCTCATACATATATAGCATTACCTTTAAACTCACATACTGACATCTTTCCAGGGTACCATTCACCCCTTTAGTTTTACCAGCATGCCTATCTGCTGGAAGCTTGCAAGACCAGGCCTTTGCAACTGGATGGGGAGCCACTGGGCACCGCGAGGCGCTCTCTGATACGTTGCAAATTGTAAGTCTATAATAAAACATTACATGTACTATATATCTAGGGTTGCCACCCGTACTTTATAATAAAGTATTGTACGTTATTTAAGGTAATTGTACTCTATACTTTATAAGAATAATAAAGTACACGAAAATACTTTATTTTTGCAAACTTCATTTCTATTAAAGTCGTAAGTATTTTTCGGAAAACTTATCGATTCGATTTCGATATTTATCGATTTATGTTGAATCGATAACTCGCCAGCGCCACTTAGACAATTTCTAGTAAAGATGCAATTGTTTAGTAAAGGTATTAATTTAATACAAACTGCAAAAAGCAATAAAAAATTTATATTTTTAAATGTAATACTAAATAAGAATAAATTGTACTTTATTTTTATACTGTGTATTTTTTTTTCTTACCTATAATCGTCAATGTACTTTAAATACCAAAGAAAAAGGTGGCAACCCTATATATATCATAACTTATAACAATAGGGATGATGACAGGGTATAAAAATTAAAAAAAATTAAGTTTAAGTGTGGGAGGGCCATGCTTCGGCACGAATGGGCCGCATCGACCGGAGTGATACCATGGTCTCACAGAAAACCGACGTGAAGCAACGCTTGCGTTGTGTTTCGTCGTGTGAATGAGGTTACCGGAGTCCCTATTACGGCCTCCTTCTTTCTTCAATCTCCCCAATCCCTGACTCACTAACAATCCTCAAATTCCTAATCCCTTTAAGGTCGGTAACGCACTTGTAACACCTCTGGTGTTCCAGGTGTCCATGGTCGGCACCGATGCTTACCATCAGGTGATCCGTCTGATCGTTTACCGGACTTGACCTGAAGACTTGATTACTGAAAACTTATATTTCGTTATTTCCAGGTGACTCTAACAGCGTACACCGAGGAGGAATGTATGGGATTCTTCCCCCCTCACCGGCAGATGCAGAACGGATATGATCACAACACACAAATGTGTTACGGAGCCAAAGATCAGATTAATGATACTTGTGAGGTAAGCAAGCAAGAGTAGACTCGACCCGAAGAAGAGTCGACTAAGAGTCGACAGAAAGTAGTAAAGTAGTAGTTAGTGTTACATTTAAAGTCAAACCATTTACTTCAATTAAACCATGTAAGAACCCCTCGTTCTCGAAGGTGAAGGCCTCCTCTAGAGATTTCCATTTATCCCTGTTCTTCGCCGTCTCCATCCACTGTTTGCCACCCGCTTGTATAGAGGTAATATCGTCGTTCCACCTGGCAGCTGGTCTACCCCTCTTTCTGGTGCCTGATGGGCCCTTCCAGGATGTTAACCTGGCTGACCATCGGCTATCTGTTAGTCTGACTATGTGATCAGCTCAACGCCACTTAAGTTTTTAGTTTTTTTGATATTCAAAGTCAAAGCATTAATTTCAATTAAACCATAATTTGGTACTTTTGAAACGTCAACAAATACAAAATAAATAATAGTCTGTCAGTCAGCCCGTCAGTGAAGCTAGGTGAAGCTAGGTGCTCATTCCAAAATGTAGATTCGAATGGAGAAGAACGAGCAAGAAACTGCATTCGTTACTCTTTTTAAAAAAGTATGTACTACAATGTCTCTGATACATATTCCAATACTGTACGTATATGTGAGAACAATGCAAAGACACGCTTGACGCATTATAGGCACTAATTACAAAACTTACTAAAATAAAAAAAAATCTTATGATCAAACATGGTGCTCACATATGCATACTGACAATCTATAAAAAGACAGATTCCAACAGATGTTGCAATTCCATTCAAATTCAAATTCATTTAATCGTTTGCAAACATGGGTACATAATATAGGTATTAACAAAATATACAGTTTCTCCATATTTTGCCATCACTTGGCATGCAAAGATATGTTATAAAAAATTATATAATAAAATTAGGTACATTAAGTTTAATTAATTGTAGTTTTGTTAAATTGAATACAGTATGTCAAATAAATTAAAATTATTAATACCATTGAAGTCAAAAATGTAATGTCAAATTAAATATATTTTGTAAACAGGTAATCATCAATTATGAATGTCACACAAGCAATGTTAAACAAATTAAGTTTATTATAATTGACCGTCACGCAGCCACAACAAGCCCAATTCAACAAACTGTTGTGGTTCTTTCCTCAAAAGGCCATTACAGAAAGAACTTGCACGGTTCTCACACATATTTTTTTTTACATATTTGTCTGGACTTTAAAAGAGACAGACCCAGAGATCTGTCTCTTTTGTTTGTCTAGTTTGTTTCGGCATTTCTTCTCAGAGTAGTCAGTAAGGAAATGTCGACCTCATCGTTCGCTTGATAAAATTGACGTGTGTGATGCTGCCTTGTAGCCTATTTGCAGAAATAAATTCACTTGTTTCACTTGTAACAGTAATAGTAACCCTGACTTTAACAGTTACAGCAAAATGTGTTGCACCAGCGAATTCAGTAGCCTTGTCAAAATTAAAAGTGTTGTGTTAGATGTGTTATTTAATCAACGAAATATCAGTAAAAGAGAGAAGGCTATCGACACACACATTTATTCGTATTCAATTGTTTTACAAAAACGCGGGCTCCGCCACGCACATAGATAATCTGTCACCATAGACTATACTATGACCATAGAGTATACCACAGATACACAACATGTTGCAAGTCAAATGAGGTGTGATTTTCCCCAAATTTGATGTGAAAGGAAAAAAGAAATGGAATAACAAACAGCCCTTTCTGATTATTGAATTGCATTAGCCATCGACCGAACATACAGATCAAGGCACATCTTCCTATGTAGTGAAAGTCTTTAGTCAAGAAGTGCATGCTCTTTTTAGATAGTGTATAGTAGTAACATAACATAACATCACGCCTTTTATCCCCGAAGGAGTAGGCAGAGGTGCACACAGAAGTAACACCCACTTTTCACTATTTATGTTATGAGTCCCATGTAATAGGGGGTGAGCCTATTGCCATATACCAGGCACAATTCCAGACTGCGTGCTACTACTGAGATTGTTTTTAAAACCCAGTAATACTTTGCTTGACCCGGGAATCGAACCCGAGACCCCTTGCCCGGCAGTCGCACTTGCGACCACTCGGCCAACGAGGCAGACTAAATAACCTATTCTTTTATATCCTTTAACTATTTACTTCCGCGCGGTTTACTCGCTCTGCTCGGCACCTATTGAACGTAGCGTGATATTTTAGCCTTCCTCGATAAATGGGCTATCCAACACAGAAAGAATTTTTGAAATCGGACCAGTAGTTTCGGAGATTAGCAAGTTCAAACAAACAAATAAAAAACAAACTCTTCAGCTTTATAATATTAGTATAGAATGATAATATATCATTTTTTTCTTCAGGGTGACAGTGGAGGTCCCCTCCAAGTTCGTTCAGAGCTCTCCTCCTGTGTCCACACCATCATAGGAGTGACGTCACATGGAAAACCTTGCGGCTTCGTTGGAGGTTCTGGAGTCTACACCAGGGTGGAATACTACGTACCCTGGATAGAAAGTATTGTGTGGCCTTGATGCTGTGGAGACCAGTACTTGGAATAAAGAAGATCCTTACTTCCTTACTTATATTATAGATCGGAAAGTGAATTTGTTTATTTGTTCCACTTTCACGCCGTAACTACTAAACCGATTGCTTTGAATTTTTGCAGACGTGTGCAGAAGTCTGGATTAAATAATAGGGTATTTTTTGTCCCGGAAAAATTTGATATTCTCGAGGGAAAACGAAATTATTGGTATAGATGGCGCTGTGTGTATTGGTATATGTCACATAGGCTACTTTTTATCATTTTGTGACGCGAGCGAAGCCGCGGGTAAAAGCTAGTAGTTTCGTAAAAAGGGGGTTTTAGTTTTCAGCGATATACTTCTTGCTGTTTAAGGCTAGGGACTCACGGCGGGATCTACTTCCGCGCCTACCGCGGTGGAGGAATGGAGGCGGAATTTTCAAAATTCACGGGACCGCTGTTTTCTGCAATCCCACCACCGCGGTTGCGATTATCACCCGTGAAGTTGGCGGTTGATTATCGAAAGATGGGCGGGCGGTTTAACAATCAGTTGTGTTCCTGACAGACTGTGGGCTCACAACCGCGACCGTCACGGGAGAAAATCACGCCGTGAGTCCTTAGTCTTATTGCCAATAATTGTGATGTAATTATTACTAGGACTTAACATGATGGGGACTACCATATTTTTGCTCACTACATGGCGCAAATGTAGCAAAAGGTTTTTTATCCAATCACTGTAGCTTTCAGATATTAAATGACCAATTGTGTCATCATCACCATCATCAACAGTCAAAATATGTCCACTGCTGGACAAAGGCCTCCCCCTTAGCCCTCCACGTCGAACGACAACTCGCCACCCGCATCCACTGGCTCCCCGCAACTCTGGCGATGTCGTCGGTCCACCTAGCGGGAGGCCTGCCCACGCTTCGTCTTCCAGTTCGTGGTCTTCACTCAAGGACTTTCCTGAGTTCCAATGCTGTGGCTCTAGCTAATTCCCTATTGGACGAAAAGCGAGTTTCTCACTAGTGCCATCTAGTGAACAAGAAAGGTACTTCCCAGTCTGGTTCAAAGTCTGTAATAGTGTTTGAAGTTCGTTATTTATTCGAAACAATGAAGTAATCACCGTATCTGGTGACAACTGGGTGCACATTTCTATCCATCCCCTTGGGTAGAAAATAAAATAATGTTACTGTTTATTTCTTATAATAAAATCTTTAATATGTTATTGTTTTTCATTTTTAACCTAATTCAAAAGGAATTAAAGGAGGATCTCTGTTTGATCTGTATTTATGTATGTATGTGTGCGGGATTATCTCGCAAATGGTTGAACCAATTTTGATTTGCATAACATAACATCACGCCTTTTACCCCCGAAAAGGTACGCAGAGGTGCACATTATGCCACTGTACAGTGTAACACCCACTTTTCACTATTTATGTTATGAGTCCAATTTAATAGGGGGTGAGCCTATTGCCATATACCGGGCACAATTCCAGACTCCGTGCTACTACTGAGACATAACATAACATCACGCCTTTTATCCCTATAGGGGTAGGCAGAGGTGCACACAGAAGTAACACCACTTTTCACTATTTATGTTATGAGTCCAATTTAATAGGGGGTGAGCCTATTTCCACATACCGGGCACAATTCCAGACTCCGTGCTACTACTGAGACATAACATAACATCACGCCTTCGGCCTTTTATCCCTATAGGGGTAGGCAGAGGTGCACACAGAAGTAACACCCACTTTTCACTATTTATGTTATGAGTCCCATGTAATAGGGGGTGAGCCTATTGCCATATACCGGGCACATTTCCAGACTCCGTGCTACTACTAAGATTTTTTTTTTAAAAAACCCAGTAATACTTTGCCCGACCTGGGAATCGAACCCGAGACCTCTTGCCCGGCAGTCGTACTAACTTTAACAACTTCTTTTTCAAAGTCGGTTTATAATATCATACTAAAACCTTCTCCTAGTCGCGGAGAACCTAACGGGTTACCGGAGCTCCGGCTCGACGTGCAGGAGAAGGAACGGGATAGTTTTTAGTCAGTAAGAGTCTGACACTCCCTCCCGCCTCACCCAGGCGGGAACAGACATTCGATGACTTTCCCCCCTTAAAAAAATGCATTACATATTATATGGTTTACAACTACACTATGATCGCAAACCGGCAAAAATACGATTATTTTTGTAAGATTTATGAAACGTTGGCCGCGTGATCGCAAGTGCGACTGCCGGGCAAGGGGTCTCGATTCCCGGGTCGGACAAAGTACTACTGGGTATTTTATAAATTCTCAGTAGTAGCACGGAGTCCGGAATTGTGCCCGGTATATAGCAATAGGCTCACCCCCTATTACATGGGACTCGTAACATAAATAGGGATTCGGAGATTCGGGAACCTCACTCACACGACGAAACACAACGCAAGCGTTGTTTCACGTCGGTTTTCTCGGCCGTGGTATCTGGTGGTATCTGGTGGTACTCAGGTCGAGGCGGTCCAGCAGTGCTGAAGCATGGCTCTCCCAATCCTCTGGCATGTCTAATTTTAGGTAATACAAGATACAGTTAAGCCGATATTTTCTAAGAAACCGAAAATAATTGTGATTACAAATACGAGGCTTGCAAAGCGGGGTGTACAAAAGAAAAACAAATTAAATACAAACATATCATAACAAGATAAAAGGCGTCAAACAAAATATTAGGTGGTGTCTTATTTTAGAATGTTATTATGCGATTTTTGCGGTTTGTTCCATCAACAATCCGACACAGTCCAGTGCTGGACTAAGGACCTCATCTCACAGATGGGGCCTAACAGGGCTGATGCCGATACGGAGCCGCGGAAGACCTAACAGGTTGCCGCGCTAACGCTCTCGGATAAACCTGAGGCCTTAGTACTAAGAAAGAAAAAAGAAAGAAAGAAAAAACATTTATTTAGCACCAGGCACGATGCAGCATAAATAAAAAAAAGACAATCAAGATGTGACAGTGGAAGTAATAAAAATATAAGAGTTGAAAAATTGAAACAGAAGAATTAGAAAAGAGACGCTGACAACATGCCTATGCTAAAATGGTCACCCACTCAGTGTAAGCCAGACATACAGGTTATCCAGCACTGATTTTCAGTGGGCACCCATGTAGTGACGTACTAGTTTATTTTACGTTTTTTTTTATGGCATAAGCGAGCAGACGGATCACCTGATGGTAAACAAGGGGCGTTGCCCATGGACACCTGAAACATCAGACAAGTGCGTTACCGGCATTTTGGGGATTATGAGTTTGAGGATCGTTGGGGATTCAGGGATTGGGGAGATTGGGGAAGGGGAGGGTAATTAGGCCTCCGGTAACCTTACTCACACGACGAAACACAACGCAAGCGTTGCTTCACGTCGGTTTTCTGTGAGGCTGTGGTATCACTCCAGTCGAGCCGGCCCATTCGTGCTGAAGCATGGCTCTCCCACTTTAGCATACATAATTTACAACGTTAAAAGATATAATACCTACATTAGCACTACTTCCGCGCGGTTTCATACGCTCTGCTCAGTTCCTATTGGTCGTAGCGTGATGTTTTATAGCTTATAGCCATCCTTTATAAATGCGCTATCCAACACAAAAATAATTATTCAAATCGGACTTGTAGTTACGGAGATTAGCGCGTTCAAACAAATAAATAAAAACCTTCAGCTTTATACCTCTATAATAGTAAGATTCTTATAGTTAGTGCGCATAATTATTTTTTTTCATAAGAACACTGCCTTATAGCACAGTTTTGCTTGACTTGTTATATCCAATGTTTACTAAATTGCTACCAAATCGCATGTAACTATGTAAATCAGCCGATTTTCTTGGCATTACACTCAACATATCGGAATAATGGTCGGTATGAATACCACATCGGTAAAAACTTTAATAATTGTATTATTTTTACAATTTTCATGTGTTTTTTGTGTTAATGGGACGCTGAATGGATTAGGTTTGACCTTTTTTTGTTATTTTTTATGGGGTAAACTCTTTGAGGGATCGATAAATTATTGTTTCGGGTTTGGGTATGTTGTGTACATGAATTTGTATGTCTGTAAACGCACCCAGGACTCACAGGAGAAAAAGTCTTAATTTTTTTGAGGGTGAAAATCATAACATACCACAACATAACCATGCCTATTATAATTAAGGTACTTAATGCCACTGTAAAATGTAACACCCACTATTTATGAGTCCCATGCAATAGGGAGTGAGCCAATTGCCATATACCGGGCAAAATTCCAGACTTTATACTTTGCCCTACCCGGCAATCGAACACGAGACCCCTTGCCCGGCAGTCGCACTTGCGACCACACAACCAATGAGGCAGTCATATAAATAAAAATATTCCACAGTTAATAGATGAGCTGTATAAAAGATAAATAAATATATTTATTTTTTCAGAGGAATCAGAAGAAGAAGGTGCGTAATAACAAAGATTAGCTACTTCCCCACAGTTTCATCCGCTCTGCTGAGATCCTATTGATCGTAGCGTGATATTTAGCCTATAGCCTTTCTTGATAAATGGACTATCCAACATAAAAAGAATTTTTGAAATCGGACAAGTAGTTACTGAGATAAGCGCGTTTAAACAAAGTCTTCAGCTCTATATTAATTCTTCTTTTTAATCTCCTTCCTCCTCTCATCTCATGTTATCTTCTTCCACTCTCCCCTATTAGACGTGTCACATCAGAAAATCATTTCTATCCAAAGCAGATCATTTTTTTGGGCTTTTCTGAAAGTGGCTGGCTAAAGAAAAAAATGCTACGTATCATTATTATGTTTTCGGCTTACTCACGTAATTATTTGACGAGGAACTCGACTAGTTTCAAGTCATGGTAGAGGCTCATATTCATGAGCAGCATTCCGCGACCCGCGACGCTTCGACTGTCGCTGATAAATGAATATGAGCCTTTAGTACGACTTGAAACTAGTCGAGTTCCTCGTCAAATAATTAAGTGAGTAAGCCGAAAACATAACATAACATCATCACGCCTTTTATCCTCGAAGGGGTAGGCAGAGGTGCACATTATACCACTGTACAATGTAACACCTACTTTTCACTATTTATGTTATGAGTCCCATGTAATAGGGGGTGAGCCTATTGCCATATACCGGGCACAGTTCCAAACTCCGTGCTACTACTGAGAATTTCTAAAAACCCAGTAATACTTTGCCCGACCCAGGAATCGAACCCGAGACCCCTTACCCGGCAGTCGCAATTGCGACCTCGGCCAACGAGGCAGTCATAATATATTTAGTAGGTACTAGGTTTTACCCGCGGCTTCGCTCGCGTCACAAAAGGATAAAAAGTAGCCTATGTGACTATCCATCCGTTCAACTACCTTCAGTTAAAAAATAACGTTAATTAGTACCTCCGTTCTGCCGTTTAAGACAGGCAAACAAACAAATAGCTTTCCGCTCGCGTGGAATTCGGTTATATCGCGCTATTTACTTTTTGACAATAAGTAGGTAATTCGTTGACTGGTTTTAAATGAGATACAACGCCATCTGTACCAGTACATACAGCGCCATCTATACCAATATTTTTGTTTTTCCTAAGAAATATCAATTTTTCCGGGATAAAAAGTACCCTATTATTTAATCCAGACTTCTAACTTTACGTCTGCAAAATTTCAAAGCAATCGGTCTAGTAGTTACGGCGTGAAGGCGGAACAAACAAACAAACTCATTTTCCGATTTATAATATATAAGTAAGGAAAGTAAGGATAGTAAGGATGTCTCACGAAAGTTATAATACAAATTTGCTACGTATCGTTAGATCTAGCCATTTGGAGTAATAGTTAATATGGCGTGAAAGTTGTAGGGTCCTAGGTGAAGAAATTAAATCTAAAGAAAATAATTCATTCTAGTTCCAAAATTCATCATTTTCATACATTTATTGCTTTCTAAAGGCAGGCCTGCCTAAAACGCAAAATAGGTGTCGATATTGCTAGAATGAAGAATCTGAGGCAATTGGGATGATGACAGGGTATGAAAATTAAAAATCTAATTAAACCGTAAGTTAGGTAATGAAAAAATATTAGACACGTATTTTTTATTTTGTCGTATAATAAAACAATACTGAGATAAAACGAATCAAAATTTAGGAGTGGGGGCTAAAACGTCATTTCTACGTATAATAAAATGTACATAGAAGTGACGTCACGCGACATTTCAAATCAATATATCGTCGATAGTATTCATTTCTGTACGAAAATAAAAAATACGTGTCTAATGTTTTAAAATAATCTACCAGACGGACATTAAAATAAAAATTAGTCATCTACCCTCTTTCTCAATCGTTTTTTTTTTTGGTAGAATTTCTTCAACTGATTCCTCTCGTCCTGGGGGACGTAGGAGGGAGTGCTAGACTATTTAAAACGCTCAGAAGGATGGTGATCTTAATTAAAACTCAGACTTCTTCAAAAATAATTTGTATTCACTTGTTTATATTGTTTTACAAAAATTAATCTGTTGCTGTCAAAAACAAAACCGCGCGAATGCCCGACAAGGATAGTGTTGCCACGTTCGAAAACTAAATCAATTCACAATATTACTAACAGGCATTATAGTGTTTGAAATACTTAGACAATATTGTTAGTCACAAATATAAATATAGTGAGCGATAAAATATGTGACTGTAACAGTCGGCCATCCGACTCATTGACGAGTCCCTTCGTTAAGGCCGTAATTGTTTTAGGCAAAATCATTCATTTCACTTTTGAACGGCAACAGAAAAATTAAAAGTGAAGCTATTTGCTCATTCCAAGGTGTAGACTCCTATGGAGAAGAACGAGCAAGAAACTCCATAGGTTACTCTTTTTCAATCAGGTTCACAATACAATTCTCTGGTTACATAATTTTGTTGGTTCATCAGTTTTAACATTTAGCAAATATAAATTCAAACTGATCATTAAATTTTACATTAAATCAACTTAACTATACGCTATAACAGCTTAACAAAAGGAGGTTACTCCACTTTCACTTCACCACCAATTTGTTTCGCTGTGCTACTCTGTGCTACGACCCTCCAGGTCGTATCATTCATGTCCACCTCTCATCTAACCAAGCTGTGTTGTAAAAACAACCCTTACTGTTCATATAATCATTCTCATGCTAGGCTCAAATCAACAAAAGATGAGTTATATGCAAAGTGTGCTCATGCTCAGTGGAAGCTAACTTAAGCTCTGTGCAATGATTAAACATTAGTAAATACACTCAAGTGAATAACCATCAATACTATATAACAATAAATGTGAATTACCCACAAACCAAATTATTCTCTCAACTGAGATTCATTCACCAAATAACCATCATTAATAAATGTAACCATCTATTATATTTTTTTTAATCTGTACATTCATAAATAAAGGAATATGTCTGTGCATCAAAACTCATCTAGGGGTTCATTTTATCAATAGCTAGTACATTATATATACATTTTCATTTTCTTATATATATATTCCTTCTACAAAGGCGGTGTGTTTACTGTAAGGAACTTGTCATTGGGTATAAACCTTTTTATTTGGTACGGCCCATGGCATTTGGATTCTAGCTTCTTCGACTTCCCTGACCCCCGAACAATAACTCTTACTATCATTATCAGACCTCTAACTCTATATTCCATTGATGACCTTTGATATCTGTCAAATCTATCCTTATTTTATCTTGAAATCGATCCTTATTCTTTAGTGCGATCACTAGCACCTGTCCTAATTTGCTATACAAGTCCCACTTTAAAACACAGTTTTAAAATCGCTTCAGTGACATTATTACAATTGCGATGGATTGCCTAATTTTTCCGCCCAATCAGTCATTCGGTTGGTCATTAGTGACCGTTTCGCGACTTTATGTATCGAGGCATTTATGGCTAAATGAACGTCAGACAGTAGGGGTCTCAAACGGTGTCATTGCTTTTAACTACAACAACAAACAACTGCATCGCTCGACCCGTCCGCCGGGACGCGGAGCCGCGACCGAGCCATGCACATGTCCCGCCTCAATGGGCCTAACAAACGTCCCAAATCCCTTACTGATAACACTGGCACCCACATCAGCAATCAACCCAGACGAAGATCCAAACAAACCAAATACGCTTCCAAAAACTTTAATGCTTGCCTTGGATTCCGTACCATAGACCGAAGACAAATGAACACACTTTATGAAGGGATCCACAATTTCCACAACACACATGCCACCATGCTCGCCGCGCGGAAATAGCCCGAGATGATCAGCGCGTATGGTATTCAGCGCGACATCCAGCGCCCATTATCGGAACCCAACGGTGCGTCCACTCCAAGTACGCTGACACATACCTTCTGTCTTCCTCATCACAGGAAACTAACATATGGATTCGACTCTTTCCACAGTCTTCTCAAAATCATAATGACCCACATCACCATGGTTGATTTTGAGGACCTGCCAACGTATCACAGTCAAACACAATGGCAAAGGTACTTTTAAGTTGCGTTTGCCAGTCCAAAGGGCACATGACTCCACTCGTATTGACAAGAACCAAACACGAAGTCAAGCGCCGTGAAAGGCGAATATATTGAAAGCTAATCAAGTAAATCCTCTATTCGTGAAAGCGGACATTGGTCTCATCCTGCACGGCGACCAAGACAAACCTCGGACACAAGCAAGTTCGGAATGTGAGAGTTGGCAAGGCCTGCACACGAGCAGCGTTGAGTCAGTCAAATAGATCCCAGCCACAGACGCACAGACCAAATCATGCAACCCTGTCAAACAACAATAGCCGTACTTCGATAACATAACGCGGCATTTATCTTTTCCAATCACAGCAAGTCCATCTCCCATCTTGATAGAACCACCAAAACGATACGACGAAGAAGATATCAGAAATATATTGACCGCGTGGAAAACATTCAAAAACGTTTTATAAAATATCTCTGTTTCCACCAAAATATATCATACCAGTCTGCCCGTTATCTTGAACTCTGTAGAAAATTCCATCTATTACCATTGGTAGATAGACGCAATATTGCAGATTGTCTATTCTTGTTTAAAGTTCTTAACGGCAATGTGGATAGTCCAGAACTATTATCAAAAATCAAATTTAATGTACCTAATAAAATATTTAGATTTAATCCACCTTGACACGTATCCCGTTACTCATCTAACTACAGGCAGAATAGTTACATTATGCGTGCAAGCAGACACTTTAACAATGTTTGTAAGGAATATGACTTCGATCCGTGTACAACTAGTGTGAACTCGGCAAAGAGGTGCTTAAGCCTCAAATTTTTTTATAAGCAGCACTATACTCCGTCTGTTTAGGTAGTTAACTATTTGTAAACAAACCATAAAAAGAGTTCTTTATAGTTGACATTTCCATGATTCAAAATACTTCATAAGAAAATAAAATTGTTTCCCTTTTTACGACAGTTTTCTCTATTAAATGTTGTGTTTCTGTTCCTTTTCACTTATTTCTTAGTAAATATATATATATCTGCTTGAGGATATTAATTTAATAACATTTATTAAATAATATAATATTTCATTACAATAGACACCATAAAGAGCCTAAAATCCCAGGTATCCAAAACCCTTCTTTAAGAACGAAGCAAAATAATGTTGTCAAATTAAAGAGTACAACTAAGATGTAGCGCGACAATGAAAGTAGCGTGTATTACGTTTAGTCGTTTAGTCGGTTAATCAGGCGCCATTGACAGCTCTCTCGTCGTTTGCGCTCGCGTTCCTATTTTGTTGAATTTATCTTGTTTCTTTGTTTTGTTTTTGTTATTAAGTTATTTAAGTTTAGGTATACATCGTTTGTAATTAACGTGTTCAAATATATTGAAGAAACTTGGCCCAAAGACATATATCCGTACAAGAAAGAAATCCGTACATCAGATTCAGAATAGTTTCTATTTAAACATGATAATGAAATAGACCCATAGGCTAGGCTCTTGTACGATTTAGGCATTTGTACTTGTATGTGTGTGTATGACAAATGAACGATTTTAAAGTGAATTTAGTTAAAATTAAAACACGAGAAATATTTGAAGTAATAGTAGGTTAAGTATCTCTGTGTCACGTGGTTTTCTTTGTTTACCTTTAGTTAATTACCTAAACAGATGGACTATAGATATTTAGTTTTTTTTTATCGTTTCTCTTGATCTGTTTATAATCATAGTGTCTGTACGGTCTGTTTCAATATTTATTTTTTTATTTACGCAGAATGTATGTATTTTTAATTTTGTATAGTACTCACACCATATTATTTAATTTATTCCAAATGCTAAACGTGAGGACTTGTTATTGGCTCATTGTTACCTACGCCTATTGTTATTTTTATCCATTTTTATAAGCTGTTAGTCCTCCATGAATTATAAATAAATAAAAAAACTTTCATTATCCAAATTATTATATATCTGTAACATACCCAAAATTCGATTCTGATGCAACATTGTCCTAACTCGGGAGACTAACACATGGACAGTTTAACAAAATGAATAGTTTAAGAACTTGAGGTCTGTATCAGAATACAGCATACTCTATGGTCATCGGTATTCACAAAGCGATAAACAATATTCCCTTAGTGTCAAGTTCACCCCTTATTGAACCTCAAAAATAAATACTACCACTATAATTCGTTTGAGCATCAACAGTAACTGTTTTAAGTCCTATATATCTGATTCGAAATTACATCAATTTTTTAGTGGAACCCTACTAAAAATTGATGTAATCACCCCTCATGTCAAATTATCAATCTTTTCAGTTCTTAAATCAGTAGCTGTCTTAACTATTCTTAAATTAAATTAAGTTGTTCCGTAAAACTGTGTTCAAGGAACACTGGAATATTTATAATATTTACCTCTAACCTGTTCCTCCTACATTTACTCCTACATAAACATACATACAGTTGTATATTAGGCAGGAAATACTGCCTAAGTCTCTGAACAGTGTCCCACTGACTACCGATTTTATAGGCTACCTAAATCAAACTGTCAAGCATTAACCATTTACTTGAACATCTACTCTGTATTCTGCTATATTTATCATTTATGTCATAATGTACAGATACTTTTAGGAGACTTCTCTTATAATCATTGTACTATTGGTAACAATTTTATTAGAAACATTATCATTATCAAATTTGTTTTTTTTTTATGAATTTGAGTTATGCCCTAAAAAGTTGCATTCAGAATATTTTTTTAATTGGCTTATGACATTATAGCTTTATATGACAATTTTTTGTTTTTTATTTTTTTTTTTTACATTTAATACACATTGCATTCCCCTTGTTTGAAGTCTCCCTGATTGATTTTTATTAATTTTATCAATGGTTATTGATGTAGGGCTGGTCCAGGTTGAAGAACTTTGCAAATATCTATTATTACTAGTCCTTCTATTTCCTACTACACTGTACTCACTAAAGTGAGATTTAAACACTTTCTTAAAAAAAAATCCCTAGTTTCATCTGGTTTGTCAATTTTTTTTTTTTATAAAATATACACAAAAACAGGTAAACAACCATCAACAGCATTCAAATCTAACTGAACAATTGGTTTCATGTGTCTAATTGTTTTAACACAAACATAAATAAAGTACATAAGAACTATTTCTATTATTTCACTATGCTGTCTCATTAATATATAAAATTATTAATCACATCACCTATAATCTCAAAGTAGCTTGGCAAAGGATAGCTTCTCTATTCTTCCACTACCCAATTGACAAGGTTTGCCATACATAACTCTCATGCTCAGCTCTTCGCTGCTGAAGCTCATGAGTCATGCAGACACTATCGCTATAATAATCTAAATGTAGCTTGACAAAGGATAGCTTCTCTATTCTTCCACTACCCAATTGACAAGGTTTGCCATACATAACTCTCATGCTCAGCTCTTCGCTGCTGAAGCTCATGAGTCATGCAGACACTATCGCTATAATAATCTAAATGTAGCTTGACAAAGGATAGCTTCTCTATTCTTCCACTACCCAATTGACAAGGTTTGCCATACATAACTCTCATGCTCAGCTCTTCGCTGCTGAAGCTCATGAGTCATGCAGACACTATCGCTATAATAATCTAAATGTAGCTTGACAAAGGATAGCTTCTCTATTCTTCCACTACCCAATTGACAAGGTTTGCCATACATAACTCTCATGCTCAGCTCTTCGCTGCTGAAGCTCATGAGTCATGCAGACACTATCGCTATAATAATCTAAATGTAGCTTGACAAAGGATAGCTTCTCTATTCTTCCACTACCCAATTGACAAGGTTTGCCATACATAACTCTCATGCTCAGCTCTTCACTGCTGAAGCTCATGAGTCATGCAGACACTATCACTATAATAATCTAAATGTAGCTTGACAAAGGATAGCTTCTCTATTCTTCCACTACCCAATTGACAAGGTTTGCCATACATAACTCTCATGCTCGGCTCTTCTCTGCTCAAGCTCATGAGTCATGTAGACACTATCACGTCTAGGTACAGTACATTGCAATTGCATTGTAAATTAATACAGTTACAATAAATCTTTAAAAACAAAAGATATCTTACCAAAAACCATTCATAATCTTTACCCTTAAAAACATTAATAAATTCTTCAAACACTTAGCAGCTCAATGAACTTCGGTTGCTGAGAACTCAAGCTTTCGGTGTTATTTCCAAAGGAGCTACGAATCACACTGGATTTGCAAACATGCCGTCGATGATCACCAGAGACATCATGTGACTTCAGATTGCGGCGTCGTTGTCTCATCAATTCTCGCTCCAATATATAAAGCCTCTCGCGCAATTCATGAAAGAGAGAAAAACATATTTTAGACATGACTTGATCAAATCTCGAGTGAACTAAGGTTTAAATTTCTGGTGTAATAACAAATCACCGTTAATGGTGGCTGACCTCAATGTTCTGAAAGCGATGACAGTTGGTCCAGCTTTAGTTTTAAACTTTCGACTTCGATCTTGGTTTTGACGTTCGTGTGAGGACACGACTTCGGTTTTATTGCATACCATTGCTGTTCCTTGTATCACGATAGACTCCCTTTGTTAATAGTATGGGGCTCCTAGGTGTTATGAGTGTTTGAAGTCTACCACTAGGCTCCGATCCGATTCTCTTCAGAACTTCCTCGTTTCTTTGTATTTGATGTTAACTTGTGGGCGTAACAAAACAATATGTTTTGTTGTAATCCCACTTCTGAGCTAAAACGCTCAGAAGGATGGTGATCTTAATTAAAACTCAGACTTCTTCAAAAATAATTTGTATTCACTTGTTTATATTGTTTTACAAAAATTAATCTGTTGCTGTCAAAAACAAAACCGCGCGAATGCCCGATAAGGATAGTGTTGCCACGTTCGAAAACTAAATCAATTCACAATATTACTAACAGGCATTATAGTGTTTGAAATACTTAGACAATATTGTTAGTCACAAATATAAATATAGTGAGCGATAAAATATGTGACTGTAACATATTACTGACTAAAAACTACCTATCTCTATTTAACTCCTACTCCATCCCGCCCAAAAATGTATGGAGCCAAAATGATCTCCTTCATATGAAAGACTAGTGTAGTGTATGTGAGTGAAAGAGAGGGAAGCATTATGTCTGTCATCTCTGGCGCGCGTAATCTAGTCGGCTGTGAACGGTGTGAGTAAGAGGGCGCGCGCGGGTAAGAGCCGACAATATTTTTTTTCTTTTTTTTTCTTTTTTTTTTAATATTGAAGGATATACCACAACTAGTTTCTGCTACCGGCTTTGCCCGCGTTCCCATGGCCTATGTGTTATTCTAGACTATATTCTAAATTCCATCAAGATTCATTAACCCGTTTTGACGTGTAATAGCAACAAACAAACAGACAAACATTTTGCATTTATAATATTAGTAGTATCTTAACATTTCTTACACAATCTTCTTTCTACATTTAAAGGCAAAATTTTCGGTGACATAAATATAATCACCACACCATTTGCCAAGTGTGGGGATTATGGAAAACTTACTTTTTGAGAGCAAAAATTTAGTAGCACCAATTGTTACACGACTACTGTTGAAAAATACAACCAAAGATATAATTAGCCATAATCCCCAGACTTGTCAAACTGCTTGGGGATTACAGTTACGTCACAGATTTTGTACTTTACACTTCTTCCCATCAGTGCGGGGATTAAACATGTAATGTTCCTGATTTTTTTTTAGGATCGTTTTGTCGTGCTGACGAAGACAATTTTGGACTGTGTAAGAAGATCACACAATGCGCGGGACTATTCAAAAATGTAACAACTCTTAAATTTCATAAGGTAAATAGCTGTATCAAAGATTTTTTTTAAAATAAATACATTGCCCCACACTAGGATTATCTCCTGTGTCGTGGGTGCGTTTACAAACATACAAGTTCACATACACAATAACACCCAGACTCGAAACAACAATTTGTGGATCACACAAAGTGTTGTTCCGTGCGGGAATCGAACCCACGACACATCGCACGGCAGCCGGTTGCCCAGCCACCGCACCAACCGTGCAGTCAAAGATCATCATCATCATCATCAACAGCCTAACTTTTGACCAAATGCCTCTCACACGCATGAACATTAATCACCACACTTGCTCAATGCGGGTTGGCGATTAAAAACTTATAATTAGAAATTATAAACCCAGGATTCCTCATGATGTTTTCTTATACCATTTGTCAGTGGTGTCTAGATAATCTTAGAAAGTACTTACAAAACTTCTCCGTGTGAGAAGAGGCATTTGGTCAGCAGTGGACGTTTACAGGCTGTTGATGTTTTAGCGACATTATGATTTTCAGCAACCTATATAAGTGACCAGTATATTTACTAGTAAGGAGTTAGTTTAGGTGCCACATAACGCTAAGTATCTTTTAGTTAAGAGACGGTTTAAAACTGCTCGGCTCTCGGCTTACTGCCTCGTTGGCCGAGTGGTCGCAATTGCGACTGCCTGGCAATAGGTCTCGGGTTCGATTCCCAGGTCGGTCAAAGTATTACTGGGTTTTTAATAATCTCAGTAGTAGCACGGAGTCTGGAAATGTGCCCGGTATATGGCAATAGACTCTCCACCTGTTACATGGGACTCATTACATAAATAGTGAAACGTGGGTGTTACATTGTACAGTGGCATTAAGTGCCGTAATGTGCACTTCTGGCTACCACTTCGGGAATGAAAGGCGTGATGAAACGACCATTAGATTTTCAAACTAATTTCTTTATTTCTTTTCAGTTTTGTTCCTTCAGTTTGAAAAGGCCTTTAGTGTGTTGCCCATTCTGCCAATTCGATGATGATATGTAAGTAACACTTTTAAAATACCTATTTTGTTTAATTTACATTGCATGTGTGTGAAGCCAACTCTATAGGCTCGTACACAAAACTGCGATGCGAATCCGCAACGCAAAAAATTACGATGCGAATTGCTGCGATGCGATTTCGTGCGACAAGGCGTCTCCCAGGGTGACTATTCCTTCGACGACTGTCAACCGTACTAAACGTATTTTAAATTGAAAACTAGGTCGTGACATGGATCGTAAAAAGAAGTGTGCACTCCTGTTATTGCTTAGGAGATACAGGAAAAAGAAACAAAGAACATTGGGAAGATAAGATTTTGATGCGCGATGCGAATCTATTCGCAAGTTCTTGCGATGCGTAGATGCGCATCGCGGTTTTGTGCACGAGCCCTATGTTAAAAACCTCCTTTGTAGCGAGATAAGAAAAATGGTGGTGACGCAGTGTGTCCGCATTCGCGGTAAAATTCAAATTTCGAAGCCCCGCCCACGCCTCGCTCAAGCGGGCTCCGCGCTCGCGCCAACAGTCACCGGCGAAACGTTATCAGTGAGCGTGTTACCACGTGTTTCGCTCCGCGTTCCCACCATTTTTCTCAATTTCTTGAATTCGTTGTGGAAATGTGGACACATCCAGCCCTAATTTGTTACTTATTTTGGACACATCCAGACCTAATGTGTTACAGTGTGTGTGTATTTGTGTGTGTGTCAACAAAATTTTAAAGCAGATATCTTCAACCGATTGGACTGAAATTTTGTATACACTACAACATGCCTTTGGTCAGCAGTGGCCACTTATAGGCTGTTGATGTGTGTTCCTGAATAATCATTTTTCTGTTTCAGCTACAACCACCTAAGTACTAAACAAGAAAAACCAAAACCCACTGGTAAGTTGTACCTACTTTGTACAGATTCTCCATTTACAAATAACATATCATCACCTTTTTATGACAGAAGGGGTAGACGGAGTACGGCAATTAATGTCACTGTACAATGTAACACCCACTTTTCACTATTTATGTTATGAGTCCCATGTAATAGGGGGTGAGCCTATTACCATATACCGGGCACAATACCAGACTCCATGCTACTATTGAGATTATTTTTAAAAACCCAGTAATACTTTACACGACCCGGGAATCGAACCTGAGACCTCTTGCCAGGCAGTCGCACTTACGACCACTCGGCCAATGAGGCAAATTACAAATAATCGTCAGTTAACTGCAAATTTACAGTTGGATTGCAGATAAAATGCAGTCCATCTGTCTTTTTTTTAAGGGGGGAAAATCATCGAATGATTGTTCCCGCCCTGGGTGAGGCGGAAGGGCGTGTCAGACTCTTACTGACTAAAAACCACCCCGTTCCTTCTCCTGCACGTCGAGCCGGAGCCCCGCTTACCCGTTAGGTTCCAGTCCGTTTGTCTAGAGCCTAAGAGACAGACTCTCTCTCGCCTCATCCCAGGTGGGAGAAGTCATTGGATGATATTCTTCACCGCAAAGAAAATTAAAGTTTGTTCTTCATTTCCCAGATTGTATATGGGATATATATATAAATAGAGTACCATGCAATACTTTGGAAGACTTCGAAGATCTGGACGAAAGTATGATGTGTGATAAAATACGGGACCCTCGTAATCTGCAGAAGGTCATAGCTGGAGGAAAAAATGCTGAGAGGAGGCAGTTCCCTCACATGGTGAGGTGACATCATTTTTAATTCACATCAAAAGACTATAAGTTCATTCATGGTAGATGTCCCTCCCATTATATTATACTAGCTTTTACCCGCGGCTTCGCTCGCGTCACAAAAGGATAAAAAGTAGCCTATGTGACGTATACCAATACACATAGCGCCATCTATTTTGTTTTCCCTCGGGAATATCAATTTTTCCGGGATAAAAAGTACCCTATTATTTAATCCAGACTTCTAACTTTACGTCTGCAAAAATTCAAAGCAATCGGTTTAGTAGTTACGGCGTGAAAGCGGAACAAACAAACAAACAAAAAACTCACTTTCCAATTTATAATATTAGTAATGATTTGTCTGGACTTTAAAAGAGACGGACCTCTGAGTTTGTTTCGGCATTTCTTCTCAGTCAGTTAGGAAATGTCGACCTCATCGTTCGCTTGATAAAATTGACGTGTAAAAGTGCTGCCTTGTAGCCTAATTGCAGAAATAAATTCACTTGTATCACTTGTTTCATTCGCACGAAGCGCTTCGCTTCAAGCTTTCCTGTGCGTACTGCTAAGGAGTTGAATTCTTTGCCAGAGTCTGTTTTTCCTGAACCTGGGTGTCTTCAAGGCCCGAGTGAATGAGTTGCTTATAGGTCGACGTGATCCATCGTAGGCTTCATCATCGAAGTACCACCAGGCGGGATAGTGGCCAAACGTGCCTATATCTGAGCAAAGACTTATTCTCACACGGAGGTTTGAGCATTAAGCTTCAAGCTTGCTCAATGATGGTTGTCGAATTTAAATTTATATTTAGTTCAGGGTGCTTACTTTTGAAACCAATCTCAATGTCAATGCAATTTCAATCCAATAAAATCTCAATAACTATTCAATGTCAAAACTATACAATTCCTATATAAGTAGCTGTTACAATAGCATTCAGAGTACGAAATATAAAACCAAACTCAATACCAATTAGTTCATTTAATATCCATGCAATACGGATGCAATGGGCGCTAGTGTTGCAACTCAAGAGTATGAAATTTCACAATACCAATGTCGATCGATCGGAATTGAATTCAAGAGTAAGCACCCTGGTTTCACGATGTTTTCTTCAACGTTTGTCAGTGGTGTCTAAATAATCTTAGAAAGTATATTATTTCTATCACAAAATTAAATGCTTTCCACGGTATATTGATTTGAAATGACGTCACAGCGTGCAACAAAATGTAGCACGTTGTGACGTAACTACCTCCCACTCATAAACTTAACGCCATTTTATTTAAATATTGTAACTTTATACGAGAAAATAAAAAAATATGTGTATAATACTTTTTTATTATCTAACTGACGGACTAATAAGATTTTTAATTTTCTTACCCTGGAAACTACCCTATTGCAGCAGGCAGCTGTCAGTACGAACCCTCACTCTCATGCATGAAACCCGCTCCTCATCATAGCCTCCTGACCACCACAAAATTATTTATTTCGTTATTTTTCTGTATTATAACTTTCGTGAGACATACTAAATATATTATTATGTTTTCGGCTTACTCACGTAATAATTTGACGAGGAACTCGACTAGATTCATTTGCGACAGTCGCCGCGTCGCGGGTCGCGATATGATGCTCATGAACATGAGCCTCTAGCATGGCTTGAAACTAGTCGAGTCAAATAATTTCGTGAGTAAACCGGAAACATAATAATATATTTAGTTATTTTTTATTTATGTATGTCATCAACGTCAGAGCCGTAATATCCCTGAGGCCAACTAGGCAAGTCTGTAGGACGCTAGGCTACAGAGAGGGGGCACCACATGGCCGCGAGACGTGCGTGCACATAGCGTGGCGGGGACGCCAAAAATATTATGGACGCCTATGAGAGATTTGTCTAGGATGCTCTTTAGCCTTAGCCCACCTCTCACCGCCGTCAATAACCATCTGTCTCACATTATGTTCTAGGCTCTGATTGGCTACGGCCCTGATCCAACCAACGCTGATTGGGTATGTGGAGGCACCATCATTACAAAAAAATACATATTAACGGCTGCGCACTGTATTTCTAGTCCTGCTTTGTAAGTATACATTATTTTAGTGTTACCTTTTCATGGAGAAAACGGATCAACGGATGGTAAGCAATCTGGGCCGCCCATGGATACCCGGAACACCATAGAAGATACTAGACTTTGGAGAGAGCGTGTGGTCGACCGTCATTGCGTATGGTTAGTTCCATCCAATGGAATAGGGAGGCAATCGAGCAGACGGATCACCTGATGGTAAGCAATCGGCGTCTATGAACACCCAGAACACTACAGACAAATGCGTTGCCGGCATTCTTTCTAGGTGTGGGGAATGAGGTTTCCGGTAATCTCACTCCCACGGCGAAACACAACACAAGCGTTGCTTCACGCCGATTTTCTGTGAGGCCGTGGTATTGCTCCGGTCGAGCGTACCATACATGTAAGCATAGTTTATAGAATAGGGTGACCAACTAGCAGACGGATCACCGGATGGTAAGCAATCGGCGCTGCCCATGGACACCCGCAACACCAAGAGAACTTACAAGAGCGTTGCTGGCCTACAAATTATGTTAACTATAGCTTCTGTCAGCGGCTTCGCCCGCGGCCTCGTGGGGTAAAAAGTAACCTCTGTGTTATGTTAGACCATAACCAACCCTCGGTCCAAATTTTATCCCCGCGTCGGGGATCGCGGGACGATCTTCGGCCGGCGATCATGGGTGGCTCCCCGTCCGATCAGAAACAGACCCGAGCGTACGGCGCGTATCGCGTACCACGGATGGGGCCCCACAGGGCCGATGCCGATTCGGAGTCGCGGAGAACCTAACGGGTTACCGGGGCTCCGGCTCGACGTGCAGGTGAAGGAACGGGGTGGTTTTCAGTTAGTACCTAAGAGTCTGACACTCCCTCCCGCCTCACCCAGGCGGGAGCAGTCATTCGATGACATTCCACCCTTAAAAAAAATCCCTTCAGCCAATTTGTCATGATTGAGTAACATTCATACACAAACACAAACATTCGGGTTTATAAAATTTTGTATGATGATATAACATTATGTTACTTCCACAGGGGCAAAATAAAATACGCTGCTCTTGGCATCCTGAAACGCGGTGATCATCAGAGAATGTGGCATATATATGACATAGTACAAATTATTGGACATCCGGACTACCATCCACCATCAAAGTACCACGATATAGCTCTACTGCAAACTGGGAAAGAGTAAGTACTTAGAATAGGAACTCGACTAGTTTGAAACCATGCCACAGGCTCATGTATTCATGAGCAGCATTCCGCGACTCACGACGCGGCGAATGATGAATGATGTGCGAATATGAGCATGGCTAGAAACTAGTCGAGTTCCTCGTCAAATAATTACGTGAGTAAGTCGAAAAACATAATAATTAATTTAGTATATCCCACGAAAGTTATAACATAAAATTACAAATGATAAGCCCTGATTTCCTCCCGATGTTTTCCTTCACCGTTTGTGTCTAGATAATCTTAGAAAGTACCTAGGTACATATACCTTGGAAAAAGTCACATTGGTACTTGCCGTTGGTAAGTTTCAAGCCCGCGCCCTTATTCATGAGAAGCGAGCGGCTTAAACCTCCGGGCCACCACGACACATAAACATGTATTCATATATGCCACTCCTAATCCTGTCGTGGATGTCGTAACAGCCAACTGAAGGACTATGTGTAGTCCAGTTGACAGAGATCTCACAGCAGCGCTCTCTGATAAATCTGAGCCTTTTATACTGCGACCTCCAACCTGCTTGCCTGCGGAGATTATGATAAACCCTCTTATGTAGAGGAGACTCATAGTACAGCAGTGGACTGTTACGGACTGTTGATATCCTAAAGGTCTTTTTTCCTGGGACTGTGGAGACGAGAACCGCAAGGGTTGCCGTGGCCCCGGCTCTGAGCAGGAGTAGGAACTGGGTGGTGTTTAGTCAGTAAGAGTCTGACACTTCCTCTCACCTCACCCATGGCGGGAGGAGTCCATAGGGTGGTGCCGTATCAGGCGTTGCACTGTGGGGGCTCCGGGGTTGGTCTACTAAGAGGACCTGGTGCCTCCTTCAAGTGCATAATTATGGTGGCCACCGGGGAGATTTTAGTGAGGTAAAAATCCCACACTCCCTAGTCTTTTTCCCCAAAAAGCTGGCCTCCTTTTAAAGACCAACAAAAAAAAAACGTCGGGAGGAGTAATTTGATGAATTTTCACGTCTTAAACAATTTTTATTTTCAGTATTATGTTCACTGACAGTGTTCTGCCAGCCTGTCTGCTCAAAGACCCTTCTAAAGAAGCTCCAGTTGCCATAGCAACGGGATGGGGAACTATGGGACATCGGAAGCCGCTTGCTGAAATATTACAGATGGTAAGACAAGAGGACCTGATGGCGCTAATGTAGCGTAGGGACCTACTATTTATTGACCCTTCAGTATACAAGTATGGCGGACTAAGACTAAGTCCAATTGTTTAATATATATTTTAAAATATCATTGTTTCACTATGGTTTTCTGCTCGGTCGTGGTAACACACCGGTCGAGCCAGCCCAATCGTGTTGAAGCATAGCTGTCTCATACCCATCATCAAAATGACACGTATATGTAAAAAAAAGATCTCCAAAATCACCAAAAAGAGTTCAGACATTGGTCTTCCCTATTTTCCTCTATGGTGCAGAGCCCTAGATCGCAAAAAGATAGACGCTCTCGAAATGTGGTGTTGCCGAAGAATGCTCCGGATACCATGGACTACCAGACGAACAAATAAGTCAAACCTGGAACAGCTCAATATAAAGATTAGACTGTCGACCGTATGTTACCAGCGAATGCTTGGATATTTCGGTCACATTGCCTGCCGCCAGACAGATAACCTCCACAAATTGGTTATTGTTGGTAAGGTGGAAGGAAAAAGACCACGTGACCGATCACCTAGCCGATGGTGTGACCAAGTTACCAACTACACTAGACTCTCTGTTACGAAAGCCCTGAGAGAAGCCGAAAACAGGACAAGATGGAGGGAAATAACACAGAGAGCAATGAAAGCCTTTCAGGGGCACGACCTTCAGAAATGCTTTCTTTAATTTCTGTCTATTTTCAGGTGGAAGTAGTCAGGTTTCAGGACGCTGATTGCAGAAGGGCGTATCCTGCACATAGACATTTGGCCAATGGTTTCGACCCCACCACGCAGATTTGTTATGGAAGCGTAGAAGAAATTAATGATACTTGTGAGGTAGGTACTCTTAACTCGTCGAGTACCGTATTTATAGACATAATTAAAGAACAATAGGTTGCGGTCACCGGTGACCGCTTGGTGTTTGACAGTTTAAAAGTCATGTTTTATGGTATAGCACGGCAAACGAGCAGATTGTTCACCTGATGGTAAGCAATCGTTAGCCGCCTATGGACACCTGCATCATCAGAGTGTTGTTAGCCTTTTAGAGGAGAACCGAGGGAATAACGCTTGGGAAACACAATACAAGACCCAGCCCATTCGTGCCGAAACACAGCAACTGGAATCCGATGTGGGAAACATTCATATGGACAAGATATTATTAGCCTTCATTTACGTGCGTGCGGTTGACCGCGAGGCTGTTTTTTGAGGGAGGAAAATCAAGCAATGAGCTTTCTCGTCCGGGTGAGGCGAGAAGGTGTTTCAGACTCTTACTGACTAAAAACCACCCCATTCCAACTCCTACACTTCGAGCCGGAGCCCCGGTAACCCGTCAAGTCCTCCACGGCTCCATATCGACATCAACCCTACTGGGCCGCATCTGTGGTGGTCTGATGGCTCTTTGAGGCGCTCGAATGCGACGCACCGTACGCTCGGGTCTGTTTCTGATCCCCGTGCTCGCTGTCCGCAGGCCCACCTCCTTGACCACTTCTCTTATCTACTCTCCTAAATTATGCAATTGCAAAACAAACGCTATGCCAACGTGTCAGGCGATGTGATCCGCCTAGGTGGTAAAGCGCTAATGTGTAGTCGCACATAGTCCATTATTTTCATGGGAAGACTTATGAGAACCACATCACATCAACAGCCTATATGTGCCCTCTGCTGACCACAAGCCTCGTCTCACACGGAGAAGGTTTGAGCATTAATCACCACGCTCGCTCAACGCGGGTTGGCGATTTCAAACTTATAATTAAAATTTGTAAGTCCAGGGTGCTTACTCTAGAAACCAATCTCAATTTCAATCCAATAAAATCTCAATAATTATTCAATTTCAAAACTACTATCGTAGCTTTTAAAGCAGCATTCAGAGTACGGAATATAAATCTAAACTCAATACCATTTAGTTCATTCAATATCCACGCAATACGGATGCAATGGATGGATTCTTGCGAGAACACGACGGCGAGTAGACGTGCCTTAATTGCAATATTTATTTTTTATTCATGTAAACAATTAGTCAATCAAGTATTGACCTAGATTATACCACATTTAATAAATTTTGTTTAGTTTGTAATACATTATGTTACATAATTAAACGTTAACATGGCTAACATAGAAAATAGCCCTTTTAATCGGAGTTCGAAAACGTGTCGCAGCCCTCCCAGCACTCCGCAACCCGCAGAACATGCTGCCGAAGAGACCTTGGAAGCACTCTCGACCAGTGACATTAAGGGTTGGATGGTGACAATAGAAAAGGCTCTCAATGATGTGTGCCAGATTGCTGCAGAGGGTAAGTTGAACTCTGAGCAGAAGCTTAATATTAACACTCTGGCACGAAGGGTCGGTAATGGAGTCTCCCAAATGGCGATCCACTATCAGACCTTAAAACAAAGGCTTGCCAGATAAAAACATCTCTGGAAGCCTTAAGAGAAAAGGAGGACCTTGCTGCTTGCCTGAACGACTTTAAACAGTCAATTAAGGAAACAATCCAAGAAAATTGCAGTAAACCTGTGGCTCAAAATATGTCCTTTGCTGATATTTTAAAGACCAACAAATCAAGTGTCCTGCGGCCCTCTAATTTGAAGTCAATCGCAATTTATCCGAACGATGCACAAAAATCCAGTGACGACACCAAAACGCTCGTGCAAAAGATTATTAATCCAGAGCAAATGAAATTGCACGTTAGAGGGATGAGAAAAACGAGGAACGGAGGTGTAATAATTAGCACCGAATCAAACGAGGACATTGAAAAACTCCGTCGATCGAGCCAGCTGACCAGTTCAGGCCTGAAAGTCGAAGAACCTCACAAAAGAAGGCCGCGAATAATAGTAGTCGGCGTGCCCGCAGCTCTTCGAGACCAAGAGGTGTTCGATGCAATTTATGAGCAGAACCTGGCGGATAAGATGCCTAATATGACGCGAGAATCATTCCTGTCTTGCATCAAGTTAAGCCACAAGTCAGGGAAAAAAGACGCGCCCACGTGCAACTTTATAATAGAAGTCCCAGCCAATGTAAGGAAAGCTCTCATAAATCAGGAGAGAATCTACATCAACTGGACTTCCTGCCCTGTACGTGACTTCACTCTCGTAACCCGGTGCTTTAAATGTCAGCAATATGGGCATGCTGCAAAAACTTGTCGCGAAGTTACATGTACATGCGGACATTGTGGAGAACAAGGGCATGAGACTAAAGATTGCACTAAGAAGGACAAGCCGCCAAAATGTGCCACATGCTCCCGGTTCAAAAAGCCAAGCAGTCACAAAACTGGGGACCTTGAATGCCCGGCTAAGAAGACAGCAGAAACGAGGTACATTAACTCTATTGACTATAATGAGGGCGCCTAAGAGCGCCACCTTTTATATTATCAATAGCACTAGTAATATTTAGATAGTTTAATTTTATTTTCCAGTAGTTGATTAATATTTTTGTAATTTATATGGCTAATCAATTGATTAATGATCTCGATGACAATGCAGTATATAACTCAAAAGTTTCTGAAACAGAAAAATGCAGACATTATCTCGCCGATTTCAAAAATCCTTTAACAATACTAACTCAAAATATTCGCAGCATATATAAAAACATAGACAGTCTAAGTATCTTTCTGCAAAGATTAAATTCACAGTGCGATGTCATTGTACTAACAGAATGTTGGCTTTCAAATAAAAATGGGATTATGCCGATATTATCAGGTTACAACTACATTAGCTCTACACTAAATTTTAACCAAAATGATGGAATCGTAATATATACAAAACAATCTCTCCATTTTTCGATCGAAGAGCCAAAAAACCTGGAATTTAATTGTTTTATTATTAAAATAGGCTCTGAAATAGCAATCGTGTCAATATATAGATCTCCTTCCATCAGAAATTTAGATAAATTTAATAATTCATTAGATAGTATTCTTCAAAATTTGTCATCCTTTTCAACTGTCATCGTAATTGGCGACCTAAATATTAATATAAATTCTGATAACATTGACGCAGGTACTCAAGACTACCTAAACCTTTGTGCATATCATGGCATTTTACCTTCACACACATTTCCAACTCATCAAAGTGGGTCATGTTTGGATCACGTCATGCTAAAAACTAGACTTCCGTGTTTAACACTTGTTACTAACTCAACAATCACAGACCATTCCGCAATTTTGCTTACGCTTGAATTAAAGCGGACTCAACATTTTTCGCGTCCGCAGCAAAGATCGAAACTCAATATGACTAATCTGGGACGTGATTTATGCAATATTGACTTTAGTCCAGTTTTTGATTCTGCTGATGCTGACGAATCGATGGATTATGTTATTAAACATGTACAACTATCTATCTTAAATAATACTAACACAATAACCTTAAGTAAGAAAAATTGCACCATAAAACCGTGGATAACGGAGGGACTTGTCAGGTGTATACGACACCGCGATAGACTACATAGTAAAGCCAAACAAAACCCTAATAACTTAATTATCCAGACAACATATAAAAGATATCGTAATTTCTGCAATAACCTCTTAAAACGTATAAAAAATGAATACGACAAATCACAAATAGCTCAATCCGGAAACAACCCCAAACAACTGTGGAAATATATTAAGTCAGTCACATTCATGACGAAGCAAAATAATTGTGACACTGGTTTATTGCAGACGGATCAAACCCCGCTATCATCAGCTAACAACGTAAATAGTTTCTTTGCTAATATTGGTGTGAGGCTAGCGGAAAACATTCAAAGACAGTGTTATAATGACCCCAATACTACGATACCAACTCCTCGGTCATGTATTGGTAGTGGAAAGTCTTTTGTTTGCTAGAACCGGACGAAAGTGAAGTAGAACGAATTATTATATCTTTAAAAAATAGTCCCGTGACAGGGTGGGATAATATCAGCACTAATATACTAAAAACCTTTAGGCACATACTAATACCGCCACTAACTCATATTTTTAAAATTTGCTTTTCTAGTGGTACATTTCCTAAATGCCTCAAGAAAGCAGTAGTAATCCCTATCCATAAATCTGGTCCAAAGGACTTGGTAAATAACTATCGGCCTATTTCTATATTGCCGTCAATCTCTAAAGTTCTTGAGAAAATTATAAATAATAGACTAGTCTCGTATCTTGAAAATAACTCCCTTATATCTAACAAGCAATTCGGCTTTAGAGCCAAATTGTCGACAGCTGATGCAGTACACACATTAACTGACTTTGTGTCAGGAGAGCTTGGACAAAGTAAGCAAGTAATGGGAATTTCCTTGATTTAGCAAAAGCTTTTGATACGGTATCAATCCCATTGCTACTAGACAAACTGGAGGGATTGGGAATAAGAGGGACACAGTTGGAACTTTTTAGAGACTACTTGCGGGATAGACGGCAATGTGTAAAAATAGGCAACGTCATTAGTTCCGAATTGCCGCTACCGCTATATGGAATTCCACAAGGGAGCGTACTCGGAGGAACCCTATTTCTGGTGTACATAAATGACCTATGTAACCTCAAACTACAGTGTGGAACTATTGTATCATATGCAGATGACACTGCTCTACTGTTTTCAGCAGGTTCTCTTACAGAACTTCAAAGCTGTGCACAGCAAGGGTTTAATGTCGTCAATAATTGGCTTAAAATAAATCTACTAACAATAAATACTGATAAGACAAAATTTATAAAATTTAATATGCGTAAACCACTAACTCGTAATGAATTTCACTTGTATGCGCATAAACCAGAATGCTCAATCGTGACTAACGCTTGTACCTGTCCGGAAATTGTAATAACAGATAACATTAGGTATTTAGGAATTATTCTAGATGAAACCCTTTCCTTTAAACAACATATCGCTGCTTTAACATCTAGAGTTCGGAAACTGATATTTGTTTTTAAAAAATTGCGGTTTATTGGTGATCACAAGCTAATTATTCAAATTTATAAAGCCCTGTGTCAATCGATAATCCAATACTGCATTACTTCTTGGGGTGGAAGTGGAAAAACATTGATACTTCCAATCGAACGAGCCCAAAGAGCCATCTTGAAAGTCGCCACGCACAGACCGTACCGCTACCCCACAGGCTTACTGTATGAGTCTAGTAAAGTGCTGACAGTGCGACAATTATTCATACTATTTACTGTACTAAAACAGCATGCTACACTTACATATGACGCTAACCTCACTAACACCAAGAGACGGAAAGATATTGTCTGTACTGCTAGCTATGAATCAAAGTACGTATTTACACATAGATTTTTTGCATTTTTAGGGCCATATCTGTACAATAAAATTAATAAAGAAACTTTAGTTTACGATCTTAATTACACCAGAGCAAAACAGCGCATTTCTCAATATCTACTATCATTAAGTTATGATAAAAGCGAGGATTTGTTAATTGTCATTAAATAAATTATATATAAGTAGGTATAAATAGATAATAATTATTTTGATAAATGCAAGTATAAAGTGGTGTTTCCTGACCTGTGTGTGTATAATTGTATACATACATAGGTTTTGTAATATTTGTAATATTGGTGACTGTGAAAAGTAATATTGTTAAGGCTTAGTTATATTATCCTAATGTATAATGCACGCGACCACAAAGCCTGTGGTACAGATTTAATTCTATACAGGCATAGTATTGTAACCTACCTAGAATAGTTAAATAATAAGCTTAGATTAAGTATATGTGAACAAAATGGAAATAAATATATTTGTTTGTTTGTTTGTTTGCAATGGGCGCTAGTGTTACAACTCGAAAGTACGAAATTTCACAATACCAATGTCGATCGATCGGAATTGGATTCAAGAGTAAGCCCCCAGGTTTCCTCACGATATTATCCTTCACCGCTTGTCTTATGATATTGATGTACTATAATTTTGATGGTGATTCGACAGGGAGATAGCGGTGGGCCTCTACAAATGGACGCGCGACCAGGCATGCAATGCATGGCTATTGTTTTTGGTGTGACCTCCTATGGAAAAGCATGCGGCTACAAGGGCAGTTCTGGAATGTACACAAAAGTCAGCCATTATATTCCATGGATTGAATCCATTGTTGGGAGATTACCTTATTAACGTTTTAAATAAATTCATAGTTAAAAAAACACAGTTTCAATCATTATGCCCTCGCATTCTCCGTCTTCAGGAGATATTTTTTTTATAGCATAACCCGGTAAACGAACTGACGGATCACTTGATGGTAAACAATCGGCGCCGCCTATGGACACCCGAAACACCAAGGCGTTACCGGGCGGCCTTTTGGGAATTGGAAATTTGAGGATTGTGGAGGATTCGGAGATTCGGGAAACTAAGGAGGGGGGGTAATTGGGCCTCCGGTAAACTCACTCACACGACGTAAAAGCACACACGAAACAGGAAAAGATATAACTAAAAAAAATTACCATGTTTAATGACGATACCACAATTACAAGTGTGTGTAATTCAGATTCTTAATTTTTGTGCAGCCTTTTTAGGAGTTAGGTATTTGGGGAGAGTGGTAATAGGCCTCCAGTAACCTCACTCACACAACGAAACACAATCACGTCGGTGTAATGTGAGGTCGTGGTATCAATCCGGTCGAGCCGGCCCAGGACTTACGGTACAACAGTTAAAGACGAGGGCGAAGGCGCCGTTATCGTCGAAGGCGAGGATGTTTTATGTTATTAAATACCGATTTTCATTCATTCGGAATCATATTTTAGTTCTCTGTCGTGCCACCGACATTTTTGAGGCGCCACGTAAGCGTTATTTTAATTAAAAAACTGATTTTTTTTTGATCAGATGTTTCAACATTGATTTCTTGTTTTTAATACATAATAATATTTGATTTGTTTAACCACTGTCTCGCCTGGTGGTAAGCAATGATGCGGTCTACGATGGAGCACGTCGTCCCATAAGCAACCTATCCATTAGGGCCTTGAAGACACCCAGGTTCACTCCTTAGCAGTACGCACAAGGAAGCTTGATGTGAAGCGCGTCTTGCGTGTGGGCGGAACATCTACCATGAATCGGTGACGCTTCGCCGATTGTCTTGTGGTACGATAATGGAAAGGACTAGGGGGAATCAAGTTGTGCAACACGGTATTTGACAACTAGTCAAATTCAATACATTTTTCGAACAGTCAAAAACGACAGTTTTCTATGAATTTTGTACGAGATTGTGGAAGTATTGTGACGTCACGTTTTTTTAGCGTCAAACAGCGTACTTATTTCTATAAAAATTGCTGGAAATATAATAAAATTAAGTAGGTCATAAAATCAATTAATGATAGTGTGATTACTTTTTAACATTTTATTGTATTGAACAGCTGAAATAATTTATTTTTCACTAGCATTTTACCCGCGGCTTCGCTCGCGTCATAAAAGGTTAAAAAGAAGCCTATGTGACATATACCAATACACACAGCGCCATCTATACCAATACTTTTGTTTTTCCTCGGGAACATCAATTTTTTCCGGGTTAAAAAGTACCCTATTATTTAATCCGGACTTCTAACTTTACGTCTGCAAAAATTCAAACCAATCGGTTGAGTAGTTACGGCGTGAAGGTGGAACAAACAAACAAACTCACTTTCAGATTTATAATATTAGTAAGGATTAAGGAAAGTACCCAATTACACCGTTGGTACTAAAAATGTTTTGTCTTAGTAAAACGCTCTCCAGCAGTGCAGCCAACAATTATAATGATGATATTTACTCCATTAACTAAAACTCGCGGGTTACTCACGTGAATATACTGAGAAAAGCTCTACTAGTTTCGAACCACAGAGGGGTTCTTCCTCATGAGCAGCGTGCGCGGTCGCGGCGATGTCGCGCAGCCTACTTCATTTAATTTAATATGTCTCACGATAGTCATTATAAAAACATATTTAACATAACATAACATCACGCCTTTTATCCCCGAAGGGGTAGGCAGAGGTGCACATTATACCACTGTACAATGTAACACCCACTTTTCACTATTTTTGTTATGACTCCCATGTAATAGGGGGTGAGCCTATTGCCATATACCGGGCACAGTTCCAGACTCCGTGCTACTACTGAGAATTTTTAAAAACACAGTAATACTTTGCCCGACCCGGGAATCGAACACCCCTTGCCCGGCAGTCGCACTTACGACCACTCGGCCAACGAGGCAGTCGAAAAAAAAACATATTTACTCTAAATAAAACTCCAGATCACAATTCCAACATCTTTATTTAAACTGTCAAACACCGCGAGGACACCGGTGACCGCAACCTATTGTTCTTTAATTGTGTCTATAATGACGGTACTCACAGAACATATAAAACTGTACTCAACGAGTTCGACTTAAGGCCACACAATAGACTCAATCCAATGTAGATACGTGTACACTCTGGTATACAATCCAGTACTCCCGAGGATTCCACATTGTCTCCCGGTAGAGGTGATCCCTATCACCACGTACTGGCAGGAGGATATGTGGAATTTGTTCTGAAGAGGACCTCCGCTGTCACCCTGGGGAGAATGAAGGGCTTAACATAACTTCATAACTTTGATTTTATGATAGAATATAATAATAACTTTGGTTTGATGATTGAATTTGAAGTGGACTGATGGCCTGAACCTTGGGCTACCTACAAGTAAATATGTACGCCCTAATACTGAAAGGCAGTAGCCTTAGATTTAACAATTTTAAAATTGTACTACAATATCGCTATCTCTGTCATTTGACAAAGAATTTGTAGGGACAGAACTATGTAGACTGCCTCGTTGGCCGAGTGGTCGCAATTGCGACTGCCGAGCAAGGGGTCTCGGGTTCGATTCCCGGGTCGGGCAACGTATTACTGGGTTTTTAAAAATTCTCAGTAGTAGCACGGAGTCTGGAACTGTGCCCGGTATATGGCAATAGGCTCACCCCCTATTACATGGGACTCATAACATAAATAGTGAAAAGTGGGTGTTACATTGTACAGTGGTATAATGTGCACCTCTGCCTACCCCTTCGAGGATAAAAGGTGTGATGTTATGTTTTAGAACTATGTATACTGCAGGACTTAAAATTGAGGGGCGTTATAGTAATTGAGACAATAATAAACTAGGTAGGGTTAATATTTAAGTGTGGGAGATCCATGCTTCGGCATGAATGGGCCGGCTCGACTGGCCTCACAGAAATACGGATACCACGGCCGAGCAGAAGACCGACGTGAAACAATACTTGCGTTGTGTTTCGTCGTGTGAGTGAGGTTACCGGAGGCCCAATTACACCTTCCCTAGTCTCCCGAATCCCCGAATCCTCTACGATCCTCAAATTCCCAATTCCCTAAAAGCCGGTAACGCACTTGTAAAGCCTTAGTGTTGCGGGTGTTCATGGGCGGCGCCGATTGCTTACCATCAGGTGATCCGTCTGCTCGTTTACCGGTTTATGCTATAAAAAAAAACACATTTTCTCCCCGAAGGGATAGGCTATGTATGTAGATTGAGGTGCACATTACGGCACTTAATCCCACTGTACAATATAACACCCACTTTTCACTATTTATGTTATGAGTCCCATTTAATAGGGGGTGAGCCTATTGCCATATACCGGGCACAATTATATACCAGACCAGTACGTTATTTTTTATAATGATACAGATTAATTCTCCACGGACTCTTAGTCCGTGCCCTTGTCATACAATTTTTTTATTACAATACGTCTAATCAATTTTTGTAAAGTAAAGAAGGTACCTAGTTACACACTACACACTACCAGACCAGTATTAAACCACCCAGTATGCCCTATCCTGGAATCAAACCTGAGAATAATTTGTTAACTACACAAACAAACGTTACATAACATTATGACGTCATGTTTTTATAATAACTATCGTGAGACATACTAAATTAACTAAAATCGTGGGTTACTCACGTGAATATACTGAGCAAAGCTCTACTAGTTTCGAACCACAGAGGGGTTCTTCCTCATAAGCAGCGTGCGCGGTCGTGACTTTGTGCCGAATCCGGAATCGAATCCACTACTCGCGCCACTGGTGAACGTACCGTGCGCTTTAACATCGTACAACGCGCCGCCGGAGTTGGAAACAAACGCTCATGGTGTCCGACAGAGGGCGCGGTGGGCTCGCAGGGCAAGTAGTAACACCGACGTCGCCGCGACCGCGCACGCTGCTCATGAGGAAGAACCCCTCTGTGGTTCGAAACTAGTAGAGCTTTTTTCAGTATATTCACGTGAGTAACCCGCGATTTTTAGTTAAATTATGACGTCATGTTATCAGACAGTACCTCACAAGTATCCTTGACTTCCTGATGATGACCATAACACATCTGTGTGCTGTGATCATACCCTCGTCGCAACAGCCTGTGTAGAGGGTACAGCTTGGAACACTCGTCTTCTGGAAACTCCTGGAGGTATACCTGGCATTAGGATATGAAAAAAATTGAATTGAATTGATGTGAAAAAAAATTGCTGCGCGCTAACAGAGTAGTGTACTGAAATAATTGTATGTAATACTTTTTTTTTGTTATTTGATTTAGATACTTTACATACAATGTATATATATCATAATTTATATAACTACATAAATATTTACAACTTAAAATTAACTACAACTAAACTATTAAATAAAACGAAAGTAAAAAAAAGTAAACTTTACTTTTTATTATATGTATGTACATTGTGCATATGAATAATAAATAAATAATAAAAAAATAGTAAGTAAGAGTTCTAACGTGACCACTGTGCCACCGTCTTCCCTGAGACCACAGGGTAGGCTGTCAGTGGTGTCTAGATAAATCTTAGAGAGTACATATAACTCGGAAAAGGTTACATTGGTACTTGCCGTTGGTAGCTTTCGAGCCCGTACCCTCATGCATGAAAACGGACGTCTTAAACCACTGGGCCATATGATTTAGTTGAAAGTCCTTGTTTGGTAGGATTTCATAACATACATAACATCACGCCCTTTATCCCCGAAAGGGTAGGCAGAGGTGCACACAGAAGTAACACCCACTTTTCACTATTTATGTTATGAGTCCCATGTAATAGGGAGTGAGCCTATTGCCATATACCGGGCACATTTCCAGACTCCGTGCTACTACTGAGATTTTTTTTTAAAAACCCAGTAATATTTTGCCCGACCCGGGAATCGAACCCGAGACCCCTTGCCCGGCAGTCGCACTTGCGACCACTCGGCCAACGAGGCAGGATTTCAATGGGTAACATAAATTGTAGAATCAAAGTAGATACACAGTGATACTCGGCTAGATAGAAAACTGTTTCACTGCATCAGAGAGGTCACCTGCCGGAGGTGCGATCCAAAATCCTCGAATCTTTAAAAAGGTCGGTAATGCATTTCAAACTTCAATTGAAGAAGAAAAATCATTTATTCGACAGTAGGCACGCACACAGATACAGAAGAATACAAAATTAAAAAAGAAAAGAACAAATAAATACACTTATTTATACAGATATAGAAAAAAATTGCTTACCATCAGGTGATCCGTATAATCGTTTTCCGCCCTAACGCATAAAAAATATAACTACGTACAGCAGTAGCAGCAGCATCAGTAACAGTGTGACAGTCGTATGACGCGGAATACTCAAACTCAAAATCATTTATTTCAATTAAACCATAATTTGGTACTTTTGAAACGTCAACAAATCTTTACTAATATTATAAATTGGAAAGTGAGTTTGTTTGTTTGTTTGTTTGTTCCGCTTTCACGCCGTAACTACTAAACCGATTGCTTTGAATTTTTGCAGACGTAAAGTTAGAAGTTTGGATTAAATAATAGGGTACTTTTTATCCCGGAAAAATTGATATTCCCTAGGGAAAACAAAAGTATTGGTATAGATGGCGCTGTGTGTATTGATACTTGTCACATAGGCTACTTTTTATTCTTTTGTGACGCGAGCGAAGCCGCGGGTAAAAGCTAGTATGGAAATAAATAATAGTCTGTCAGTCTGTCCGTCAGTGAAGCTAGGCGCTCGTTCCAAAATGTCGATTCGAATGGAGAAGAACGAGCAAGAAACTCCGTTCGTTACTCTTTAAAAAAAAAAGTCTGTTTTAAACTGCTCTGATACATATTCCAATATTGTACACACATGTGAGAATAATGTAAAGACATACCTGACGCTGTCATGAATATGAGCCTCTAGCATGGCTTGAAACTAGCCCGGGTCCTCGTCTAATAATTACGTGAGTAAGCCAAAAAATATAACTATTAAATACGCACAGATTGCAATGTATCAGCCAATTCTCTGCGAAGCCCTAGCGCTCCCCAACCGGTGGCTTCAGCTTTGTTATCGTTCTGGATCTCTTCATAATGTATACACGCTGGTCTTACAACCTCGGAGAAGATGACCCTGAAACCATATTGCAAGATCATCAACCAGTCCGTCCATTCCTCAAATCCCCAAAAGATCCGCAACTCTAAACTTTTAAGTGTGTGTGATACCACAGTGATACCACGGCCGAGCAGAAAACCGACGTGAAGCAACGCTTGCGTTGTGTTTCGTCGTGTGAGTGAGGTAACCGGAGGCCCAATTACCTTTCCCTTCCCCAATCCCTGAATCCCCAACGATCCTCCAACTCCTAATCCGCAAAAACCCGGTGACGCACTTGTAACGCCTCTGGTGTCCCAGGTGTCCATGGGCGACGCTGATTGCTTACCATCAGGTGATCCGTCTGCTTGTTTACCGGCTTATCCCATAAAAAATGGGGAAAATCATCCAATGACTTCTCCCGCGAAAGGGAGTGTCAGACTCTTAACATAACATAACATCACGCCTTTTATCCTCGAAGGGGTAGGCAGAGGTGCACATTATACCACTGTACAATGTAACACCCACTTTTCACTATTTATGTTATGAGTCCCATGTAATAGGGGGTGAGCCTATTGCCATATACCGGGCACAGTTCCAGACTCCGTGCTACTACTGAGAATTTTTTAAAAACCCAGTAATACTTTGCCCGACCCGGGAATCGAACCCGAGACCCCTTACCCGGCAGTCGCAATTGCGACCACTCGGCCAACGAGGCAGTCAGACTGTCAGACTCTTACTGACTAAAAACCACCCCGTTCCTACTCCTGCACTTCGAGCCGAAGCACCGGTTACCCGTTAGGTTCTCCGCGGCAACTTACCGGGTTTGAGTCTCAAGTAATGCAATGTCATTGTACTTTGAAGGAGGTTTATACTCAGGGTGAGCGATGATCCTCTTCACGTGGTACTTCTGCCAAAGTTCAGAAGGATCGGTCCGTTTCAGGATGCCTAGAGCTACATACTTCACTTGACCTCTGAAAATAAATAATTGTTCTTGGTCAGTTACAAAATTGAATAAAATAAATCTTGTTTTTATAATAACTATCGTGAGACATACTAAATTAAGTAAAATCGCGGGTTACTCACCTGAATATAAAAATTCGAAACTAGTAGAGCTTTTCTCAGTATATTTACGTGAGTAACTCGCGTTTTTACTTACAATAAATCTTCTTATATATAAAAATGAATTGCTATTCGTTAGTCTCGCTAAAACTAGAGAACGGCTGGACCGATTTGGCTAATTTTGGTCTTGAAATGTTCGGGGAAGTCCAGGGAAGGTTTAAAAGGTGAAAAAAAAAAATTGTAGGCGGTATGAATTTTGCCGGGTCAGCTGGTAAATAATAAATTATTTGACAAAAGTTAAAGTCAAAGTCAAAATCATTTATTTCAATTAGACCAGGGAGGCACTTTTGAACGTCAGGAAAACTAAAAGTGAAGTTATTTGCTCATTCCAACATTCCTATGGAGAAGAAACTCCATAGGATACTCTTTTTCATTCAGGTTTACAATACAATTATCTATTTACACAGTTTTGTTGTTTGGATTTTGCACAGAACAATGTAACACTAAAATACAGTCAAAGTGATCGAAAAAAAATTGTCCTTAAAGGACAGTAAAAAAAATACAGCCTGGAGCTGACCAGTCCCAGTTGACGGCGCCCGTTCACGAACATGACACGTACACCAGCACCGCCCAACTCAACCATGTTGTAGGGAATCGAGCGATCCACTGCACAGTTAAAAAGAAAGTACCCCAAATTTTCAGTTTTCTCTTGCAATGACTCTGACAATCTTTTGGAATCAGCCGTTGGCTGTCAACAAGGCGATCCCCTTGGGCCAGTAATTTTTAGCCTAGCCATTTTTTTTTTGTTTATGATGTCTTTATTACCATAAAAGCATACTTACAGTCATTATAAAACAGACACGGTCAGTTTACAAGAAACATGATATAAATATGACCATGCAGGCTAACGCACCTATTTTAGGTCTTTAAATTACATTTGTATAATACTCACAGTTTTTCTCCTTTCAATGTAGGTACATTGTACAACACACTATTACACATGTTATCCAGTAAATTAACAATAACAATACACACTTTTGAACAAGATACTCTTTTTTACACAATAATTCTCCACAAATATATGTAATTTACAGTTAATTTATAATACTACTAGCGGACCCGACAGACGTTGTCCTGCATATCCCCTTGAATGTATAAACAAAAATTCATTCAAATTAGTTCAGCTGTTTAGGATAAATAACCTAAACATCGACTGCAGCGCCATCTGCCGGGCTGATTTGTGAATCTAAACCATTCCCAGATCCGCTTGAACACACACAAAAAATTTCATCAAAATCGGTCCAGTCGTTTGAGAGAAGTTCAGTGACATACACACTCACAGAAGAATTATATATATAATAAAGATTATAATAAAGCAACATTGAAATTATCTCAGATCGGCATCCCCAAGAACGGCATCCCCAAGAAATTATCTCAGATAACCACCACATATGAATATAATTTATTGCCTAGCCTAGCCATTCGACAGCTAAATTCCTAATTTAATATTTGGTACCTCGATGACGGTACCTTGGGAGGCGATGCAGATACAGTTCTAAATGATTTCAAAAATTGTGTTTTTTTTTAATCTTTATTTATTTTCAGGGCTTTTTCTGTAAAGAAAATGACACCCCAATGATTGTATACCACGGAATATAGAATACAATGGAAGTAGCTTGAAACAATATTTCTGCCAGAACCGGTGTCGCCAAACTAATACATTCATAATTTACTCATACTATAAATCGGAAGTTACGATTGGTTAGAAAAAAAATGGGCGTAAACGAAATGCAAAAAAAATATCATACGATATGCAACTTTAAAATCAATGCACTATAAATCAAAATAAAAAAGTATATTTTGGACTACCAAGTACCGCCATTCGTCGCTAGATGGCGTTTAACAATGCCATCTAGCGACGAAAAGTGGTACTTGGTTTGAACTTTAACGTCATAAGAATAAAGGTGATATTTGAATGGCTTATCACTGGCTCGAATGCGGGTCTCTACTCAGATAGTGATGTAGCCTAATTCGATAAAAATAATATCGATAATATGAAAATGTGTTTTAAAAATAATGTGAAAAAAAATATTGACTGCGATAGTGTGACTGCGATAGTAAAATAATAAAATTAATATGTCGTTGATAACTTTTTAAACGTAACAAAAAAGGGTAAGTATTTATTTACATGTAAATTAAAAATCATTTTGTTCGTATTTTTTATTGGTTTCTTTTTTCAAAAAACATTTTTTTTATTTCACATAGGCAATATATGTAACAACTATTACATAAATTTTTACAAACTTTATATGGATAATGTGATAAATGAGAGGGATGGCGATAAGGATGACGGTGCTGATTTGCTCCGTGAAGTGAAGGTTGCTTCCAATCACGTCGGGGTCACCACTAAAATAATAATAAAAAAAAATCTAAATAAATGTTACATTACACTTGCATCGATATCAATCGATAAATTCAATATGTGATTTGACTACATCACTATTTGAGTAGCGTAGAACTGGCGAGAATGTTCTATTGAATGGAATAAATCCAAAATAAACTCTATCTTGAAGGCGTAAGGTTGATTTTGACTAACCGTTTTAGTAAATAATATTATTTTAATAACCGTTTTTGTAAATTGAAATAAAATAAGATTTCTACATGAAAACAATGAAAATTGTACTTACCGATGATACGAAACACCTCTATTTTTACGATTTTCGGCTGCTATCAATTTTACACGCCAAAACGGAACAAAACGGCATAGTTGAGGAAATATGTATTTGTCACGAGACTAGAAACTCGACGCCATATTCGAACGAGACTGAACTCGAATTTGCCTCGAGTACGCAGTACACGGCTCAGTTGTGGCACGCGTGCCACGCCTACTTGCTACTTCCATTGTATTCTATATTCCGTGTTGTATACATTAGATACTCAACACTAAATAGGTTTTAAAACATACAAAACATAAAAAAAATGTGTTTAAAAACCGAACTTCATGCTATTGGCCTTGACCTATAATTATCATTCCAATTGTGAGGTATTTTTAGATGACTCTACCGACAGACAGATCATATCAAAATTTAATACTATTGCGCCTAATATCTCGGTTGTCGATAAATGTTCACTGCGCCTCCTTGGTGCGCCCGTCTTCGAGTATTCTTTTCAAAGTTTTATTGATGAAAAATTAAAAAACTGCGTTTAAAAAAACCGACTTCAAAAACTAAAGACCAACGAAAAGTAAAAACTAAAAAGGAAAAAAATAACTATTATTGGTCATACGTACTTATACTTTACACACCCACTGTTAGGTTAGAAGTCGGTGCCAGTGGTTTTTAATATTTATAAAAAATTAACAAATGCACTAGTCGCCCCTATAATTTTTAAAAGTTCCCCTCGGTTTCTCTGGTCTTCCATCATCAGATCCTGATTTTTTTATCATGGGACCATTCTGGGGCTAGGTATCTCTTTTCGAAATCGGTTCATAAATAACGGAGATATCGGCGAACAAACATAAAAAAGGTTAAGAGGTTACCGGAGGCCCAATTACCCTCCCCTTCCCCAATCTCCCCAATTCCTGAATCCCTAACGATCCTCAAACTCCTAATCCCCAAAAGGCCGGTAACGCACTTGTAACGCCTCTGGTGTTACAGGTGTCCATGGGCGACGCCGATTTCTTACCATCAGGTGATCCGTCTGCTCGTTTACCGGCTTATGCCATAAAAAAAAAATAAAAGCATTTATACGGTCGAATTGAGAACCTCCTCCTTTTATTGAAGTCGGTTAAAAAATTCAAAATTATTCTGTCGTTTCAGAAATACTATTGTTCAAGATAGAATAATCTTGGTAAATAAAAGATACACTCGGCCAACGCCTTAGAATAAGAATAAGAATAAGAACGTTTATTTGCACGAAGTATGGTAATTACAGGTAATAATAATTATAAAAAAAATAGTCCCACATACATCGCCTACTGTTTTCGGCATGCAAAGTTAAGTTTTACAATGTAATGAAGTTAAAATTACATTCAATAAAACCAATTACAAAAATGCTTAGTACTATGTTTTATTAGAGTTGTCCCATAGCTCGATAGATGGCGTTGGCCGATTTAAATTCAAGCTATGGTTTCGTTACCGGCAAAACATTAGGTTGTTTGCTTTGACGTGGAAAATTGTCTTGCTTTGAAGTACTTCGTATCATTAATTTCAAGTACTAAACTTCGAAGGACGTTCGGCCTATAATATTCAACTATATCATATTTAGAAAGCATTCGGCCTACAGGCCTACACTATTATTCGATTTTATTGTTTAGGTCCCAAACTTATGTACTATTTGCGCTCGACCAAAGTCTGGTCACTGCACCCCTTCTTTTGGAAAAAATTGACCAAATCATTAGACGAACTTTGTCCCTAATTTTGAATGTGGCTCTCGACGACTGAGCCTGGACACAAGCTACTCTGCTTGTCCCTGGGCTTGGCGTCCGTAAAACTTCCAACCTACCATCCATATCTTCCGCCCATGGTACTGAAGAAATAACCAGGAAAATTCTTCCTCAATCACTGGTTAATTTTGATATACCATGTTTAGTGGAAGCTGTGAATGCTTGGGAAATCGCTCGCCCAAATATTGACCCCCCTGTCAAATCACTCTCCCAGAGACAATGGGACGAGCCGCTCTGCAGAAAAGTGAGCGAAAATCTCTTAACCTCCTCTTGCTCAACTGCAGAGCGAGCTCCCCTTTTGGCTGTGGGTGAGTGGGAGTCGGGGTTATGGCTTCTTGCTTTACCTTCGTCTAACCTAGGTACTTTGTTGGACGACACCACGTTCCGCGCTGCAATTTGTTTAAGGCTTGGAGCTTCATTTTGTTCACCTCATCGTTGTCGTTGTGGTGAAGATGTCAACAGCCTTGGACACCACGGCTTGTCATGTAGCCGTAGTGCGGGCTGTTTTGCTCGACACACAAGTATTAATGACATAATTCATCGAACTCTTGTCTCCGTTTGCGTGCCAGCTATTTTAGAACCTGATGTCTTGGTACGCGACGATGGCAAGACACCCGACGGTATGTCATTACATTTGCACCGATCTGATACTTACCGTTGGTGGGTTAGGAACCCACACCCTCATAATCAAAAGTCAAAGTCAAAGCATTTATTTCAATTAAACCATAATTTGGTACTTTTGAAATGTCAACAAATATAAAATAAATAATAGTCTGTCAGTCAGTCCGTTAGTGAAGCTAGGTGAAGCTAGGTGCTCATTCCAAAATGTAGATTCGAATGGAAAAGAACGAGCAAGAAAATCGTACTATTCGTTACTCTTTTTAAAAAAGTATGATCTACAATGTCTCTGATACATATTCCAATACTGTACGTATATGTGAGAACAATGCAAATACACGCTTGACGCATTATACAAATTACAAAACTTACTAAAATAAAAAACAATCATATAGTCTAACATGGTGCTCACATATGCATACTGACAAGACAATCCATAAAAATTGTGCTTATATACAAGAAAAGGAAACTCTTTGTTTCAATAAGAAAAAAAATGCTCGATGCCATAAGGTAACTAGATTGTCTACATTAGAATGAAAGTATTATCTGTGGTACAGATTTAATTCTATACAGGCATAGTATTGTAACCTACCTAGAATAGTTAAATAATACGCTTAGATTAAGTATATGTGAACAAAATGGAAATAAATATATTTGTTTGTTTGTTTGTTTGTTATTAAATTAATAAATTATTTACTATTGGAACCTATCTACTGACTATATTTGAGTATTGTTCAGAGGAGCCGAACCAACATGCTGCCAAGCATTCTTATCTTCAAAATAATCTGTAAGTGTATAGTAAGCTTCATTACTTATTACGCGTTTAATATATGTTTTAAATTTACTTTCATTAAGATCTAGTATGCTATTTGGTATTTTAGTATAGCATTTAATCATGCACGAGAAGTTTTAAATCTCTGGGCCACGACATACATACAAACTCACTCACAAATAATTATACAAGGTGTAGTTTTGAAGCCGTGACATTTCTCGGGGGCATGTCACAGAAGTCATAAAGGTTCAATGTAAGAGAAAATTTCGGGCCAATAGTTGAAAATACGGCTATAATTAATCGTTTAAGTTCGACAATATTTCAGAATAAGCGACAGCAATGTTTCTTATTGGAGTTTTATGGAATTAGGAATAATATCAATTACGTGTTTAAGTTTGTGTGTGTTAATCCGCGTTATAAAAACCAGTTATCAGACGGCGGCGTGTAGTTCGCACTTACGGATTTCCGTAATTTCAGAAAAATGAAAAATATTTACCTACAATTTTTTTATTGATTCGGACTCAGAATCGATAGCCGAGTTACCTCCTAGAAAATGACGTGGCTTTATAACAACACCTTGTATTAAGATAGAATACTTACAGTGATGGGCTGGAAATACAGTGGCCAGCAGTCAGGATGAAGTTTTCGCTGATCAGAGACCCAGCACAGACCCATTGAGCTGAATCTTCGTCGAACCCATACCCTAGTAAAGCCTGTTGGGATTCAGAGCACAAACATAGAACATTACAGCACTTAATGCCACTGTACAATGTAACACCCACTTTTCACTATTTATGTTATGAGTGCCATGTAATAGGACATGAGTCTATTGCCATATACCGGGCACAGTTCCAGACTCCGTGCTACTACTGAGATTTTTTTCAAACCCAGTAATACCCTTGTTTGATTGAACAACGTTTGACCAAACAAAGAAAGAAAGAAAGAAAGAAAGTAAAACATTTATTCGACACATTGCATGCACAGATATGTAGACAAAATGAGTTATAAATAAAAACAAAATTAAAACAAACAATAAATATCACAAAATTAACAAAAATAGATGCATGCACGTGTCGAACGGGCCTCCACCTCAGCATTATGTTGAGCGTGGTAACACTCAACGCTGATCTTCTGGTGGCACCCTGCAGTGACTCACGAATGGTAGGTGAGAAGGGTGAACTGTAATACTTTACTCGACCCGCGAATCGAACCCGAGGCCCTTTGCCCGGCAGACGCACTTGCGACCACTCGACCAACGAAGGAGTCATAGAACGTAAAACCATGAAACAAATATGCCGTAAGAACATGGTATGATAGAATATTTTTTTTGGGACAAGTTCGCCACAACTTCCCAAAACCGCTGCAACTCCAGTGCACCAGGATCTACAGTAGATACAACCATGAAAACACCAGAATACTGAAGTCCGGCGCGTCCAAAGCACATGAATAACTGTCTTGGTTCCCGCGACGAAATAAATACGAAGACATTGTTAGTATAGAAGAAAAATTTAAGTGATGTGCGTACTGCTAAGGAGTGGAATTCTTTGCCAGAGTCTGTATTTCCTGAACGAAAAAACCTGGGAGTCTTCAAGGCCCGAGTGAATAGGTTGCTTATGGGTCGACGTGCTCCATCGTAGACCGCATCATCGCTTACCACCAGGCGAGATAGTGGTCAAACGTTGGCTCATTACCTAAATATAAAAAAGAAATAGTTTTACCATATGAGGAAATTTCCCTCGTTCAGCATCGTTTCCACCGACCACTCCTACGGCTGTCGGACGAGGCACATAGCAGTTCCTCTTAGGATCCAAGTCCTTAGCTATCGTGGCGGTAAAATGATCACCACATGGTTCCCACTCCTGCATATAATCCAGGCATTCTGAAACCATTCATTAAAACACAAAACATAACATTACGCCTTTTATCCCCGGCAGAGGTGCACATTACGGCACTTAATGCCACTGTACAATGTAACACCCACTTTTCACTATTTATGTTATGAGTCCCATGTAATAGGGGGTGAGGCTATTGCCATATACCGGGCACATTTCCAGACTCCGTGCAACTACTGAGGTTTTTACAAACCCAGTAATACTTTGCCCGACCCGGGAATTGAACCCGTGACCCCTTGCCCGGCAGTTGCATTTGGCAATGAGGCCATTCATTATCATTAACAACAGTCCTTGACAGTCTGCTGTTAGACTAAGACCCTCCTCTACATAAGCCTGCTACGTGTGGAAGGCCATACTTCAGAATGAATGGGCCGGCTCGAGCGAAATGATACTATGGCCTTATAGAAAACCGACGTAAACCAACCAAAGCATTGTGTTTCGCCACGAGAGTTAGGTTCAACGAGACTAATGCTATTCCTGCCTTCCTTCTCCAAAAGGCTTTTTTTTTAAGGGGGAAAATCATACAACTACTTGTCCCACCCGCATTAGAGGAGGTAGTGTCAGACTCTTACTGACCGAAAAAACAAGAAATACCCCGTTTCAATACCTGTACTTCGAGCCGGAGCCCCGGTAACCATAATGCATATAAACTATGTATTTTTTGGTCACCTTGAAATTGTGATTGTGATTTTTTATTTTCTTATTCTTATCTGGTGTTATAGATGTTCAGGAGCGACGCCAGCTTACTATCAAGTGATTTGCACCTATAGTACTAGATTGTTTTACGTTTAATGATATCGGCGCTCTGATTTGTATCGTTAGAGCTGGCCAATGAGAGCGCGAACGCAGTCTCCCTTCGATATCTAATGTCGTGGTGATCCAGACGTTCAAAACGCCCGCTTCTCATGCATAACTTTTCTTATTCGAAACCCACCAACGGCAAGTACCAATGTGACTTTTACCGAGTTGTATGTACTTTCTAAGATTATCTAGACACCACTGACAAACGGTGAAGGAAAACATCGTGAGGAAACCTGGGCATATAATTTCTAATTATATGTTTGAAATTGCCAACCCGCATTGGGTAAGCGTGGTGGTTAATGCTCAAACCTTCTCCGTGTGAGTAGAGGCCTTTGCTCAGAAGTGTCCACTTATAAGCTGTTGATGATGATGAAACGTAAAAAAACTAGTGTTAATAACATTGATGTATCGTACCGCAAATACCCAAAATTTGTTCATCCTTACTAATATTATAAATCGGAAAGTGAGTTTGTTTGTTTGTTCCACTTTCACGCCATAACTACTAAACCGATTGCTATGAATTTTTGCAGATTACCCTATTATTTAATCCGGACTCTGACTATACAGTCAGAGTCCGGATTAAATAATAGGGTACTTTTTATCCCGGAAAAATTTGATATTCCCGGAAAACAAAAGTATTGGTATAGATGGCGCTGTGTGTATTGGTATATGTCACATTGGCTTTTTATCCTTTTGTGACGCGACCGAAGCCGCGGGTAAAAGCTAGTACAAAAATAATCTGTAAACATCGGAGATAAGGTCTATAATGGAGTTAACCCTTAACTATCCAGAAAGCTTTTGTGACGTAACTGACCAGTAGTGTCCAACAGACTCATTTTATAATTATAAGGTATGATGAAAGAAAAGAAAGATATTTTGAATGAAAAAGACAGTATAATGTATTTCAGTAATGTGTATTTACACTTATTTACTTATAGATATTACAATTATTATTTTTTTCAGAATATTCAGTGCATGTATTGCGTTTGCATTCAGCACAACACTGTTTAGAAGCACTTGATAATTTCGAAGGGAAAATATTATAACGCTTCTTCTTTTTTCCATTGTAGTTTGATATATTGGATTGCCAAAGATAGGGCTCCAGTATTCTCTAAAATCTACACCTCCCTGTTTATTGACGCTTATAGTCAATAAAAGACCTCGGAGTATTTGCATTTCGATTTTATATCTATTGATTTCCATCGATTTTGTAAAACTCTAAGCCCTTCAGTATTAGTATATTTTACTATTATTTGTAATACGTGATCGTCGAAAAAAAAGGCTGAAACTGTCTATCGGATCTATTATAGTTTGACCCAAAGGAGGAAGAATCACCTTATGGATACCACCGCGAATTATGTTTTGTCGAGGCGTTCGGTTTTGCCTGTTAGGTTCTGATTTCCACGTTGTTACCTCTTCCTTTATAAGTGTAAATTGAGACTTATTCTTGTAATCATCATCACTCTTACTCCATAATTGTTCATCATCGTTTTCAGATGCTGGTTCTGTGACATTACTTTCACTATCAGAACAGCTGTCAACAGCAAAATTCTCATCATCACTATCGCACTCATGGACAAAAATGTTTTCATCGTCACTTTCAACAAGGGCACGTTGTATTTCACTTTGTGTTAGTTGCCGTTTAGCCATAACATTCAATAAAAACGAATTAGAACATGACTACATTATGACAAGAGTTTCTGATTACTGGTACGTGATACGATTACAAAAACTATGATGATAACACAAACAAAGGTCTAGCAACCGCTATTGCCTACCCGACACCATAAGATTATAGGTAAATGTAAATAAAACAATCTACCTTCACACTTGAATCAAATAAAATGATATTGTGTCTGTTGGACACTTCTGGGTTGATATAGTACTATTTTCGTTTATTGACCAAAAATAATAAATTATTCACGTTACAAATATTTTCATTGCACATTTAGATTCGTAAAACATTGGCGATAAATTAGATGAAAGGCCAATTCATAAAAATAAAAACTTTAGTTTTTATGGAAACATAAACGCAAAATTGTGTCCGCGAGACACTTGTGGGTTGTTAAGGGTTAATAGAAAGCGGTCAACGGTGACCGCTTGGGGATTGAACAGTTAAGTAAGTTAAGTTAAGCTCTGTCTACTTATTTGCCGTGCCATCTCATAAAAAATCATCAACAGTTCACTATTGGACTATGAGTCTCCTCTACATAAGAGGGGTGTGCCATAGTTTCCACTGCTGCCAGGCCCACGGTGCTTACTCTTGAAACCAATCTCAATGTCAATGCAATTTCAGTCCAATAAAATCTCAATAGTTATTAAATGTCAACACTATACAACCACAAAGTCAAAGTCAAAAACATTTATTTCAATTAGACCAGGATGGCACTTTTGAACGTCAACAACAAAAAAATTTAGAAGTGAAGCTAGTTGCTCATTCCAAGGTGTAGATTCCTATGGAGAAGAACGAGCAAGAAACTCCATAAGTTACTCTTTTTCAATCGGGTTAACAATACAATTCTCTAGTTACATAGTCTTGTTGGTTCGATTGTGTGAGAACAATGCAACACCTAAATGCAGTCAAAGAGACACAATCGTAGCTGTTAAAATAGCATTCAGGGTACGGAATATAAAGCTAAACTCAATACCATTTAGTTCATTCAATATCCACGCAATACGGATGCAATGGGCGCTAGTGTTGCAACTCAAGAGTACGAAATTTCACAATACGAATGTCGATCGATCGGAATTGGATTCAAGAGTAAGCCCGTTCTACTTACTGTCTCTAGCTTTCTGTCCATTTCGAAAATACCATCGACCGCTGGATTGACTTATGTACATGTTTCTGAAATAGACAGACATGTTAAATTAAAATATGAACCTTCAAAATATGTGCTAGTTAATTCTCCAGATGACTCCATGCTTTTGAATATCCAAAAAAGGTCTTAAAAAGACTAAGAGCTGGTTCGTTTATAGGACCACTTTTAAGGGTTTAAGTGTGGGAGAGTCATGCTTCGGCACGAATGGGCCGGCTCGACCGGAGTGATACCACGGCCGAGCAGAAAACAATAGTGAAACAACGCTGGAGGTTACCGGAGGCCGAATTAAACTCTCCCCCCTTCCCCAATCTGCCAAATCCCTGAACCCCCAAAAGGCCGATAACACACTTGTAACGCCTCTGGTGTTCCAGGTGTCCATGGGCGACGCCGATTACTTACCATCAGGTTATCCGTCTGCTTGTTTACCGGCTTATCCCATAAAAAATGGGGAAAATCATCATTGGATGATTTTTAGACTTCACCCGCGAGAGGGATTGTCAGACTCTTACTGACTAAAAACCACCCCGTTCCTACTCCTGGCTCTTCGAGCCGGAACCGTTCGTTAGGTCTCCACTGCTCCACGGGTCCTCCGCGACTCCGTATGTTATTATAATTATGTTACTTAGAGGACCTGGTGTCACAATAATGGTATTCTGTGGTAATTGTCACTATAATTATAACCATTTCATTCTGTGGCTATTATAACTCTCGGACGATTGCATCGATTTAAACCTGTTGAAAATCATCCCCTAAATTTGTTCTTACAAAAGTAGTCTCTAACCATCAGACCACCATGGATGGGGCCCAACAGGGCTGATGCCGATTCGGAGTAGCGGCGAACCTAACGGGTTATCGCGGCTCCGGCTCGACGTGCAGGAGAAGGAACGGGGTGGTTTTTAGTCAGTAAGAGTGTGACACTCCCTCCCGCCTCACCCAGGTGGGAGCAGCCATTCGATTATCCCCCCTTAAAAAAATGGAAATAATGTCTATTATGTAGTTAGTGGAGATATATGGGTTAATAAAAACATTTTGAGTTCCTAGTAATTAGTAGCTTTATTTATAGGTACTTATCAATTTAAATAAATTGAAACAATTTTCCTTACCTCGTGTCATTGACAAGTTCGCAGTCGGTGCAGCAAATAATAGGCGTGTCTCCTTGATATCTGCATAACTGTAATAAGGAAGAGATATTAAAATAGTAAAATACCCTGCGGAGTGCTCTGAGGAATTGTTTGACCTGATACCTGCCGCGTCTTTTCGCCATCGACCCTCACAACAGCATATGCATCCCCATCATATAGATGGTCGGCAGGCCACAACTGTGCGCTTCTCACGCAGCTTCCTGCCTCGCACAGCAAAACTATGGAATGATCTGTCGTCGGCGGTATTTCTGAACCGATACAACCTTCAAACCTTCAAGAAATTAGCGTATTCCTTTTTAAAAGGCCGGCAACGCACCTGTGACTCCTCTGGTGTTGCGGGTGTCCATGGGCGGCGCTGATCTCTTACCATCAGGTGATCCGTCTGCTCGTTTGTGTCCCCTATTTCATAAAAAAATCCCCTTTACTGCCTAATCTGCAACCACCCTTAAAAATATCCAGGTACTGGAACCAGGACTTGGGTACCAACTCTTAACGTCATGCTTGTATGGTCATTGGTCATAATGCTATGTCCTAAGCACCTTGTGGTACATTTATGCCTTTTCTTTTGAGCAGGGAAAATCATTCAATGCCTTTTCCCACCTCGGGTGAGGCGAGAAGTCAGTGAAAGAGTCAGACTTGTACTGACTGCACGGTTGGTGCGGTGGCTGGGCAACCGGCTGCGGTGCAACGTGTCGCGGGTTCGATTCCCGCACTGAACTACCTTTGTGTTTCGGGTTTGGGTGTCATGTGTATGTGAACTTGTATGTTTGTAAACGCACCCACGACACAGGAGAAAAATCCTAGTGTGGGGCAACGTATAAAAAAAAAATAATAAAAAACTAAAAACGTCGCGGAGAACCTAACGGGTTACCGGGGCTCCGGCTCGAAGCGCAGGAGAAGGAACGGCGTGGTTTTTAGTCAGTAAGAGTCTGACACTCCCTCCCGCCTCACCCAGGCGGGAGCAGTCATTCGATGATTTTCCTCCCTTAAAAAAAACTGACTAAAAACTACCCCGTTCCTACTCGTGCTCTTTGAGCCGGAGCCCGGCAACCCGTTAGACCTTCCGTGTCTCCGTGAGCTGTCTTAACGCGGAGCTTATTATATGACTGACTTATGAATTTGATAATAATCGTGATGGAACTTGGAAGCTCTGTGGTTTCTGCCTGTATGGTGATACCACCACCTCACAGAAAACTACCAGAGCTTTGGCCACACAAAACTCTGGTACTTATCTTATGGCTCCACAGTCATGAGAGCGACTTTACCGGAGCTATCCCAGGTAACCAGCAATGCACTTGAAACTCCTCTGATGTTGGGTGTCCATGGGCAACCCAGCAAGCAAACGGTGATCCGTCTCCTCGTCTGCCAATATATTCCATAAGTGGAAACTATCGTTTTTTTTCTTCTCCTCTTATAATATATTTTGATTCACTTCGTTGCAGGAACCAAGACAGTTGTTCATGTCCCTGAGACGCGCCGGACTTCAGTGTTCCGGTGTCTTCATGGTTGTATCTCCTGTAGATCCTGGTTTACAGGAGATGCAGCGGTTCTGGGAGGTTAGGGCGGCCCAAAAAAAAAATTCCATAATAGTATATTATACTATACTTACAGGTGGGTACTTCTTATTCTTAACATCTTGGACGGCAGTGAGACAGGTGTAGATACTGGTACAGATGCCCTCCACGCCATCCCTGATGCACTTGGACCCTGGGAGACCTGGACCAATCATAATGTCTTTAAAATGGTAATTGAAGTCAATGATTTGACGTTGAATCTTATTCATATACAAATGAAAGTTTAAGTTTGTTTGTGACGCAATCAAGTCAAAACGGATGAAGAAATCGAGATGAAATTTAAAACAGCGGAAGATTGTGATCTGGTCGACACATAGCGTCGGTGAAAATGCAAATCCGCATTGGATTATTCTGCGTATCTGACAAATGTAGCTAATTCAATAGGACTGAAGTTTGTCCACTATCTCGCCTGGTGGTGCGCGATGATGTGGCCTACTGTGGAGCACGTCGACGCATAAGCAACCTATTCACTCGGGCCTTGAAGACTCCCAGGTTATATCCTTCAGGAAATACAGACTCTAGCAAAGAATTTCACTTTTTAACAGAAGCTTGATGCGAAGCGCTTCGTGCGTGTAGGTGGGACATCTACCAAGAATCGGTGACGCTTCGCCTGAGAGTGGTGCTGAGTTTTGTGGTGGTTTTGAGGTGAGTTTTCGCGGAGAGATCTTAATTATCTGCCACCCCGTCGACATGAGTTTATTTCGATTCATCACTACATAGATATAAAGCAGACTGCAAAGCTGTATACTAAATATCGTGCCATCTCTGTCATTATATAAAGAACTTGTAGACAGACCTATAGTTAAGCGCGGCTTAAAATAGAGTTGCGATTATGTATTTTAATATTAATCTCATAATAATAATTAGTCACTCGACCATATCAATTAAGAAAGTTAATTAATATACACATACGTGTTAAATATTGAATTTATATTGAACTAGCTTCTGCCCGCGACTTCGTACGAGCAATCCCATTTTCCCTCCGTCCCCGTTCGTGATTTTCGGTAAAAAGTAAAAAAAAAGTATTGTATAAAAAGTATTTTATGTCCGTCTCCTGGCTCTAAGCTACCTCCCTGCCGATTTTCATCTTAATCGATTGAGGCGTTCTTGAGTTATAAATAGTGTAACTAACACGACTTTCTTTTATATATATAGACTAGCTGTGCCCGCACTTCGTTCGCGTGGTATAGTGATTTACTGCGTATACCCCATAGGTGATAGCGTAATAATATGTAGCCTACATGTTAACCCGACCTGTTAGTAATAATCATACATAATTTGAAGAAAATCCATGCAGTACTTTTTAAGATAATCCCGAACATACATACAGACAAACATACAAAATTTTTAAAAACTATATTTTTGACTTCAGTATGGACTTTAGATCACGTCCATGGGCGGGGCCCGATTGCTTACCATCAGGTGATCCGTCTGTAATAAAAAAAACTGCTTGATATTGAGCGACTGCTAAAACTTAGCAGTCGCAATAACAAATAATTCACTTGATTTTTTTTAACTAAATAATTGCTTTTTTTTGTTTTTACTTTGTACATCGAAAGTACTACTATGGCAGTTGTTTTGCCGCGTGACGGAAACGAAATTGATTTCGCGGTGTATTATAGACATTAATAATCATAATTTTAAAATACATAACTGCCTCATTGGCCGAGTGATCGCAAGTGCGACTGCCGGGCAAGGGGTCTCGGGTTCGATTCCTGGGTCGGGCAAAATATTGCTGGGTTTTTAAAAAAATCTCAGTTGTAGCACGGAGTCTGGAATTGTGCCCGGTATATGGCAATAGGCTCACCCCCTATTACATGGGACTCATAACATAAATAGTGCAAAGTTGGTGTTATATTGTACAGTGGCATAATGTGCACCTCTGCCTACTCCTTCGGGGATAAAAGGCGTGATGTTATGTTAAAATACATACCTTCAGTAATATCCAAGAACTCCATGTTATCATCAGCATAACCACATTTGCAAAGAAAAAATGAAACGAAAATAATTTTCAAAATCATTGTTTTTGTGTTTGTTTAGACGCGTTTATCTCCTAAACTAAGGGTCCGATTTTGAAAATTCTTTTTCTGTCTGATAGAACACTTAAAGAGGAAAATTTTGAGATATATATCATTACGCTACGACTCGTAGGAGTCGAGTAGATTAGTATAAACGCAACACATGTAGGATAAACTTTGGATACAACCTTTTGTTATGAATGGTTACAATCTAATGGTGTTTTATTAAAATAAAATATATAATATACATACAAACTATATAATTAAACCAATCTCAACTTTATCCTCCTATCTATAAAGGTAATTTTAGCTAAACAAGTCATAGCATTAGTTTTATTCAAGGTAAAATGAAGTCTAAAGCTTCATAAGTAAAGATGTCTTTCCTTATGTCATATGTTTAAAGGCTATTTTGAGGTCATTGAAACGATTAATTTTATAAAGCTTTTCCATGCAAATAGGAACTTTAATATCAAGCTAGAAGAGTTAATTTTAATTGATCTCTACTTAACATATTTTGGTTCTTATTAGCCATTCAAGAATCAGTCCTATATCAAAGATTTTATGAGCGATTTTGGCATGAAAATGACTACGATGTTTGCTTATTTTATTACCAATTTTTTGCTAATATCAGTCTTAGCTAAACTAATCTAGACATTTTGAAAAGGTTAACTTTTTATTCCACGATTATGAAAAATCCACATACAAAAATAGTCTCTAAACATCGGCAATACGGTTTGTAATGGTTTAAGTGGAGAGCGATCACCGGTGACCCCTTGGGGACTCGGCAGAGTCGGAAAAACATCACTCAGTAGGTAGATATTCGATAATCGTGTTCAAAATAACTTGACATGTTTTTCTCCATAATTTTTTATCAATCTTTTATTTGAGGATCGAGAATCATGCAATATCTTCTCCAGCCTTGAGTGAGACGGGAGGGAGTGTCAGACTTTTACTGAATAAAAACCACCCTGTTCCTACTCCTGCACTTCGAACCGGGGCACCGGTAACTCGTTAGGCTTTCCGTGGCTGCGTATCGGCATCAGCGCTTCTGCGCCCTATTTGTGGTGGTCTGATGGCTCTTTGAGGCGCGTGTCAGACTCTTACTGACTAAAAACCACCCCGTTCCTACTCCTGCACGTCGAGCCGGAGCCCCGGCAACCCGTGGCTTTCCGTGGCTGCGTATCGGCATCAGCGCTTCTGCGCCTTATTTGTGGTGGTCTGATGGCTCTTTGAGGCGCGCGTTTAACGCGACGCGCTTTCCACACGGGTCTGGTTCTGTAGCGAGCTACCCATGCTCGCTGTCCGCAGACTCCTACTTCCGGTGGCTGGAGATTGTCACGCGATCTCCGAATCCCGGAGTGTCCCCCGTGTTCGTTCCTTCATGCGCCCCGCCTCCTCCTCGGCTAGCATGACTGCTTCGCAGTAGGAGGAGACGGCATCCCACACCCAGTCCTCCTCGATCCGCATGGCCTGAACCAGGGTCGGACGCGAGAGGTCTCCGTCGCAGACCACATATTTACCTACCTACGTAGGTACCTATTAGAACAATTTGATTATGAATAAGTACAGGAAACTACACAGGAAATCATTAATAAACCAGTTATTTTAAATAGATAATTATAATATACAAACATCAGGTAGGTATCTATTAATATTACCTACATATTCATACTTTAATTAACTTTGTTTATTTGTTTGGTCCTGTTACTTCTGTACGCTTAATCTTAGCAAAAAAACAAACTAATGCTAACTATTTTTCTAAGTGTGCACGATTGTAGGTATAGGAAGGTCAATTATATCTAATAGGAAAATGGTTTGATTGTCAAGGTTGTCTGGAGTAGGTACCTTTTTTTTTTGTCTTTGGCAACCGAGTCTCCAATACGATGTTGTCGACTATACTGCCAGTGTCGAGTGGTGACGGCAGTTAATGCACCGTCGAACTTTAACTTTCTGGTAGTTGTTAGTAACGTTATATTTTAATACAATTTTCTTTAATAAATTTGGACAAGCACTTAATTAATTTGGGAGAAAAATTTGTTAGGAGGGAGTGGAAGTTGATTGGAAGAGGGATTTGGATTTTGGGAAGGTTTCCATATAAATCGAAGGATTGGGAATTTAGAGGGCAAGAGAAAAATATGTGGTCTAGGGTTCCCTCATCAAGACCACATTCGCACAGCGAGCTGTCACGTACACGGATCTTGGCAAGAGTAGGTACCTACTTTATGTCCAAATACAAACGCTATTCAATCATAAGTCGTGCTCTGTCACTACTTCTGACAGAGATGACACAATCATCAACAGCCTATATCCACAGCTGACCAAAGGCCTCTTCACACAGACATGGTTTGAGCATTAATCACCACGCTTGCTCAATGCGGGTGGGCGATTTCAAACTTATAATTAGAAAAAAAAAGCCTAGATTTCCTCACTTCCTTGGTAGGTAATTGAAATAAAATAAGTTTATTCGGCATAAGACATGCACGCCAGAAAAGGCATATAAATATAAAAAAGTATAAAAACAGAAAAATTAAAAGATAAAAGTTAAATTATAAAACTAAAACTAAAACAAGCCAATAATTCAGGTGCGCGGTGTTGGCGGACATGTCCAATCCGAACGGGTCACCAACTCAGCATAAAGCTGGGCACAATGAGCACCCAACACTGATTTTCAGTTGGCACCCCTGCAGGGACGCACGGACGAGAACAACACATACTTGTAATCCACATAATAATATATACAAAAACTTCGTTTTAATTTTGTGGGTTCTAGGTGAAGTGTTCAGTCAGATGAAGAAGAGACAGATAATAAAAATATAATTAAAATAATGTTCTGTTAAATAAATAATCATCAAATTAAAAAAAATTGGGCCTGGGTTGCTTCACGTCGGTTTTCTGCTCGGCCGTGGTATCACTCCGGTCGAGCCGGCCCATTCGGGCCGAAGCATGGCTCTCTCACACTGGTCCCATTTAAAAATAAAACTCTCAAAGGTAGGTATTGTTTTTATTAAAGATCTGTCCGAGGTGTTTTTAACATAATATAACTTAATATTAAATAATAGAACTAAGCTGCTACGCCGTCCGGAACGTCGTCCTCTGAAAATGAAATAAAAAATATTAGATTTTTAGTTAGTTGTAAGTGCAACTGCCGGGCAAGGGGTCTCGGCTTCGATTACCGGGTCGGACAAAGTATTACTGAGTTTTTATAAAAATACTCAGTAGTATCATCGAGTTTGTAATTGGGATGATGACAGGGGATGAAAATTAAAAATCTAATTAGTCCGTAAGTTAGGTAACGAAAAAATATTAGACACGTATTTTTTTTATTTTGTCGTATAATAAAACAATACTTATATATAACGAATCAAAGAATAGGAGTGGGGGCTAAAACGTCATATCTACGTATAAAATGTACATAGAAGTGACGTCACGCGGCATTTCAAATCAATATATCGTCGAAAGTATTCGTTTCTGTAAGATAATAAAAAATACGTGTCTAATGATTTAAAATAATCTACCAGACGGACATTAAAATAAAAATTAGGCATCTACCATATTGTGCCCGGTATATGGCAATAGTCTCACCCCCTGTTACATGGAACTCATAACATGAATAGTGAAAAGTGGGTGTTTAAGGGGGGACAATCATCGAATGCCTTCTCGCGCCTGAGTGAGGCGGGAGGGAGTGTCAGACTCTTACTGACTAAAAACCACCCCGTTCCTTCTCCTGCCGGAGACGAAGAGGAGAGAGGAGTGGGTGTTAAATTGTACAAATGCATAAAGTGATAAAGAATCCTATACCTTTATCATCAGTATCCATCGGTTCCGGCGTCTCCTGGTAGGCCGGCGCGAGAGGGGACACGACCACGCCGTCCCACACTGTGATCTCAGTCGATATGTCTTTGCCACCTTCGAACGCTTGGAGTCCTAGTACGTAGCGGTGACCACCGCGAGCCACTACTCGGAGTAATCTGTTGACGAAATTTAATATATATTTATTTATTTACTAGCTTTTACCTGCGGCTTCGCTTGCGTCAAAAATCAAAATTCATTTATTCACATTTAAATAGAGTTATTACATTTGATGGTTTTTATGTTACATCCTTTGTTCTTATAATCTATTTAGCCTGCTTAGGGCATGTGAAGTTAAGTACATTTAAAAAAGGAAAGGAATGGTTGTTCATAATTATATTCAATAATAATCCAATTCAATAACATTCACAATATATCACAGAAGGAATAAAAGTAGCCTATGTGACATATACTAATACACACAGCGCCATCTATACCAATACTTTTGTTTTCTTTCTAACTTTACGTCTGCAAAAATTCAAAGCAATCGGTTTAGTAGTTACGGCGTGAAATCGGAACAAACAAACTCACTTTCCGATTTAGTAAGGAAGTAAGGATTATTTTTTAATCGGACAAGCCCGCAACAACCTCCCAGACCCGCTGCAGCTCCAGTGCACTAGTATCTACAGTAGCCCTAAAATTTGCAACGCCTGAAAAAGGCCGTTAAGCTGTGTCTGTTATTAATTTCATAAGACCTGTATGTATTACCTTAACATGCAAATGAAGACTTGTGAGTTTGAGTTTAGATTCAACCATGCGAATACCGGAATACAGACCAGCGCGTCCCAGGAACATAAATATATTTTTTTAAATAACGTTGCCCCACACTAGGAATTTCTTCTGTATCGTGGGTGCGTTTACAAACATACAATATCACATACACATGACACCCAGACCCGAAACAACAATTTGTGGATCACACAAAGTGTTGTTCCGTGCGGGAATCGAACCCGCGACACGTTGCACGGCAGCCAGTTGCCCAGCCACCGCGCCAACCGTGTAGTCAATATGTTTGTATATGTTTATAATAGGCCCAATTATCCCCCTCCCCAGTCTTCGAAATCCCCCACAATCCTCAAATTCCTAATCCTCAAAAGGCCAGTATCGCACTTGTAACGTTTCAGGTGTCCATGGGCGACGCCGATTGCTTATCATCAGGTGATCCGTCTGCTAGTTTACCGGCTTATGCCATAGAAAATATATAAATATACTAACATAGTCCAACCTAGCACCCTAAAACTTACGGTACGATTTGAGCTCAGTTCATATAAATTACTGTCTTAATCTTAGGGGACAGGAACATTTTTTTTATACTTTCAATATTTAAGTGCACTGGGTTGGGGTCGAATCGCAATTGAATAAAGTACGTGACGAAATAATGACGATACTATATTTATGTTGTAACTTTCGTGAGACATACTAAATAAATTATTATGTTTTCGGCTTAATCATGACAGTAAATGAATATGAGCCTCTAGTATGGCTTGAAACTAGTCGAGTTCCTCGTCAAATTACTGCGTGAGTAAACCGAAAACATAATAATGACGATACTGACGTCTGCGCGGTGGCGGCGGCGAGGTCCTGTGCGGCGAGGTCGAGCGCGGTGTGGGCGCGGGCGTGCGCCGCCTCGCACGGGTCGGCCAGCCCCGCGCAGCCCGGCAGGAACAGCCCGCCCGCCAGCAGGGACAGCGCGCGTCTGCGGGAGGAACGAGAATGGGGATGATGACAGGGTATGAAAATTAAAAATATAATTAGTCCGTAAGTTAGGTAATGAAAAAATATTAGACACGTATTTTTTTATTTTGTCGTATAATAAAACAATACTTAGATAAAACGAAACAAAGTTTAGGAGTGGGGGCTAAAACGTCATTTCTTAGTATAAAATGTACTGAGAAGTGACGTCACGCGACATTTCAAATCAATATATCTTCGAAACTATTCGTTTCTGTGAGCAAAATAAAAAATACGTGTCTAATGTTTTTAAATAATCTATCAGACGGACATTAAAATAAAAATTAGTCGTCTACCCCATTGCTTAAGTACTTTCCTCAATCAATAATACATTATTTCGACTTCTAGCTTTTACCCGCGGCTTCGCTCGCGTCACAAAAGGATAAAAGTAGCTTATGTGACATATACTAATACACACAGCGCCATATATACCAATTCTTATGTTTTCCCTCGGGAATATCGAAATTTTCCGGGATAAAAAGTACCCTATTATTTAATCCGGACTTCTAACTTTACGTCTGCAAAAATTCAAAGCAATCGGTTTAGTAGTTACGGCGTGAAACCGGAACAAACAAACAAACTCACTTTCCCATTTATAATATTAATATATATTAATAAGGATTCAACACAAAAAAAATACAAAAAAATAATCACACTTTCATTAATTGATTTTATGACCAACTTAATTTTCAAGAAATAAGTAGGTATGCTGTTTGATATTAAAAAAACGTGACGTCACAATACACAATCCCTGAATCCCCAACGATCCTCAACTCCTAATCCGCAAAAGGCCGGTAACGCTCTTGTAACGCCTCTGGTGTTCCAGGTGTCTATGAGCGACGCCGATTGCTTACCATCAGGTGATACGTCTGCTCGTTTACCGGCTTATGCCATAATAAAAATACACAATCTCGTACAAAATTCATAGAAAACTCTCATTTTTGACAGTTCGGAAAATGTATTTTGAATTTAACTAGTTGGCGAGTAACGAATTGTGTGTAGCCAGAAATCAATAACAAAAATTATTGTGATTGACGTTTTAGTAACATATAAAATTTATTAGTTTTCTGTACAGATTGTTATATTTCTTTATACACTTAATTCTGCTGTACGTGTGTATGTCATTGAACTTCTCCTAAACGGCTTGACCGATTTAAATGATTTTTTCTGTATGCGTTTGAGTGGCGCCCTGGATGGTTTAGATTCACAAATCAGCGTATCACATGGTGCTGTAGTCGCATTTAAAAAAATAAATAAATAGAATATAATAATATATAATAATTAGATTATTGTTGAAAATCATATGCAGGACAACGTCTGTCGGGTCCACTAGTTTTATTGTATATTTGTGTGGTCTCCTAAAATTTCCTAAAACATTTTTTCTGAATCACACAATGTGCTGTTTCGTGGGCGAATCGAACCCGCGACACGTAGCACGGCAGTTGGTTGCACAGCCACATTACATACCATATCTTTTTATAGTGGATCAATTTATAAAACTATTTAAGAACATCTTTTATTGCCTCGTTGGCCGAGTGGTCGCAAGTGCGACTGCCGGACAAGGGGTCTCGGGTTCGATTCCCGGGTCGGGCAAAGTATTAATACTGGGTTTTTCAAAAATCTCAGTAGTAGCACGGAGTCTGGAATTGTGCCCGGTATGTGGCAATAGGCTCACCCCCAACATAACACATACCATCACGCCTTTTATATCTGAAGGGGTAGGCAGAGGTGCACATTACGGCACTTAATGCCACTGTACAATGTAACACCCACTTTTCACTATTTATGTTATGAGTCCCATGTAATTGGGGGTGAGCTTATAGCCATATACCGGGCAAAATTCTAGACTCCGTGCTACTACTGGGAATTTTTTAAAACACCCAGTAATACTTTCCGCTTGACCACTCAGCAAACATGGAGTTTCTTCTTTCTTCTCCATAGGAATCTACACTTTGGAAAGAGCAAATGGCTTCACTAGAGGACTGACCTACAGACTGACATTTTTTCTTATTATTTACTATTTAAATATTTTGTTTTGACATTCAAAAGTGCCTTCTTGACATAATTGAAATAAATGATTTTGATTTTGACTTTGACTTTGCATTTGCCCAATGCAAATGCAAATCAGTCATCGCTCGATTCCCTACAAAATGGTTGAGTTGGGCGGTGCTGGGGTACGCCCAATGCAAATGCAAATCAGTCATCGCCCGATTCCCTACAAAATGGTTGAGTTGGGCGGTGCTGGGGTACGCCCAATGCAAATGCAAATCAGTCATCGCCCGATTCCCTACAAAATGGTTGAGTTGGGCGGTGCTGGGGTACGCCCAATGCAAATGCAAATCAGTCATCGCCCGATTCCCTACAAAATGGTTGAGTTGGGCGGTGCTGGGGTACGCCCAATGCAAATGCAAATCAGTCATCGCCCGATTCCCTACAAAATGGTTGAGTTGGGCGGTGCTGGGGTACGCCCAATGCAAATGCAAATCAGTCATCGCCCGATTCCCTACAAAATGGTTGAGTTGGGCGGTGCTGGGGTACGCCCAATGCAAATGCAAATCAGTCATCGCCCGATTCCCTACAAAATGGTTGAGTAGGGCGGTGCTGGGGTACGCCCAATGCAAATGCAAATCAGTCATCGCCCGATTCCCTACAAAATGGTTGAGTAGGGCGGTGCTGGGGTACGCCCAATGCAAATGCAAATCAGTCATCGCCCGATTCCCTACAAAATGGTTGAGTTGGGCGGTGCTGGGGTACGCCCAATGCAAATGCAAATCAGTCATCGCCCGATTCCCTACAAAATGGTTGAGTTGGGCGGTGCTGGGGTACGCCCAATGCAAATACAAATCAGTCATCGCTCGATTCCCTACAAAATGGTTGAGTTGGGCGGTGCTAGGGTTCGCAAAATGTTCGTGAACAGGCACCGTCGATTGGAACTGGTCAGCTCCAGACTGTATCATTTTATTTTATTATCCTCAATGTTATTTTCTTTTTCAGTCTTTCTGACTGGATTTAGGTGTTGCATTGTTCTCACATAATCGAATTGTATTGTGAGCCCGATTGAAAAAGAGTAACCTATGGAGTTTCTTGCTCGTTCTTCTCCATATTCACTTACAAATTTTTGTTGTTTGACGTTCGAAAGTGCCTTCTTGGTATAATTGAAATAAATGATTTTGACTTTGACTTTTGACTTTGAGGCAATATTCAACATTTCGTTAAAATTTGAAAAGACAAGTTTCAGATTTTAAAAACTAACCTGAAAGCCACATTAATAGGCAGAGCTTGTCTAGCAGGGTTGTTCATGATGCAGTGGTGAGCTAACAGGTCAATCATCCACGGGGTCAGGGGTTCGAGACCCGAGTGACGCGCGCACATGTCACGGAGCAGACGGATAAGGACCTGCGGATAGAAAATTAGTAGTAAATATAGTTATTTAAAATATAATAGTCATTTTAATAGGGTTTTAGACGCTTTTTGTTGTATAAATATTTTTTAAAAAGACTGCTCCCGCCTGGGTGTGGTGGGAAGGAGTGTCAGTTCTCTATACTCTCTGTTCCCTGTGGTGGTCTGATGGGTCTTTGAGGGGCGCGCTACACGCTGGGCGCCGTACGCTCGTGTCTGTTTCTGGGGGCTTACTCTTGAATCCAATTCCGATCGATCGACATTGGTATTGTGAAATTTCGTACTCTCGATTTGCAACACCAGCGCCCATTGCATCCGTATTGCGTGGATATTCAATAAACTAAATGGTATTGTGTTTAGCTTTATATTCCGTACTCTGAATGCTATTGTAACAGCTACGATGGTGGTTCTATAGTTTTGACATTGAATAATTATTGAGATTTTATTGGATTGAAATTGCATTGATATTGAGATTGGTTTCAAGAGTAAGCACCCTGGTCGGACGGGGAGCCACCCATGCCCGCCGTCCGCAGGCCCGCGTGTATGAAAATCTATAGACTTACCTTGATAGAAGAATGATGAGCATTCTCCTCGAACCAGCGACTGTGGCGGATGGCGGCCAGGTGGCTGCTTATCACTTTGTAGTCGAGGTGGACCTGGGGATGTGGAACAAAATAATAATTAGACAATGCAGTTAGGTAATCAACTGTACGGTTGGCGCGGAGGTTGGGCTACTGTCTGCCGCGCAACGTGTAGCGGGTTCGATTCCTGCACTGAGCAACATTTTGTAACTTAACATAACATTACGCCTTTTTATCCCCGAAGGGAAAGTCAGAGGTGCACATTACGGCACTTAATGCCACTGTACAATGTAACACCCACTTTTCACTATTTATGTTATGAGTCCTATTGCCAGGCACAATTGCAGACTACGTGCTGACTGAGACTCTTTTAATACTTTGCCCGACCCGGGAATTGAACCCGAGACCCCTTGCCCGGCAGTCGCACTTGCGACCACTCGGCCAACGAGGCAGTCAACTCTTTGTGTAATCCACAGATTGTTGTTCTGGGTCTGTGTATCATCTTTATATATATAATTCTGCTGTGCGTGTGTACTTGACTTTTTGACTTTGAAAATGATTTTTTCTGTACGCGTTTGTGTGGCGCCCTGGATGGTTTAGATTCACAAATCAGCCCGGCAAATGGCGCTGCAGTCGATGTCTAGGTTAGTTATCCTAAATGGCTGAACTAATTTGAATGAATTTTTGTTTATAAGTACATTCAAGTGGATATGCAGGACAACGTCTGTTGGGTCCGAGTGTCTATGTAAACTTGAATGTTTGTAAACGCACACACGACACAGGAGAAAATCCCAGAATGGGGCAAAGTTTTATTTAAAACTAGCTTTTACCCGCGGCTTCGCTCGCGTCACAAAAGGATAAATACCAAAATTTTCCGGGATAAAAAGTACCCTATTATTTAATCCAGACTTCTAACTTCACGTCTGCAAAAATTCAAAGCAATCGGTTTAGTAGTTACAGCGCGAAAGTGGAACAAACAAACTCACTTTCCGATTTATAATATTAGTAAGGAAGTAAGGATTCTAAAACTTACCTCCGGCTCCAATTTCCTCAGATTCTGATGCAGCGTTGTGACCAGAACCCTGACGGCGGCGCTGGGCCCTGTCACCGTGAACCCTCGCTCGTGGCACGCGCTGGTCACCGACGTGCTCGGGGTCTCAGCACGCATCAATTTGTTCAGCTCTTCGTTGACCTGGAATAAGATGGTGAGCAATGTATTTTTTATTGTCTTTAAGGTTATTTTCTTTTTCAATCACTTTGACTGGATTTTAGTGTTACATTGTTCTCGCACAATCCAAACAGCAAAACTATGTAACTACCTCTAGTAAATTGTATTGTGATTACCTGATTGAAAAAGAGTAACCTATGGAGTTTCTTGCTCGTTCTTCTCCATAGGAATCTACACCTTGGAATGAGCAAATAGCTTCACTTTTAATTTTCTTTTTGTTGACGTTCAAAAGTGCCATTCTGGCCTAATTGAAATAAATGATTTTGACTTTGACAATCAGCGTCGCTCATGAACACCCGGAACACTAGAGGCTTTGAAAGAGCGTTAACTGCGTTTCGGGGATTAGGAATTTGAGGGTTGTTGGGGACTTAGTAATTGGGGAGATCCGGAAAGGGGAGGGGGGTGTCGGTAACCTCACTCACACGACGATACACAACGCATGTTGTTTCACGTCGGTTTTCTGCTCGGCCGTGGTATCACTCCGGTCGGACCGGCCCATTGGTGCCGAAGCATGTCTCTCTCACACTTAACACGTTCAGACCAGCGTGTACCACCGGTGGTACACCTCGCCGTGGCAGCAAATACTCCGTGCTCCACCGGTGGTACACGCCGGTCTGAACGTGTTAAGGAACGTCGTTGCAAATTTTTTGACTTTGAGCCCCAATTCTGGCGTGAAACTAGTCGAGTTACTTCAAAAAACACTTACGTGAGTAAATCGTAACACATAATTAATTTATTATATCTTACGACAACTGTAATTCAAAAGTAATTACTTAATTACCTTATTTGACAAGCCCTCGACAGCTTCCTTAGTGGGCAGGGTCTTCATTATGACGACGATATCAGCCACATTCTTCCCAGCCATCATCGTCCCTTTCTTGTACGAACCGACTTGGCGAACCTCCTCCAGTTGCTACAAAAAACCGTATTGGAGATAAAATAAAACCCATTTTTATGAATATTGCTTAGATAATTCAGATACACATTAAAAAGTTTCGAAATAAATAAATGACGCAATGTGTTGTTTTAAAGCTGCAGCATTTTCTAGGACGTAACTCGGCTACCGATTCTGAGTCCGAATCAATAAAAGAAATTGTAGGTAAATATTTTTCATTTTTCTGTAAATTACTGAAATCCATAAGTGCGAAGTACACGCCGCCGTCTTGTAACTAGCTTTATAACGCTGCTTAACACACACAAACTCAAACACATAATTGATATTATTCCTATTTCCATAAAACTCCAATAAGAAACATTGCTGTCGCTTATTCTGAAATACTGTCGAACTTAAACGATTTATTATAGCCGTATTTTTAACGTGAATGTGTAGTCATAAGACCATGGTGAATTAATAAAATAGGACTCTAAGAAAAAACATTTAAGGCTGATTTCACAGTTATAACGGAACAATATTAATAATAAATACTCTGATAAGAGTTAAAAGAACATCAAATTAGCGGCAAAACTTTCTTTTTGGCGGTAGTCGATAATTTATGAAATGGTTTTAATTTATACAAATCTGAAGTAATATTCTAAAAGCGAAAACTTTGTTTGAATGCGTTCTATTAAAAGTACTATTAAAAGTCTTTAATTTTATGTTCCCTAAAATAAGAATGTTAATTTCGTTAGTAGTAGTTTCTTTGAAAACTGTGAAAAGAGCCCATAGGAAGATAATCTGAAAGAAATACATAGTATAGACAAGTATATTATTTGGTGATCTCTGGTAATTTTATAACTCCCTGACACATGCAGATTTTGTTTGCAGCTAACCCGTTGTAATCTGATGAATGAGTTACTAGGTGATCAGACACTTTTTAGATGGATATTCATATCCTGGTGGCCTGGAGACACCACTGACATACCGTGAACGAAAACAACACCAGGAAATCCGGACAATTTCTTATGAAAAACTTAAAATTTTCTAATTAATATAAGTTTGAAATTGGCAATCCACCTTGAGTAAGTATGGTTTGTAATGCTCATGTAAGAAATGGTCTTTACTTGGCAGTAAGCACATACTGGCCAATGATCACGATAAGTCTTTTTATTAAGAAAGTGACAGTGAATCTCAGATTGCGTTGTCAAAAAAGTACATTTAACCCATAGATCCCCAAGCGGTCACCGGTGACTGCTCTCCCCTAATATTACATTACATTATAGACCTTATTTCCATTGTTTAGAGACTACTTTTGTATGACCAAATTTAGGGGATGGATTTCAACGGGTTAATTGTCAAAATTCAGATCACAACCGGTTAACCGCAGAGTTAATATCCCATTGAATATTAATTTGTCTAGAAAGAAACACAGAGAACATTAATCATGTATTACTCACATGCTAAATATTAGGTAAAACCATTACCCTCCGTCAAGGCTTGGCCGTAGTAGGGTAAAAAATACCAGTATTTCAATATCTTCATTTTAAAATATTTAAAATACATTTAAAGCTGTTGCCTATTATGTTACGGTGATACTAATGTGATTTATAATACAAAAATATAATTCTAATTGAAAAATTATAATGAAAACACTAGATCAGGGATTCCCAAGCTATGTACCAGTTGCAGACCAAAAGCTAAATGAGTTAAGCTTAGTTCGCCTAGCTGATGTTGTGTTCCATACTTGAGTGTAAACCGCAAACTATTACAGAATAACGATGGAGTTTCTTGCTCGTTCTTCTCCATTCGAAACTACACTTTGGAATGAGTGCCTAGCTTCACTGACAGAGAGACGGATGGACAATTCAATTTTTGAAGTTTCAAAAGTACCTAATTAAGGATTAATTAAAATAAATGCTTATGCGAACTAGCTAAACTCACTTAGCTTAGCTCTTGGTCTGCAACCGGCTTTTCTAGGTCAAGAACCTCTTCTTCATCATTCTAGTTAGGGTAGGAATTACTATATACTTTTTTTAATTGTTCCAACACTATGATTTTCTCCAGTCTTGCAGTTTTATTCTTAAAACAAGACTTTTAGATTAAAGGAATCAGTATCACCTTTCAATTGTCTCCTTTGACACAATAAATTGGAGCTTTAACCGTGGATTAGACAAAAATATTGTAACATAACATAACATCACGCCTTTTATCCCCGAAGGGGTAGGCAGAGGTGCACATTATGCCACTGTACAATGTAACACCCACTTTTCACTATTTATGTTGAGTCCCATGTAATAGGGGGTGAGCCTATTGCCATATACCGGGCACAATTCCAGACTCCGGCCAACTACTGAGAATTTTTTTAAAAACCCAGTAATAGTTTGCCCGATACCTCTTGCCTGGCAGTCGCACTTGCGACCACTCGGCCGACGAGGCAGTCTGTCTGACAAAAATGTTGTCTTGTATTTTTTTTCCATTTCTCATGCCGACCATATTTTAGTCTACAGACCACCAGTTGGGAACCACTGCTCTAGATATTATGGAAAATGTTAAAAAAAAACTTTATAACGCAGCTAATTTAAGATAGGAGAATGTATACTTACGCATGCTGCAAAGTCTCCGGGAGCGACAACGAGGTTGTCCAGCACGGTTTGCAGTTTTGTGACTAGACTCAGAACTGCGGACTGCTCTGCGGGTGTTGGGCACAGCTCTGCGTGTCTCTTTAGAAGAGCCTGTAATAGAAATTTTATTAATTTTTTTTTTAAGACGTTGCCCCACACTAGGATTATTTCCTGTGTCATGGGTGCGTTTACAAACATACAAGTTCACATATACATGACACCCAGACCCGAAACAACAATTTGTGGATCAAACAAAGTGTTGTTCCGTGCGGGAATCGAACCCGCGACACTTTGCACGGCAGCCGGTTGCCCAGCCACCGCACCAACCATGCAGTCATAATATAATACAAACATTCTCTTATATTTATTCCGAGCTATATTCAACTACATTGGAACTATTACATTGTCTAGAGCTAAGACATATTGACAGGTCTAATCTGTAACGGTATTTGGCTCATAGCTCTTGTCTATAAATAGAGAACACTAAATCTATCTACATAAGAAAACATCACGCCTTTTTATCCCCGAAGGGAAACACATTTCGGCGCTTAATGCCAGTGTACAATGTAGCACCCACTTTTCACTTATTTATGTTATAAGTCCCATGTAATAGGGGGTGATAAATCTATATATCTATATATATAAATAAAAATTTTGGTCATTTTGGTGTTGAAATGTTTGCGGGTGTAAAGGGACGGTTTAAAAGTCGAGAAAAAACATGGTACGAAGTCTGCTGGCTCAGCTAGTGGTAAATAATATTGATAAGATCTATCTGTGGTATGAGCCAATAAACATTCTAGTGCTTGTTTACAAAAAGAGCACACTAAATAAAATTACCTAATTATTATGTTTTCAGCTCACTCACATAACAGTTTTATTCTTGAGCAGCAGAGAGGTCCTTGTCAAACATTTACGCGAGTAAGCCAATTTATAATAATTAATTTAGTATGTCTCACGCAAATTTTAATATAAAAACATGATAAAATCTAAAATTTGTTATATTTTCCGATGGTATATTTTGTAGGCCTTGTGTATTATTTCTGATAGACCATGTTATAACAAGTGTGTGCAAAAATGCTACACTGGCGCTGAGGGTGTTAAATAACATATCTATTTAATACAAGCAAAACAATGTTGATTTCTGACATCAGTTACGTTTTTAAACTTATGCCCCCTACTTCACTATAGATCTTGAGTCTTCTCGTACTATAGATCGTGATCTTCAATCGGTCAACCGCGACCATTAGTCCAGTCGATCATAGCAAGGCAAAAAAATAAATAAATAAACAGACTAGACCACTAGACTGTACACCATAATTTTATTGCCAACTACTTCAGCATCATTTTGAATAATTTCTCAATATATTGTATGATATGTACTAAACACTACTACGCTGTTTTATTGAAGATTTCAAGACCTATGTAAGTGTGAGATTGCAAAAGGTTACGTTAATAGAACGTAATTCTTATGTCTGATCAATTTGGCCACCCCTGCTGTAGATCATTGGTCAGATTTATTTTTATTACTTACTGATCTAGGTGGTACAGCGGTGGTCAAAAGGTTAAAAAAGACAACTGTTTATGGTGTATATGTGTTCTACAATGATGTTCTACTTACTTGGGTTAATGCAGAATCGTCTGGAGCGGGCTTGCATCTTGGGAACGCCGGTTCAGCCAAAATCAAGTCAAATGGAGGTCTCAGCATCAGCACACGAGGTCGATTGAACGGTGGCCGTCCCATACCACCGCGTACACCCATCCCTCGGCCTCCACGACCATTTCCACGAACCATTATTGAATTTGAATTCACAGGAGTATAACTTAACACCAAGATTGGGTCTTGCTAGGTTATTTTTTAACTTGACACACTTGTATTCTAAATATAAGGTATTTTTAATATTCTCGCAGAGTAAAATTAATTATTTAATTTAATTTTAATGCACTTTAACCAATAAAATGTGATTATTTTCTAATTTGTAGGACACAAAAACAAAATGGTAGCCGACGCGCTTATTTTCTTTTTAGCGACAGCTGTCATGTTGGCTTGTCGCAAATTTCGAACACCGGGCTTTTTAGTATTCATATATGTTGAACAATTTTGAAAAAATAATTATTAATTTAAATTGCCTTGTGAACATAAAATGAGATGTTGCTCAAGTAAGAATTAAGATCATTTGACTATTTTTATTTTTTTTAAATCTTTCGCTAACTCCGGTTATCGGGTAATCTAATGCTTCGATAAAATTCCTCTCTTTAAAGGATATTGTACATTTGTATGTCTATCTCTGTATGCCCGTCAAATTTTATTTAGAAGAAAGGCAGCTAAAGGTTCATTTACCTATATTATATACGTTATTAATTCACAGGCCTTTGAGATGAAAATGGTCGTTCCTCAAGGTTCAATATTGACTCCCTTTCTCTTTTCTCAGCCTCCCATAGGCTTATTATGAACAGTGACTGCTTTTTCATCGCAAGAAGAATAAAATCTTAGGTACTAAGTACTTAATAAATAGAAAGTGCCGAGTGTTAAAAGTTGATTTCCCTAAAAAGGAAACTCACACTTGAATCTCCATTGTCACACATGTCACACAGATCCGGAACAAAAATCTGTGGATCACACAAAGGATTGTTCCGTGCAGGAATCGAACCCGAGACACCTTGCGCGGCAGCCAGTTGCTCAGCCACCGCACCAACAATGCAGTCAAGAACGCTCAGTCATATAACTACAAATCGCGGGTTACTCACGTGAATATACTGAGAAAAGTTCAACTAGTTTCAAACCACAGAGGGTTTATTCCTCATGAGCAGCGTGCGCGGTACACACTACACTACACTATTTATAACTCAAGAACGGCTTACGGCTGACTCAATTTGATTGAAAATTGGTGGAGAAGTAGCTTAGAACCAGGAGACGGATATAAAATACTTTTATCCAAGGATTTCCCAAAAATCCTACGGGATCAGGAAAAACGGGATTGTGTGACCTACGAAGTCGCGGGCAGCAGTTTTAAAATAAATGTAAATATAGAGCAGTTGTTTTATTTATTAAAAAAATTTTTCTTCGTTTTTCTAAATGCTACCGCGGAGAAGTTAGATAGGTATACAGTTTTATTCAAGTATATGAGTTTAAAGTCGCCTCTCTTCATTGTTATGGTTAAGCTCCAAGATGGCCACCGCAAACGTCGTCAAAGACAACATTTTTGACCTGTCATTTCCTTCCCCAAATACGACCCATAGCATTAAAGAAAATATTTTACATTTCTGTTGACTAACTAAAACAAAATATCAAGGTAGACTAAAAATATTCATTAATATCGCACTAGTAATAAATATCACAGTTCTAACTCAAGATACGAGATTTGTTCTGAATTTATTAAAACACTTCGTTTCATCAACAGGATTAACTGTGCCATCGTTTCAAGGAAGAAAATTCCTTGCAAAGGATATCGGAATCAAAAATTAGATGGCGCCAACCTCAAAATTAGATTCTAAAGTCCAGTGAAAATCAAATCACGTCAGTCCATGGGATGGTCGATTCGATATCGTTATATCTCCTACGAATGTTGGTTCTCCGCGTAGGATTTGCAATATTATTGTAATACTTTTGCAAAAATAATTCAGGGTTTTTAACATGCTCGTCTTCCACGCTTTGTGTTTCTCGTCTCCTGAAGGCAACCGTTGGCTGAAACAGATAGTTTAGTCATACTTATCAGGCTGGACTTGAAAAACTTCAGTATAACATTTTTGTATGGGTTAGGAGCATAATGAGCAGACGGGTCACCTGATGGTAAGCAGTTACAAGTGTGTTCCGAGAGAGAGACATGATTGGGTCATTGGTAACTTCACTCTCACAACAAAACGGAACGGAAACGGAACGCAACGAAAGCGTTGCTTCACACTGACGTTCTATGAGGCCGTGGTATCACTCCTTTTGAGCCAACTCATTCGTGCCGAAGCATGGCTCTCCCACAGGAAGTAGATAAACAAGTTTAGAGACTTATAGAAGAAATATTACGTACCTGCGTAGGATAATTGTTTACTGACGATGTGTATACTGATAACCTGTAAAATATATTAATTACGCAATATAATATACAACAATATTACAGGGTGTTCGGCGCATGAATCGACACAATTTTTCATTAGCCATCTTTAAAAAAAATGTTTATTGGCACACACAAGTTAGATTTACATGTAGACATGTAAGCGAACAGCATTCACATAAATGCAAATACGGCAGAGGTGCCCGTGGGCCCCAAATTAGGCACAGCCTGTATCTTGGTGGCCCAATGGAAAGGTTTAGACTAGTTGGTTCTCGCGTCATGTTTATGACAAAGTGCGTTTTACACAAAAACCCCTCGTCACAAATATGACGGTTGGTAAAACATTTTTTTTTTTATTAAATTGAAATATATACCCAAAATGACGCTCTATGACCAATTTGAAGCTTAAATTGCGGTCTCCAAAGCCCCTGCTGAGCGAGGAGATAATAGCAAACTGTCTGTAGTTATGTAGGAGAAACCATCAGTGGCCTGTCATTGTCTGTTGTTTATAAGACAAAGAAATAATTCTATATTGCTATCAAAGTGTCAGTCGGCAGTGAACCTGAGCTGATAGGATGACGATGACGAGACTCACTCGCGGCTGAGAGCTGGCGCGAGGGCAGTGGTAGTTCTTCTCTTAACTGCGATGACGGGCAGCAGTATTATCACGCGTTGCCTGCTGCTCTGCTTGGGTACAGCTGCTGTGTACTTGAAGAATTGACTCGTCAGGACTGGCTGAGTCAGTTCTGATGAGTCAAGTGGTGGTCCCGATGAATGGGTGACCTCCGTGGGTCCTGGAACACACAAAATGTTATAGAAAGATGACACTTTTTTATGGAACAGGAGGCAAACGAGCAGACGGATCACCTGATGGTAAGCGGTCAGCGTCGCCCATGGACACCCGCAACACCAGAGGAGTCACAGGTGCGTTGCCTTTCTATTAGAATTGGCTGATTACACGTGTAATCGGCAATTCATTCAGTTACTAGCTGTTTTCGCTCGGCTACTCAGCTCCTACTGATCTTAACGTGATGTTTTATTAATCGCCCTCAAAAAAAGGGTATCAGTTTCACCTGTATACCAAACACGCAAACATACAAACATAATATGTATGTATGCATGTTTGCGCATGATTATCTTGCAAATGGCTAATTCAATTTTGATGCTATATCCAGAAAAAGGTTTGTTATACTTAGGAGAAGATTAATATATAAATTAACTGACTTAAAAAAAGGAGTCGGTTTTTCTAATATAGCTTTTTATAAAAGAACGGTCTTACTAATATTAGAAATGCTAAAGATTGTGAGTTTTTGTGTTAGTGTGTTTGCGGCGTTTTTTTTAATAGATAGAGTGATTCTTAAGGAACGTTTATATGTATAATACATGTATATTGCACCCGTGCGAAGCCGGGGCGGGTTGCTAGTAGACTATAAAACATTATGCTACGATCGCAATAGAAACAGCAGGTGAAACCGCGCGGGCGTCAAATTAACTAATTTATAGGACGTACCTCTCAGGCGTTTGTTTTTATACATCGGCGGGTCGTAAGCTGGTGTTGTAGACTTGGTGGACTTGACTGTGGAGCAATAAATAAACAACATGTTATGAATTGTTATGTTGTATACCTACGGTTTAAACTGTCAAACACCGAGCGGTCACCGGTGACCGCAACTTATTGTTCTTCAATTGTGTCTATAATGACGGTACTCAACGAGTTATCATACAAAACAAAATCAGCCGTTACTTTGTGAGAATCCATATTAAAATAAAAAAACTTCACAACATGACATCAAGTCTCTTATCCTCGAAGGGGCAGAGGTGCACATTACGGCCACTTAATGCCACTGTACAATGGTCATGTTATGAGTCCCATGTAAAAGGGGGTGAGCCTATAGCCATATACCGGGCACAATTCCAGACTCCGTCCTACTACTGAGATTTTTTTAAACTCAGTAATACTTTGCCCGATCCGGAAAACCGAACCCTAGACCCCTAGTCGTCGCAGTCGCATTTGCGACTACTCAGCCAAGGAGGTAACGAGCAGTAAAAAATATTACAATTCAGGAAACATGACAAATTTTTATTCCGGTAAAAAGTAGATAATATTTGCAGCAGCACCATCTACGATTGCACATGCACACGCAGAAGAGATACAATACAAAAATACACCACACACAATCATACTACCCGATCACGACTCGACACGTGTTTGCCGTGTTTTAAGGAGGTAAAACACCACCCCGTTCCTTCTCCTGCACGTCCAGCTGGAGCCCCGGTTACCCGTTAGGTTCTCCGCGACTCCGAATCGGCATCAACCCTATTGGGTCCCATCTGCGGGAAACGTCCCATGCCTGAGGTGGCCGGAGATCGTCTGGTCATCCCATCTTCAGGAGATGTTCAGTCGCGAATTCACTGTGATTTGCAATACAGTGGCCCTGGCTCGAAGCAGGACTAGGAACGGGGTTGTACTTGTTTAGTAGGAGTCCTACACTCTCTCTCACTTCGCCCAAAGCGAGAAAAGTCAATTGTCATTCTCACAAATAAAGGTATCCACGAGTAAATGTGGGAGAAGTGTGGAAAGTAGAGGTAAGTGTGGGAGAGCCATGCTTCGGCACGAATGGGCCGGCTCGACCGGAGTGATACCACGGCCTCACAGAAAACCGACGTGAAGCAACGCTTGCGTTGTGTTTCGTCGTGTGAGTGAGGTTACCGGTGGCCCAATTACCTTTCCCTTCCCCAATCTCCCCAATTCCTGAATCCCCAACGATCCTCAAACTCCTAATCCCCAAAAGACCGGTAACACACTTATAACGCCTCTGGTGTTCCAGGTGTCCATGGGCGACACCGATTGCTCACCATCAGGTGATCCGTCTGCCCGTTTACCGGCTTATGCCATAAAAAAACACGTCCTGAATACAATACTAACCGGACTGTGGCGGGACATGTTCACAGAGGCAGTTCTCCGTCTCCAGGGTGAACAGTGGACATCCACATTTTCTGGAGAAATGACGTCCAGCTATCGGCGCTGTTGTGTTGTACAAGGGAGTTATATACATGTAGGGCGCAATTGTATTTATATACCTGCATACTACGTAGTCCTGAAATAGTAAGATATTTATATTATATAGTGTAACTTTTTAGAATTTCGGCTAACAAAAATATGGCATTTTTTACATCGACAGCCTATACTGACCGTTTTATAATGGGTTTCGTCTGCAAAGATGGGTTTGCCTTGCTTGGCAAGCGGATTAGATCTCAGTCAGGAAGTTATTCGTTTTTGATATTTTTTTTATGCCAGCTGTTGCCCGCGACTTCACAGGAAGATCACTTTTGACTTCGTCCGCGTAGAATATGAATTTTAGAATATATTTTTTTTTGTTTAAATTTTCCAAAATAAAAGAAGCCTATGTTACTCCTTAGTTGGGCCTCCGGTAACCTCACTCACACGACGAAACACAACACAAAGTTGTTTCACGTTGTTCTTCTGCTCAGCCGTGGTATTACTCCGGTCGAGCCGGCCCATTTATGCCGAAGCATGGCTCTCCCACACTTATGTTAGAACTGTGACCCTCACATGGCATTATATTAAAATCCTTACTAATATTATAAATTTGAAAGTGAGTTTGTTTGTTTGAATTTTTGCAGACGTAAAAGCTAGTGCTTTCATAAACGGCTAAATGATATAAAAATATTTGTCCAAATAGTGTTCTTTACCCACCGTTACATTTTTGTCATGTACAAACGTAGTCCATCCGCAACCAATGTGACTGACTGCACCCAAAATAAAGAAACTAGAAACCAAAAAGTTTAGTCAATTAAGTACTCCACTCGTGGTGATAAGCAGGGCAGTCTTAAACTATGCTGGGGCCGTTGGGCACACAATAATTCAGAGTCCTTTTGGAATGCTTCGATGCATTTACAAACATACAAGTTCACATACACATGACACACAGACCCGAAACAACAATTTGTGGATCACACGAAATAATTGAGTAGTTTCCTTGGTATCAAAATTAAAAATCTAATTAGTCTGTCAGTTAGGTAATGAAAAAATATGAGATTTTTTTATTTTCTCGAATTAAGTTGCAATACTTAGATAAAATGGCGCTAAGTTTAGGAGTGGGAGGTCGTTACGTCATAACGTGCTACAAAATGTGACACGCTGTGACGTCACACGATATTTCAAATTAATATATCGTCAAAAGTATTGAATTTGGTGAGAAAAGAAAAATTACGTGTCTGAAGTTTTAAATTAATGTACCAGACGGACATTAAAATAAAATTTAGGAAGCTACCCTATTCCTCATCGAATCTGCTACACGTCACGGGGCAGCCGGTTGCCGTGCATCGAGTAGCGGGTGTATATCCGTCGTAGGTCCTTCAAGGCCCCCAGAGGATGGCGGCCTTGCGCACGGGCCCCGAGTGCCCTTATGGTAAAGATGATACTGGTGATATATACATCATTGTGGACTTCCAATCATTTAAGTGATGAGATCAGAACTGCTGTAGCGCGGAACCATGGCGAAAGGATGCGACAATGACCAGATCATATAATTCGTCGGAACAGTCTCAATAGAACAGGTGATGGAAGATGCATAACTAGACTATTTATTTTATTTATTTTTAGCCATCGTCGTCCTACTGCAGGGCAAAAGCCTCCCTACCCTCCTTCCACTCGTCTCTTCTTATAGCTTTCTGTGGCCAATCCTTTTTCATAGGCATCAAGTTCATCACATCTCCTATAAAACTAATTCATCATCTCATAAAGAGACTATGGCTTCAAATATTCTGACAGTAAAATTCATATCACATGCGCAATGTAGGATTTTATCAGTAATTGTCGAATTGTGTTTAACGCCATCTGATAAATAATTCTAGAACTATTTTCATGTCCACATTTTGTTGAAGGATGTATGTTGTTGCGTGTCCTTTTTACAATATTGAATAATTGAATTGTTAAATAAATAACATTTATTGCGTGAATTTTTATTGTTTGTGGCGAATGCTTCCCTATGAATAAAAAATGTTTTTTTTTTTCTCTATAAAAATAGAAGAAGTTATGTAGGTATTGTAGGTATATTACTTACTTTCTATTGAACATCTTGTCAATACTTTCATATTTTTCCGGGTTAAAACGCGTCAATGCTCTACTAAATACCTCCGATGCTGTTTTACGATACTCTTCAAAAATTATATAGGTGCCCGAATTCCGCTCTAAAATACAAAATAAATTTTACACAAATCACATCATTGCTGATATTTTCTATGGAATGTGAGAAACAGACACTTGATGGTAAGCAAGTGTCTGTTCGTTAGTCCACATTATCATCGTACCACAAGACAATCGGCGAAGCGTCACCGATTTATGGTAGATGTTCCGCCCACACGCACGAAACGCTCCCCTTCAAGCTTCCTTGTGCGTACTGCTAAAGAGTAGTATTCTTTGCCAGAGTCTGTATTTCCTCAAGGGTATAACCTGGGAGTCTTCAAGGCCCGAGTGAATAGGTTGCTTATGGGACGACGTGCTCCATCGTAGACCGCATTATCGCTTACCACCAGGCGAGATAGTGGTCAAACGTCGCCCCATCAAATATAAAAAAAAGAAGCAAACAGCGCTGCTCATGGACACACTTGCGTTACCGACCTTATAAGGCTTAGCGATTAGATTTGAAGACTAAAAATTTGGGAGGTTCAGGAGAGAGAGCGGAATTGGACCTCGCGTGTCTTCACACACGCGGCGAAACAAGACCGGAATATCAATCCAATATGTTTGTTACAAACAAGTTTCTCCCACACTTACTGTATAACAAAGTATCATTATTATGAGCAGTAGCAGGCATTATTACAAGGGTACTTACTTAAATCAATACACAAAAATTTTGTGGGGACATGACACCGAGAGCTAATATACTGTGCCAAGCCCGCAGACTCGCTGTCCCAGTGCTGAAATTTACGTGAATAGAATAAGAATAACAACGTTTATTTGCACGAAGTATGGTAATTACAAGTAATAATAATTATAAAAAATAGTCCCACATACATCGCCTACTGTTTTCGGCATGCAAAGTTAAGTTTTACAATATAATAACTTAAAATCTTACATTCAATAAAACCAATGCAACAAAAACAACAAAAACAAAAAATCAAACAAAATGCTTACAAGTAGCATAACATAATTATTTCTCCTAACATATTATTATTACTTTTCTTCTTTATTCACATATTTATCATTTTAGTGACTTACTAAATAACAACACACTTAATATTGCACACTTAGTATTGCACACATTAAACTTTCATTGTAAGAAACTCATCTAAGGTGTAAAAGCAACTGTGAGAAGTACATTGTACATAGTACATTGAGGCTGCAGCCGTGGTATTCACTAGTTTAACTGCACGAAACTGAGATATTGTTCTTTTGGAACTCAGCAAACTGGCGACTGCCTATAAATAAATAGTAGGGTGCGCGACGTCACCGCGTCCGCGCACGCTGTTCATGACGACGAGTCCCTGTTTGACTCGATCCTAGTAGAGCTTTCCTTAGTATATTTGCGTGGGTAAACAGTTATGTTTAATTAATTTAATAAATACTTATGAAAAAAACACGTACCACTCGAAATATTCCATATCCTTTTGGATAAAATTTCCCAGTGGAGAATTTTAAGATACCATTGGCCAGCTGAGTTCTATAACTGACACAAAATATTAGTTCATTCATAATTGTCGTCACACACTGTTGACTGAACGTCGTGGTGGCCCGGAGATTTAAGACGTCCGCTTCTCATGCATGATGGTGAGGGTTCGAAGCCTACCAACGGCAAGTACCAATGTGACTTTTTCTGAGTTTTTTTCTAAGATTATCTAGACACCACTGACACATAGTGAAGGAAGACATCGTGAGGAAACCTTCTTGAAATCACCAATCCGGATTGAATAAGCGTGGTAATTAATGCTCAAACCTTTTCCGTGCTAGTGAGACCCTTCTCCGAATGGGACCGTCGCTTTGATAACAGGCGGCCTAGACAGGCACATATCATACCAGATTGACGGTATAGTAAAGAAGGGCTAAATTAAAAATACCCTTAACCGACGAGCATGCGTGAAAAGACTGATGACTGTCGAGGAAGCAAAAGAGAAAGAAAGGTATTTAAGCATTGAAATAATTGGCGTTCCATAGTCTCTGCCTACCCCCATGAGAGACAGACGTAAGGTTATGAACGAATGAATAGTTTAACTTATAACTAGATATTTATTATCATATCACCTACTGGTTTATAGTTTCCAAAAGTTTAGTTACTTGCTCTTGCGTAAACTGTATATTTTTTGCGTTTTTATTTTTACAGTCTTCTCCATATTCAGTTTTCTGTAAATTGTAATTTATTATAGTTACTTGTCGTGCAAAGAAATCCCGAGCATAGCTTTCTCTTTAAGCTTTTAAGCTTTTCCAGAAGGCTAGAGGTCAGGGATCGCGTTGCAGTACCATACGTCATCACCGGCAACACACACTGGTTAAGCCAAACGCCACTTTAGCTGACTTTAGCGCTTGTCTACAGAGAGAGTAGAAATCAAAATGTATGGGGATGACACTGACAAGTGTGAAAATTAACGTCAATCCCATATAATTTGGTTTTCTATTCTACGTGTAGACAAGCGCCAAATGGGATTTGGTTACAGGTTCTGGTCTGGGCTAGCTTCCCGCTACGTGGACAGACGACATCGCCAGAGTTGCGGGAAGCTACTGGATGCAAGTAGCGAGTTGTCGTTCGCCGTGGAGGACCAAGGGGGAGGCCTTTGTCCAGCTGTGGACGTCTTTCGGCTGTTGATAATGATGATGATGATAATGATGATAGTTAATTATACAGTGAGATATATTCCTCGTGGAAATAGGCATCTATCATCTATCATCATCATCATCATCGAGTAAAGTGTTGTGTAAATGTTTAATACGGCTGACCAATGAGAGAAGGAGGATGACAAACGCTTAACAAAAACGACATGCGTCAATGAAATATATTAAGTTGAATTTATAAATTGTGACGGCACTCATTGGAGGCGAGTTCAGGAATCAATTAATAGATGGCGTTGGGACTGATGTGTCATCGTTTCTCCGACAAATGTGTGACCGGTCGTTAACTTTGGTTCCTTATATATAAATATATTTTAATTTATATTTAAAAAAAAACGTTGCACACTAGGATTATCTCCTGTGTTGTGGGTGCGTTTACAAACATACAAGTTCACATACACATGACACCCAGACCCGAAACAACAATTTGTGGATCACACAAAGTGTTGTTTATATGATAATCCTTTATAGAAGGCGCTATGATCGTTATACTCACGCCGTATTTACACACCGCGAAGTCTTCTCTTTTAGGATTACACCGATGCTGTTTTCGAACACAATATTCGTTGTATCGCTTTAGTATGTCTTCATATAATTGCGCGAATGTTTCTAGTATAAAAATTGTCAATAAGACAACCTGTAATATTAATATGAAAATGAGACAGGTACATCTCGGCAAAAAAGATTTAGACGCTTTGACAGCTGAAACTAATAATGACTTGGACTGAATCATCGACTTTGGACCTGAGCCTTTGCCAAACGCCACTTTAGCGCTTGTCTACAGAGAGAGTAGAAATCAAAATGTATGAGGATGACACTGACAAGTGTCAAAATTTACGTCAATTCCATATAATTTGGTTGGCAGTATAGTCGACAACACCATTTTGGAGACTCGGTTGCCAAAGAAGAAAAAAATAATAATTTGGTTTTCTATTCTTCATGTAGATAAGCGCTAAATGGCATTTGGCTACAGCTGCTGGTCCCATGAATCAATCATTCGAACATAGTACTTTCTCTTTTTAAATATTGATTTGTCCGTCTAAGATTGACCGTCTAACTCTATCGTTATTCTATAAAAAAAAAATATTTTTATAGTTTCATTGAGAGTTTGTATCTATTTACACATAACAAAATAACATAACATCACGCCTTTTATCCCCGAAGGGGTAGGCAGAGGTGCACATTATGCCACTGTACAATGTAACACTCACTTTTCACCATATATGATACGAGTCCCATGTAATAGGGTGTGAGCCTATTGCCATATACCAGGCACGATTTCAGACTCCGTGCTACTACTGAGAGTATTTTTAAAAACCCAGTGATGCTTTGCCCAACCCGGGAATCGAACCCGAGACCCCTTGCTCGGCAGTCGCATTTGCGACCACTCGGCCAACGAGGCAGTCCGTATCTATTTAACCGCATAAATAAGTAGATTATAAATAAATACTCACAAGAGTATATTTTGACGCCATTTTTGAATAACACTTACTGTCAAGTCCAGATAGAAACAATAGATATGTATGCAATAGCAACAAAAGAAAATTACAATAACTAAATATTTTATAGAGAAACAATAAAATATTCAATTTTGTTTTAGTATTAAATCGTTGCACAATGTAATGTCGTGGTGGCCCGGAGGTTTATGACGCTTCTCATGCACTAGGATGCGGGTTTAAAACCTACCAACGGCAAGTACCAATGTGACTTTTTCCGAGTTATATGTACTTTCTAAGATTATTCAGACACCACTGACAAACAGTGAAGGAAAACATCGTGAGGAAAGCTGAACTTGTAATTTTGATCCTCATGTATGAGAAGCGAGCGTCTTAAGCCTCCAGGCCACCATAACATGCCTATACGTCACAGAATATTTTTGAAGCATCCATATCTGGGAGGTGGGAGGGAGTGGGACAGGTACTACCTGACCCACATGCAAGTATTGGGAACAGTTCCCTGCTCTTTAAGAAGGTCAAAGACTGGCTGCACCACATCAATCGTGGCGATGAGTGAATGTGTGTGTGTATGAGTGAATAAGTAAGTAAGAAAGAAAGAAAGATAGAGAAAGAAAAGCAGTTTATTTGCACTGTTACACAAAATGAAAAACAAGAACAATAGTTAAAAAAATAATAAAATAAAACAGTGTAGACGGGGCGCTAAAAGACCAGTGCTCAGCTAAAATAAGTGAGTTCGTGAGTGAGCTTATGCGTGTGTGTGAGAGTGAGTGAGTGAGCGAGCGTATGCGTGAGTGTGTGAGAGTGAGTGAGTGAGTGAGAGAGTGAGTGAGTGAGCGTATGCGTGTGTGAGAGTGAGTGAGTGTGGGTGTGAGGGTGAATGAGTGAATGAGTGAGTGAGTGCGTGAGTGAGTGTGTGTTTATAAGTATGCGTGTATATTTTGTGTGTGTGTGTGTTTTTATGGTATAAGCCGGTAAACGAGCAGACGGATCACCTGATGATAAGCAATCGGCGTCACCCATGGTCACCTGGAACGCCAGATGCATTACAAGTGCGTTACCGGCCTTTTGGGGATTAGGAGTTTGAAGATTGTTGAGGATTTGGTGTTTGGAGAGGTTAAGGAAGGAGGGGGGGGGGTAATAGGGCCTCACTGTGTGTTAGTAAGTGACTGAGTAATTAAGTGAGTGTGCATGACTGTGTTTCCGTATGAGCGACATCAAACATGAAGTCGGAAGGAGGATATGAGGTTTTTAATAAATAAAACACAAAATTCCCTTATAATTAATATTTATACTAAGACCACATTTATTTATAAATGTGAATCTGATCGAACCTACAACATGTAATTATGATTTATGTAATTATAGTAAATATAACTCGGTGTTAGTTATTAGCATTGTATACCACGATTAATAATTAAAAGGAGTGGAGAGGAGAGTTGATCGATTGACCTGACAGGACGTTGAAGAATACCAGAGATATAAAAAGACCACTACCTCGAGTACCCTTCTTCGATGAACTTCTCTACTCCACTCCGGCTCCATGAATGCCATGAGGCGCGAGTTCAAGAAGAGCGAGGGGAGATCTGTAGGAACATGTTCAGCGAAACACGGTCCATCAGCCTCTTAACTCGATGTTGTTAAACCCGCGCCAACCATCGTCATCTATGCGGAATAGGGTCCATCCAGAAATGTAACAATACTCTAGAGGAGAATGTTGCTACATTTCTGATGAGGAGGTTGAAAGGTCAGTGCGCTGGTGTCAGAGGGTTGGTGCCAGGACCGCGCCTCCGCCTGCCTCCAGCGAACTGGCGACGCAGCTCGTCCGCAGGACACCTGCAAAAGAACGCGACATGATTAGTCTTCAACCACGTGTGTTGGCCTGTCTCTTATTCAGTTCTGTTGACTAATCAACCATCAAGCTAGTTAATGGCATTGCCAGGATACATAACATAATATCATGCCTTTTATCCGCGAAGGGGTAGGCAGAGGTGCACATTACCGCACTAAATGCCACTGTAGAATGTAACACCCACTTTTCACCATTTATGGTATAAGTCCCATGTGTTACATGTATGTAATAGGGGGTAAGCCTATTGCCATATACCGGGCACATATCCAGACTCCGTGCTACTACTGAGACTTTTAAAAACCCAGTAATACTTTGCCCGTCCAGGGAATCGAACCCGAGACCTCTTGCCCAGCAGTCGCACTTGCGACCAATCGGCCAACGAGGCGTTGCCAGGATAATCCTTACTATATAATATTATAAATCTGAAAGTGAGTTTGTTTGTTTGTTCCACCATCACGCCGTAACTACTCAACCGATTGCTTTGAATTTTTGCAGACGTAAAGTTAGAAGTCCAGATTAAATAATAGGGTACTTTTTAACCCGAAAAAAAATTATATTCCCGAGAAAAAACAAAAGTATTGATATAGATGGCGCTGTGTGTATTGGTATATGTCACATAGGCTACTTTTTATTTTTTTGTGACGCGAGCGAAGCCGCGGGTAAACGCTAGTCAATGATAAAGGACAAAGTGTATGTTGTGTTTCACTACTCCTATTTCTCCAACAGATAACATTACTGTCTAATCCAAGGCTTTAACGAGTAGGAGAACCATGTTTCGGCACGCATGGGCTGTCTCCACCGGAGTGATACCACGACCACACCCCAATCACCCTCCCCTTTCCTCAATCACCCCAATCCCCGAATCCCCAACAATCCTCAAATTCCTAATCCTCAAAAGGCCGGTAACGTACTAGTAACGCCTCTGCTGTTCCAGGTGTCCATTTGCGACACCAATTGCTTACCATCAGGTGATGCGTCTGTTCGTTTCCGGCCCCAAAAAAAATGGGCCAAGACCTGATAATCACTTTGGACAGCCAGCTAGAATACTTAAAGGGTTACCGTCGCTCCGGCTTGAAGTTAGAGTTGGAAGGAGGTGGTGTTAAGTCAGTTACAGTCCAAAACTCCCTTTCGTCTCACCCTAAAGGGGGGGGGGGGAGTTATTGGAGAATTTTCTCTCTCAAAAACAAGACAGGTAGCTCTGACAATACCATAGTATAATTACCTCATTCCTCAGTGAGGGCGAAGTGCTGCGGCCACGAGCTGCTCCACCAACGTCAGAGACGACAGGAGACGCTGCGCAGCATCAGCCACCTGGAAATAGCATCAGTACTATTATATATTATGTTAATTAAAGTCTGAAAGAAAAAGAAGTAATGGGATTAAGACAGGAAAAGAAAGAGACTCAGTTGAAGTCAGGCATTATGTCCTCGATAATCCAGCAACTGTAATCAATGCAGGTATTAATACACTTACCAAGATGTTAAAGCCAAAGAAGACGGGCGACGCAGGACTCCGGCTCCAAGCGAGGCTCAGGGACCGACACGTCCTGCACGATCCACGTCGCAGGCCGCACTGACTGCAAGCCGCGCCTCGCTAATACTCCAGGGCTAGACTTCTAGAATGTTCCATCTGCACTGCGCAGGTCAGGATCAATACTTTGAAGGCTGCTATATAAATGCATAGGGTTGATGATGTACAGTTATATGCAGAAGGCTAACCTCCCAAGATTCTATATTTGTATTGTAACTTTCGTGAGACATACTAAATAAATTATTATGTTTTCGGCTTACTCACGTAATAATTTGACGAGGTACTCGACTAGTTTCAAGCCATGCTAGAGGCTCATATTCATGAGCAGCACTTCACGACCTGCGACGCGGCGACTGTCGCGCTGCTACTGAAGATCTAGAGGTATATTGCTGAAGAATAAATGGAACTTTGTGTATTTTCGCTCACGAGACGGTTTACCTACCTCTGTCTCTGAAGGTACAAGCATTTGCATAGCATAGCATCATTTTTTTTTTCATTTCTCTTTAGAATAGGAACCTTGATAGATTCTTTGAACCTTGGTATTTTTAATTTATATTACCTATATATCTAATATTGGTATTGTACCTTGGTTTACCATTGCTTTATATATTTTTTTTTGTTTATTTATTGTGTGTTTAAAGCCTTGATCACCAGCTATCATGATCGAAATGTGAAATTGATCTAACTAGACTAAACAAGGTCTCTAGAATAGCCCACTACGCAGGAGATATTATAGTGTGTGTGCGTGGTACAGGTGCCCTCTCTGTTCCCTCACTCTTTGAAGACAAGGATTTACGACGACAAAGGCAATTAAAGATACATCAATAGGAGCCAAGCAAGAAGAAATGGTCTATGATTGAATTAGCGCTGTTCCGTACTACGTGGACCTTCTGCAGGCGTCGCATTGAGTGCAAAAGTCTAGTATGTTCTGTCCGAAGCTCCGACTGCACTGCGCAGGTCACATACACAATCAATACTTTGAAGTGAGATATATTATGCAGTTATAGTATTTATGGCACTGTATAAATAATCAAACAGAAGGTTCAGTTGCATTTTGAAAAATCTAAAGAGTATGACAGCCTTCTTAAGCCCAACGAACAGACATTGTATTTTGCGAACCGCATTTTGGACACACATTAACTTAACTGAGTACTAGCACGGAGGTTGGAACTATGCCCGGTATATGGCAATAGGCTCACCCCATATTACAAGGGACTCATAACATAAACAGTGAAAAGTGGGTGTTACATTGTACAGTGGCATTAAGTGCCGTGATGATGATGACGGGTAACGAGCAGACGGATCACCTGATGGTAAGCAATTGGCGTCGCCCAAGGACACTTGGAACACCAGAGGCGTTACAAGTGCTTTACCGCCCTTTTGGGAATTGGGAATTTGAGGATTGTGGGGCATTCGGGGATTGGGGAGACTGGGGAGCGGAAGTAATTTGGCTTTCGGTGACCTCACTCACACGACGAAACACAACGCAAGCGTTGTTTCACGTCGGTTGGCCCATTAGTGCCGAATCGTACCAAATTATAGTTTTAATAAAATAATGTTTTGAGTTTGAGTTTGAGTGGAAGTTGGTATTTAAGTCTGGTGCTCTGGTGATACATAATGCACCAGTGTCTGTGATGTC